CAATTTCGTATTTAAGTTGGAAAAATTGTGCTGCAGATTTTTCGTTGTAGGTATAAAACTATAAACATGAACACCGCAGTCTAGTTAGTAAATAAAGAACGTGTTATAGCCTGCCAGCATTTTTGTATGTAATATCCGAGTATGGTGGCCAGTCAGAATGCCGGCTATTGTGCAGAGCTATAATTAAATATGAATATTTCAGAAAGTCGGCGCCGCGTGTCATCTGTATTCTAGTAACTCTAACAGTGTGGTTAGACACATATACAAACTAGTTATCCTAATTAAAGGTATATTATACCTTTGAAAATAGTCAATGTGATTGTTTAGATTTATTTGGTTATTTCTGAAGATTTTTCGCAGTGACAACACTCCACATGCCCACATTTAACAATACACTTGAATCCAACGTGGCTATGACGATGTCGATGTATATAATAAAACTACCACCGTCTCTCAGATTAGTTTGAGGTTTATTATCGATGTTTCCATTAATAAGATGTAGATATAAACATATTTTTTAGTGTCGATCAGTAATGAATTTACGACCTTTCAGTATAAATCCGGACGACCAGGACTTTTTATGTATTACAAAAGTACTTGAAAATAAATTTAATTTAATTTAATAATTAATTCAACCTTTCCACTGAGACTGTGATACATATCCACGCGTCTATTTACTAAATCTATTTGAAAATTCAAATATCTTCATGTAATAAATTTACTATTTTAAAAACATTCTGCTGAATAATGCAAAAGTCAGAGGGATCAATAGTGCCTGTCTGTTCGCGGGAGAAATCAACGCAATCCGAAACCACCGTAGATGTCTATTATAGATCCAATACATACGTATTACGAAATAAAGAAATGGAAGAACATCTATGAGTGAATTCAGCGCTTTCTACACTTACACTAAGAGTAGTAACAGTTGTAATATTATACAGATAAACTTACAAATAATAAATTATAAACGTCTAGATATGTACTTTGTTTTTTGCCCCAGAATAATTCACACAGTGCCATCTAGTTCATAGTTAAGCAGAGCTCGTGTTATAGGTGCTATAAGACTAATAGATATTCTGAAATACATTTTTTTTTTAAATACATAATATCCATAGAAAAAACCCAGACCAATACATACAATCATACTCATGAATACAAATACCGAGAGAGGAATCGAAGTAGCAACCATTGAATATAAGTCGGTGTGCTAAACTACTAGATACCGATGTCATCAATTGTAGAAAACTAACTTGTGCCCGCAACTTTGTCTGCACAGAATTAGTACTTCGACTATCTTATTTATTGTAGATAGACTGTCGCGGGTATAGGCTAGTGCGGCTTTTTTGTAGGAGTATTTAAGATATCGTGTAATTTTACCGGTTTTAGCAGCACACACCGCAATAGCAAATGGCAATTTTTTTTCCTACTTAACATATATATTCAAATTCAAATTCAAATTCAAAAATCATTTATTCATGTAGGACATTTTAGCCGCTTATGAACGTCAAATTTTTACATTCTAATTTTATTTTTTTTCCCTACCGTCCAGTTCTGTATATAGATCCAATTGAGAAGACCTGGCAAGAAACTCAATTGAATTACTTTTTTTTTTAAAGCCAGTTTATTTACAATGTATATTAGGTGTCTATGTCTAACATTAAATGAAAATTCAGTGCATGAACAACTATTGCCATGCACGCTCGTCATTCAAGTAATCGTTTAGTGAGTAAGGCTTTGCTCAGTAAATATGATTTAACAGATGTTTTAAATTTATTTAAGGGTAATTCCAACATATCCTTTGGTATTTTATTGTAAATTTTTATACCTATTCCCATAAAAGACCTATTAACTTTTTCTAAACGATACTTCGGGACAGCAAGTTAGTCTTTAAATCTAGTATTAATATTATGAATATTGCTGTTTTTTGGAATATATTATCGACAATTCATACAGTACCTATATTTATTAAGCCTCAGTGTTGTTCTGATGTATAAGCTGTGTTCTTGTTAAGTTTTATTAAAATCCGTTCAGTAGTTTTTGCGTTAAAGAGTAACGAACATCCACATATCCATACATACAAACTTTCCCGTTTATAATATTAGTAAGGATGTTTAAAAAACCAAATATGTACGTGTTTTTACATTTAATTTCATTTTATAATGCTTGATTAATGTTTCTTACTACCATTTATTAGTTGGTGTAAAAAAATATTTTGGGATTATTATAAATGTTTTACTAATGGCAATATTTAATAATGACAATTATAACATGAAAATATTATGCAAATGCAACAAAATAAAAATACATACATATAGATTCTAAAAGTCCAATGTTATCTAATAACAAACGAGTTTTCCTGCTGGCGTAAAAATAGGAACGAGTAAGGATTACCGTAGGAAATAGACCTTAGCATCAATATAAATCCATATATCTTTGTCCTATTTCTTTTCCCCAAATACTGTTCGTCGTATAGCTTTACAAATTGTTCCTTATTGGCAAAAAATAGCCCACAAATAAGGGGAAGCTGTTGGCAGATGCCAAAAGCAGGACCACGCCCCTTTGGTTTCACCAGCACCCTTGAGACATCATTAGAGTCCACGTTTAATCAACTTAATTACGGTTACAAAATACATAACGATAAAAAACATAAGTTTGTCATCTATACGCAATATTGTCAATATTATTATAGAGCCACTCATTTTCCAACTATAATAATTTAGATTACATAATTATTATTTTATTTTAATTATGAGTACACCTACTGAATGTATTTTTAATTTGAGTTTTCTTGAAGGCCGAATAATTATGAAAGACTATTTTAGTTAGCTATTTACCAGGGCGCTGCCGTTAAAATCGTTTAGTTTGTTCGACCGTGAGAATTTTTTATTAATTATGTACTATAATTAAGAAATTAATAAATTGGAGCAATTAAATTTAATGTTTTCACAATTTAGTCTAACATAGAATTAAGCCATTCAACTATTTATAAGAATGGACCCAAACTTATCTCATTAAAAATTTAAGTCCACACTGCTGATATTACAAAATGTGACAGTGCGTCTGTTTGTTTGCTATTCATGACACGAACGGTTAAAGCATTTTGCATGAACATATGTAGTACTACATTATATTATGAGCACAGATTTAAGGTAGCTTGAGCTGAGGTGCTTGTATGACTTTATTTCAAGTTGTACTTTTGTTTACTTATAAAATGTTTATAAAAATAATGATTGCAATAAAGAGTGAGCTATTAATTAAGGTAGGCATAGGTAAATTATTAAGTAGATACGAGGTTCGAATTTTTGATTAAATGACGGTTCTATAAGATAGAAATAGATATCATTAGAAAATCATTTCGACTCTCTATTTCTTTATCTTCAACGAGTAGATACGAGTAGTTTCTCTAGTTTTGATTGACCAATATGATTCACTTACGAGTATTCATTGGTCTCATACAATTATTATGATAATTGAGGTCGATTCTGTTTGTCTTTTATTACTCTACTGCATTAACTTCATTTTTCTTTATCATTTCACATATTTTATTTAACACAGGTCAGGTGTATTTCTTAATAATGGAGCCATGAAAATGATGTCTTGGATAGGATTTGCGGTATATATTAAGATTGACATTACGTACATGGCGACCGTAGCGATGTTTTTATCGATGATCGACTCTGTTACTGTTTTGTTCGTTTCCTAATATTTTAACCCAGTTGCGTTATTTTTAGGTCGATTCATGTCTCATTTTTATTATATGTAAATGTAATTTTTATTGTATGTAAACATATGGCAAACAAGCTGATATTATTTTGGATGATTTTTTAATATACGTGAGTTATTGAATTTATAAGTTATCAATAAACAAACATAAAAAATCTAATTTTGTTTTGTGTTGTGTGTTGTTTTTGATCATATGGCTTTATATGTATATACTTTCATTATCACAAAAAGGGTAATGCTACTATGTTACATATTTATTTTTATTGTATTATGCATACAGATGCAAATAACTGTTTAAAATAATTATAGGAATATATAGGATATCATCTAGATACATAGCATGTTTATTGCTATGACATAGTGGTCTCACATACGAATGAGGGAAAATAACATATTTTAATATGTAGGTACAGAAACATAAAAAAAAAACATGGAATTACAACGAGTCAGATAAAGAGGTAACAATGGGTAGCCTTATGGCTGAATATCGATCTTTCTTAAGGAACCATAAGGAACATAATGGATTTCTTAATAGAAAGATACTTATAATATCCCAGTCAAATAAATCAATTTTGATTATTACTAGTGTTTATCACTTAGCTATCCGCCAAATTAGGTAATTATGAATAAAAGTCAATACCTATATCGAACAATCATTTACCAAGTTCATACTACTTCCAGTTAAGTTACAAAAATTTTAATATACGCCTCTATAATTTTGTTTTAAATCGATAAAAAATAATATTGTACAAAATATACGTATTACTTAAAGAAATTAAATAATCTGATATAGCATGTCGACCAATAACTTCTGAGAAATTTGTATACCTAAATGAACAAAAAAGCCGTGTAGCTTTAGTAATTAAAGGTCACGATACGAAGTTCGTTAAATATAAAGTCTCTCGTAAAAAATATTAAGCGTGGACTAGATTGATCAATAAAGCTAAGCCTATGTGAGACGATACATCCAGTCGACAACATTTTATATATTTCTAATATCGCCATTTTAGATGAATGTCAATACTGAATCAAAAAGAAACGGTTCCAGTATAAAAGTGCTCGTTATTTTCACATTAACCCACTGTTTCTCAGCTCCATTTATTCTAACAGGAAATATAAACAATTTTCACGAGCTCGGATAACGAGGCGATCGATAAAGGCGAAACTTCTTTCAACAGATTCAATCTCTATCGGAACTTTGTTATCTTTTACTATTTGACATTACAGCTTATTACTATACCCAATAAACGCAAATTGGTAGAAATAATAATACTCACGGTAGATCCTCGCGCGCGTTACATGGGCCCAAAATTACACTGCACCAACTGCCCCGTATCGTAGTTCGTGTAACAACCGATGCACCTATTCGTGGGCACTCCGTCCTCAACTTGCGTAACATTTATATAACAAGACACATCCCTTTCGCGAACAGAACCGCTCGGTCAGAGGTGAGCTCGCTCACAGCCCTTGAGCCTGCTTCGTCCTGCCATTTTGGTTTCGATCAGGCTACGCGGCGCGTTGGGCGGTGTCGAGCGACGGCCACCGCCGGTGTCGCGCGCCCACTTCAAATACGTTTTTACAGTTCGGGCGGACTTTTAAGTGAAAAACAATATACCATAGCAGTCGGCACGATCGTAGAGAAAATAAAAAAGTGTGAAATGATCGGGCGTAGCGATCGGCCGGCTGCGAGAGGCACATGCCGCTCGATAGTCGGGCGCTTGCGCGAGGCGGGCGCCGCGTGACGTCACACCGCAACCGCGCCGCCGCCGTACAGCCACTGTATATCAATGGGCCGCTGCCACCGACGGTCACCGTCGTAGCCGCCGCCGCCGTCACCACATCACCACCCTGACCTCCACTTGTCTACCCCTTAATTATTTAACAATCAGTCACTTGGACATGCCCACACCTACTTGCTTAGAAATCTACAACTTGTACCAATCGAATTAATGTCAGATACTGTAAGCCCCACTGATGTGATTAGATATAATTAATTGAAACATCTCTGATTATAAATAATCATCATTCAAACTTTGTCATTGTGAATATAAATTTATTTGTGTGATGATAATTTTTCAAAATCATCTGTCGTTGGCGATAATAAAAAATAATATTATACATATACTATACCATTATCTCCAATCTACACATGTGTCTTCAGTTAGAAATCATATCACTATTACGATTTTGTTCCAAGTCATTTGTTAATCATAAGAAAATAGTAAAAGTAGTGATTAGTGGAGTAAAATTTTAGACATATGTATTTTGATACTCCATAGATCTATAGGAAACAAACACCATTACTACTAGAATAATCTTCTTCTTCCTATATAATACGTTACAGTTATACAAATAAATAGGTATGTTCCATAAACTAAGAGTTTCGTGCGTGACTAACCAACTAGAGCCAGGCACGTTTGTCTTGTAAGTAATCGATTAGGCAGTAATAGGCTTTATTCAGAAAATGTTTTTGTAATAAAACTTTATAATTTATTGAAATCGGTGTTCGATATAAAGTACTTTACCTTTTGTTAAAAAAGATTATCTACGTTTCTGTAAAATAATAACGTACCTACCTATATCCATTTACAAAAGGTTTTGAAGATACGATTGTTTAAGGGGGTCTTCCTATGTGACGGCCTGTTTTTTAGGGATATTTTAGGATTTTTTTTCTACGACCAGTAAATATTTAGAGCTTCAAGTTTTTTATCATTTATTAACACATATTTGGACAGTATAAATATAAAATTTCAGCTAAAAATATTCAGTCAAACTAGAGTTACAGCGCTCTGAACACCCCCGCCTCGAAAAAAAGAGCTCCCACTTCCTCCACGATTCCGGCTGATCGGCTTATCTGAAAAAAAAAAAAAAACGGCGTTTTAATTTGTAGGCTTAAAAGCACGGAATGACCTATAATCAAATGAATATAAAAAAAATTGGATTTTTGATAGACATTTGAAATAAAAGTTGCAAATTAGGCGTTTTTTTTTTTGTTTCTTGCTATAAAAAAATCGAAGTTTTGAAAATTTTCGATTGATAATAGTTCATTCCATGCGTTTACATATATTGAGTGTGCCCTGTAAATTTCAAGTAATTCGGTCCAGCCGTTTCTGAGATACAATGGAGGAAAGTTTGAAAAACACAGTTTTGAGAAAAACGCGTTTAAAGTTTCAAGTCCGTTAAAAACTATTAAAATATCAACTTACTCTCAATCGGCGATGCCTGGTCCATAGAGTATTCCTTCCTCTTCCTCGTGAAACTCTTTTAAAGCAGATTGTTCAGCTCTTGAGTCAATCCTGGCTTGTTTAACGACATCACTTACGCGCCGCTCAGAGCGTAAGATTCGCTTTTCATCCCGTTTCTCAACATACGCTTGGGCTTCACGACCAACAGGGCATCCCATAATCGACATAACTTTTAAAATACCTTGAAAACCTTCATTAAAGATAATAACTGCTAAGTAGCTAGCAATTTCAACAACTTTGGGACCAGAATGAAGATGTTTAGGAGCGAAAGTCCAAATCAAAGAATTCAAAGATTCGTTATTGTTTTGTGTCTCTGCTCCTAAACAACGAATTAATAATTCGTCTTTCGATAAATCTTCGAAAACCGGTTTGATAGCTTCTTGGACTTGCGGAATTAGAGGTGGTTTATCGTGATGAAATTGGTCCAGTTCATTATTAGCTTCAGCCTTACGCCATTTACACCAACTGTCTTTGCCTTCTGGACAAAATTGATGCTGAGGGTTTTCATCAGAAGAACATTTGTGATAGTACGTTGCCCAAACTTCCTTTCTCATATCTTCAAGCGAATCTGGATGGCGTCGAATTGCTAATCCGTAGAATTTTGTAATTTCTTGGATAACTTTATCAGTAAGTTTACCTGCTCCTTATCTGTTTAAGTCTGTAGAAACGTGTCTAAACTTGTATAAACAAATATATTAATAAAAGGGAGGCCAGGTATAAAGCCGACGGTACACAATAGGCCCGGTCTCTAACTGCCAACTCACCGCTCCGAACCGCTCTTTCTTTTACCTGCTGTATCTTTAAAACGACTTCGAATTTTCTAAAATCGCTTTACTACCGTATTCTAGACATGTTAAGGGAGCAATTTATGAAAAAAAAAATCGATTTTTTCAACCCATCACATAGGAAGACCCCCTTAAAAAAAATCGTCTTTCCATATACATATACCTAATACCTTGAAGTTTAGGTACTCCCGTGTTTAATACTAAATTCGTCAAATTTAAAGTACCTATTTTATAAAGTAAATAAACTAATTTATTTTTCTATCGTATGTAGGTATATTATTAGCATTTATTTCGGGTAAAGGTATAGGATGTTTTTCTGTGATCAGTGTTTGTAAATCTAACATTTAGAACATGTATCTCAAATAAATATCCGTCTTACGAATAGTGAACGAGGATGTTATTACCACAGAGCAATAAAAATGAATCAAGTGAATGTTGCTACAATAATACAACACATTAAACAACGAAACATGACATTATACAAGTTTAGCAAAACTTGTAACGTGACAGAAATATTACAACTGTACGACATAGGAAGACAGTATACCAAGTTATCTATCTGTGCAATTTGCTTAAGGTGTTACATTAATCTTCACCAATGACAACTCATACGATAGGCACCATTGGCATTAGAGAATACATTATATTCTCTAATGCCAATGGTATCTTTCCTGCGTATATTTTACGGTTTTCACTTTCAATAGTTGCACCGCTTACTATTGATCATTCTAATGACATAGAATCAACCAAAAACTATAATAATAACTATACACCTATCGATCTGATACCGGAACTCATAAGAGCTCTCCAATACAAATATACTTACTTCTTCAGTGATATCACTTGACCCAGACTTTTTATATCCCACTTTCACAAACTCAAAATCAACCACATTATTGTCATTACTGGAACTAGTATGACCATCTTTATTTATTTCACTCACATTTTCTTCACTATTCACTTGCTTTGTTACATCACTACATAACTTATCAAAATTATCAATAATAGTTCCAGTACAATTAATATCTTCTTCCATTTCTATACAAACTGATTTTGTAATTGAATCATTAACTTTATTTATGTTTTCAATTCTCCAATCACTAACAACTGTTTCCTCATCAGAAATCTCTTTATTTGATGCCTTACCAAAGAAGTTGGAAAATATTATTCTAATACTATTTAAACAATTTTCAATGTAATTACAAATGAGATTCATTTTTTTATTAACTTTTACGACAACATTATACAACTGTCGTTTCTATAATATCTACTAAAATAAATTAATTCATTAATATCGGATTGGATCTCATTGAATGGGGTTATATTAGTTTGCTTATATAACCTTAAAGCGAACATATTTCTGTATGTCTGTATGATAATGTGCAAATAATTTTCGTTACTACAAAACAAGTATTTTGAAGGAAATAAACTATCTATTACTATTTCGTTTATATTTTTAATATTTTTTTCTGGTTTAATTATACGCTATTCTTCTACTGATAGAAGTACCTAAATATACTTGTATTTCAGAATCTTTAAATTAATTTTAAATTAATGATTAATTCATTTTTATCAAAACTAACCAAATTATATATATACTCTATTCTAAATACCGGAGAAATCTATATTTATGGTCAAATAGAAACGAACTAATAGGTGTTTAAATGGTTTTAACAAGTTTCTAATTTAGAATTACACGTTAGAAAGTTTTAAATAATTCAAAATACTTCCTTATTACAATTGTAATTGAACAATAAATTTCCATATTAGAAAAATAAAACTCAAGAGAATATGCAATCTAATACTAGTATTAATAATTCAATATATTCTTTATCTATTGACTGATAACGGCAGTAGCTATTTATTTTGTTGATAGCTATATTCATCATATCATATTATAGTACAAGTATTATAGTAAAACTTTCCTCTAAAATTGTATTATTGCAATTTAAGTAGAGTCATTCCATCACTAAGTTTCTTTTATAATCTTTTATCACGTGAAACCCAATAAAAAACAGAAAAAGCTTGTATTAGAACTGTAAAGAAGATTGTCTAACTGACCATTTTCAATATGGGGTTAAGTAAATTAGTAATTAATATTACGTAAATATGCTTAGGTATATGGATTAATTGACTATTCAGACCAAAGTATTTGACATTTCCAGTTATGCTACTAGTAGGTATAATAAGTGAGAAAGTTTTCGAAGGAATTAGGTTTTTAAATACATCATATATTGTAAATTAACACAACATATTTCTCGTTTGTAATCTGGAACTGGATGATGAACTGGTTTTTGTAAAGCTTATTATAGAAACGACTTACAAAAGACAATGTCGTCAATATAATGGCTATCAATATAAAATAAACTCTGATTTGATATGTAGCAGCATAATAGGTTCTATTTTTATTAAAATACACAGGACTGCATGACGAAAGAGTTCATGCCTGATGGTAGAGTTTTGTGTAACGTCCTAAAGTAATTCAAGAACATCCAACAAGTTCAATATTATTTTATTGAATTAAAATGTTGTAGCAAACATACCATCTGATATAAAATCGCAAGTATGTATTACCGGCACCACAGACATAATTCATAATAGGGATGTCATAAACAAAAACATTTATTATACTACAACTTTATTCTCTATTTACAATATGGATTTATATACAAGAACTACAATTTGGCTTCTTTTCTAAATATAAAAATATACATTTATCATTGCAGTAATAGATAACAGTAATATTAAAAATAGTCATTATTTATATTTTATAAAATTTACGGTCCGTAACCACTCCACAGTTATTCTTTTATCGGTAAGTCTGTAATAATGTCTGTATCCATTTTATTTAATGTAAGTATGTGTTAAATGTGATTTATTCATAATCAAAGCAAATGAGGTCGTACTTACAATAGAAAACGTATAAATATTGCAATACTGGCTACGGAAGAGTTCCGTAACTCTTAGTTACGGTTTTGGAAACCTTTTATATATCTATGTAGATATTTATCATTAAATAAAGTATTCATAATAGGAAAAGCACCATAGACTATGACGAATTACTTTTTGGAATAATATACACCTACTTCCCTATGGAAATCAATTATAAAAAATAATTTTTTTTTAATAAATATTTTCTTAAATAAAAATATTTTTCATAATTGTAATCAGTAAGTATGTATGTATAATAATCAGTTAAACACATGAAATTAACATTTTTGTTTACATTGTTGTTACTTTTGCACACCTAGGCACCTTATGCATAGGTAACACAAGCACACATTTTAAAATATAGTACCTACAGATTGATCTACAAATAAAATAACTAATTTTAAAATCAGAAGTCAGATATATAGGAAAGTAAAATTTTTATAATCGACAAAGACTACGTAATGTAAATATTTATAAAATATTTTCGTATGTCCGATATAAGAGTATGAGAATATACAAATATTTAATGGAAATTCGATATATCACAATTTCAATTGACTAAAGTTGTAATGCCAATAGATAAATAAGAAACACCATGAGTTCAATACAGTATCATGCTAGTTCCCTTATTTCGACGAAAAAAAAATACACAGTCTCTTATGGTATCTCCGTGCGAAACTTTTAATCAATTTTATCATAATAAACATTTACTCTCTTACTTACTAACAGACTTACGTGTAGAAATTGAGCTACTTTTTTTCAACTATTAATTTGACGTAAATAATGCCAAATAATACAAACAATTACAATAATTAGCAACCGAAGAAATTTATTTAGCGTTTATGTGTAAGGGAATTGGTAATTAATATGTCCATTTAGTTATATTCATAATCATGGTGATTAAATATAATTATGTGTGTTTATTGTCTTATAGGTACAATTGTCAAAGTATATTCTTATTTGTAAGCGTCTGTCTTGCTAGAGCTATAAATCATTTGTGTATTTCGCTTTTGTACAGACTACAGAAAGTGTAATCAGAAAATATAGTAAATTCGTAGTAGGTACAACATTACTTTCTACGTACTGATTATTATAATTATTTAAAGCCAACAAATTTTGAAATTACTGTTACATTATACATTTATATGGAAACTATATTTTAAAATATTATACATTTCATGCATAAAATTATGAGCAAATTACCAAATATGATATGCCTAAATATAAAAATAGAAAACATATATTTTTATTTAAAATGACTATACAAAATATCCTTCTCAAAATATTTTGCAATATTAATTCTAAAAGGAAGTGTGCTTATCTGGATTTATTTCTTGCATCAAGTCCATAACAATATTATCCTGTCCCACACAAAAATTCAATAACATGAAAATCAACAAAACAGTCACAGCTATTAGAAATTATGCTACATGCAGAATGTATTCCATAAAAACATTGATTTATTATAAAAACTAGATGAATAATATTACTCCAAGTGGAAAAAGTACAGGTGCATAGTGAATTTACAATGCTATTATCGCTGCATTTTAGAATTTATGTCTTTTATAGCATCTATAAAGGAACGTCTTACTGTTCTCTTGTGATATTAAAAATATTACACGACCTATGCAGGCTCTATAAATATTCTTTTCCACGTGTTTTCTTTGTCTATATATCGAAAGAAATAATCTTACAACATTCTTTATACAGTTTGTTCTTTTTTGTAAAAAGTCCATATAACGTTATTAAGTACAGGAAATTGGAAATATACATCCAGATTTTATATAAAATCGATTTTAATTCAAATACAAAATTATATGTTGTTCGTTATCAGGTCCCTAGCGCGACAAGGTTACTACATGGATCAGTCGATGTCGAGACTCTTGAAACTACTCGTGAAGCTAGCGAACATACCTTTGCTAGGCTTCTTAATCCTTTTCTTTTCGTCCGCTTTAAATAACTCTGTTTCTATAAGCCACTCCCTGTAGTTCTCTTCCATATTCTTCCTTTGTTCCTCGTGGAGTTGTTTCACTGGAGTTACGGGACCACCATAATCTTCAGGTAGTAGTTCCTTATCGACTATGGAAGCAGGACCTTCTGATGAGAAGTTCAGTAGATTCAGGAGGTTGGAATGTATCAGCGGTTTCACGAGGCACATTACTTGATTTATGAAAGATACCGTGTGCACCACATGTATCTTTTTGAGACGACAGGGATGCGCGCTCTGAAATATTTATAATATTACGTTTAAACTAATAATTTGAGTATCAATTTTCCATGCTTTCACAGTTTTTGTTTTAAGAGTAATGTAGTAAATATAGAATGCAGGACAAATAATTGCTAGATATTGAATTACTTTTCTTAATTTTGAATCTGTGTTTGAATTATAGTAGTTTCAATTTATATATAATATAATACAGAATATGGTTTCTGCTCATCTGTTTAAAATGAAGACTTTTTTGTGCGCCGTTTTCCATTACTTTACCTCAGTATTTCTGATCTCATTAGAATTTGTATAGGAACCATATCCTTCAAGATACAGGGATCAAAATAGTATTCATTGTCTATAAGTCGGTCGTAAAAAAATCGGCATGAAACCAAATATCTATTTGTTTGTAGTATCTACCCTATTTAAATAAATTAGTCATAACATTTGTTGTATATACGATGTAGAAGTACAGTTGTTATCAGTATATAATAATTGACCTAAATGCCTAGATTCATATTGTATTATAATGAATAATATGTGTTTATAATGTTTTTAGGGCACAGGTTAATAGTTTATTTATTTATGGATAAGTGTATACAGACTATGATAATAATATATAGATGAATCGATTCTAAAAGTTTCGCTAATATAAAACTACACCATCCCTTCCTAATATAACCATATTTCCCCAGGGAATTTTCACGGGACATAGTAAGTAACGATCGCGGCCGCGAAAAACAAATCTTATTATTACAAAAAGTAGATTATAGTATAGAGAATCATCGTCATGTGATATACAGCTTCGACTCCATAATGGCATATGTTAGAACTTAGCGGATTTTTTTAAAATTTCAAATAAATAGTGTACCTACGATGACTCTTTGCTTATGATTTTGATATGCAACTACAATACTTAGGTAACAGAAGTATTGTGAAAATACTGTATGCGCATTAAGTAAGTACCTATCATTTTCAATTAAATATCCCTAAGTCGGGCCCAATCACTGTGATACCTTGAGAATAATAATTTAAAGCTAGTTAGTATTTTTTTTTCTTTTTTAAAGGGAGTCATCTTGCTTCACCTCATTGATTTATCATGTTTAATCCCATAATTGCCTCTTATGATGTTAAAATATGTAAATGTTAAATTATGTATAGCATTTTCCAATAACATGAAGATTAACAATATTTATTATAATAAATGATACATTTTGTTTGATTGACGCGACCTCACAGCTTGTCAATCTATTTGTTAACCTACGTGTGTCAGTTTACGTAAGTAAATTATTTATCTATTTAGAGACTGCGGCTCCATTACATATATTGATTTATGAGGATGATTGATTTATAAACAAAATATAGCGAAGCATGTCGAAGCTTCTTATCCAAGTTATTTATTTTTATCATCTTATCAGTCTACATACAGACGTATCTATCCTCTCTGGGATATAGGATTATATTTAATTCATTCAAGCATACCCATTTTTATTACCCATGCTTTTTTTTATTTATAATGGGATTGCGCTTGGTCTTACCTCATCTAATGGTAAATGATGGCAAGACTTAGGATGTAGCGCGCTTATGTATTTTATTTGTTAAGATAAAATCTTGTAATGCAACGTTTATCCTAAACCAATTGTAATGGAATTTTTCGTAGCTTAATAATAATTAGCTAAATAACGTTATTATACCTAAATCCAATATGGCGGACCGGCTTCGATGGTGTACTATAAAGACGATTATTATTTTTTTTCCATTAAGTTTACAAACCTGTATATATTGCATGAAAGCTCTAAGCGCTGGTAAAGTCACCCTCGTCAGATGTCCGAGACTGCAGCCCTTCATGTCGAAGATAACTATGTAACCATCAGACAACCGATCCTCAGACAGTTTGACATCGTTAAACATGCAGAACACACGGACAGCATCCGCAAAGTTGAGCTTGCTGTAGTCAAATTCGGACAAACGGTATAGAAGTACGTGGTACCCCTCACTTGTCTTATTCGGCAGAGCCACCATATGCCTGGAAAACACAAAATATTTATGTCTATCAATTGTCAACTTTAATTACTTGACAGTAGGTATATAATATTAATTCACAGCTGCTGGCCCAAATGTCTACTATAGATAGTAATCTAACTACAAAATTTGGTATAAAGCGCAGGCTGAAGCCCCATTATATTGTTACTAAATTAAAAATAATCCAGACACTAAACTATTTTAATTTTTATTATAACTAAGGGTCCCCGTACTCGTACTTGTACGATAACAGTCGGACGACTCGTGCTATCGATGTCGTTCGAATCGAGCATCTTTGCTACGACCTACTTCCTTTGGAAATGCGCTAATCGAACTGCCTGAACCTCATAATATGAGCCCAGATTAACTAAACTGTATTAAAATACAAATTCAAACAAATTTAGATATCTGCAAATTCTCATTCGTTTTTGTGTTGTCAAATCTAGTCTAATATTAATAATATTTAAAAATAAAATTAAATGTAACGAAAAATTTGCCATTTAATATTAAAAAGTGTAATGACTGTACATGAACTAATGCATATGGAAGTCAAGATTGTATGTTGTACTTGTACACAATATACGGTATTAATATGAATAATAAGGAGAACATGTCTGCTCAGTAATTAACAATTGTCTATATGTTAATCTTATGAAATTAAACCCGTTTCCTCACACATTAACATTAATATATTAAAATTATACTTCAGTATTATAATATTCGCTGTATAATGTATGTCCTGTATTTCGTAAATTCGTTTATAATTATTCATGCTGTCATATTGTTTCTACATTATCTATAGCTACATAGTAACTAATCAATGGCCTTGCCTGAGTAAATATAGGTAAAAAGTATTATATAGTAGTGTATAGAAGGCTTTATCTTGTATACCAACTTTCATTGGAAGTCGTCAAGTAGTTTTATGAGAAGAAGTAACAAATAACCATTCTAATTTTGTTCATAACTTTTTTTGAAGTAAAAACGACTTATTCTGACAATTAGAATATAATATGTAAAGATATATATGGAGTTCTATAAGTACTCTATAGTTGTATTTCTTTCTCTATTTATATTTTGTGGTGTTTATTGCTGTATCCTCTTCGGTAGAAATTATTAAGCTATCTATATATCTTACCGTAAGTAAGATAATTAATGAAATACTAATAATTAGTGTTAGATGATTAAATCAGAACTTACGTGATGTCCATAACAGTCTTATTTTTGGGAGCCAAAGGATCACGGTTAGAGAAAATGTCCGGTGTAGTCGCCCGTATAGTGAAGTAACTCTCGATCGTATACTTCGTCTCTTTCACTTTGTAGTAGTTCGAGTGGAGAAACAATATCACATATTCATCCGAAATATAAGGCAAGTGCGGCTGACTCTTCATCCTGGAATTATAATAGTCATTGTTTAAAAATCTGTACGCAAAATTCCACACACGTAACTCAAAATTAATAAAGGCATAAAAATTAGAAATGAGCGCAATACAAACATAAAAAAGTATTTAATATCAAGCTTGCGTGACTAAGAACAAAGTAATGCTTGTATAAAACTGTACAACAAATTTTCTAGCATATGATATGGCCTAAGATACATTATAAAGATAACTACCATTATCTGTTAGGTATAAATGTATAGCACAGACTTAATTTCGCAAGTGCATATCCTTATAAAAAAAACGTAGGCCTATGATGCTTTGATTTTTACTTATACATTTAAAATTTTTGACTAACGCATTGGCTGGTACATGAGCAGTGGTACCTAGGCTTACTTCCAATTTTAAAAGTTATTCTTAATTTAAACCAGTTTTTGTTTTTTATTGCACCAGTGCTAGGGGGAAGGGAAAGTTGCAATGCGAGAATAAAACAACTCATATTTTTAATCACAACTCTGTGAAAATAGCTCATGGATTGCGAACCGTAACTTGAAATGCACAATTAGTTTAGTAGTTGCCTTGTTTGTAATTGCTGAATGTTATCAAGCAGATGTAACTATCATTATAATCTTAGTTTGTTGACTACTTTACTAATAATTGTTTATGCATGCTGTAAATAGTATTTATTGTAGGTACTTAAAGCGTGACTTTTGACGTGGCCGTCTCAAGGTACAACTATAATACAAGAATTAAAAGTAGTTTTTCAAGCGTATTTTCATCAGCTCGTTATTAAGGCTAATTATAATAATAGTGTATCTCATAATAATACTAATGTATGCCATCTAGATCCAAAATAATCTATCTAAAATTTGTGTTATGTTTACCAGATAACATATACAAACATACATTTTTTCTTAAATATATACAAATTATATATAGAAAACACACAAACCAATACAAACAGTCATACTCATGAGTACAAATGTTTATGTTGTGCTAGGAATCAAACCCGCGACCATCGGAAATAAGACGCTGTGCTAAACCTCTGGACCAACGAGGCTGTCGTAATTGTTCAATCGTATTTGTTATTTGTTTAATAGCATATATTGACATAATATCCTATTGAAATTTTATATCTGCAACCATAAAGTTATTGGGTTTTTTAAAAATGCACTATAGTTTACTTTGTATATATATGCTGATACTGAATATATTAATTTATACTGTATACAATTTACACTTTGAGTTTTCATATTGAATTATAATATAATTTTTAATTCTTATTGCTTCGTTCATTTACGCAGTTGTTATGGAAAAAGCTGACCATTTCTGTATCTTGTCCGGATGTACATTAAGTACAGAAAACTAACAAGTGTCCCGCAATTTTACTAACCGCAGCAATTACATCACTCTACTTTTTCCCGTCCATCATAATATCCATAGTTTTATAAGTATTCATTTATTTAGCACTAGCTGTGCCCGCGGTTTCACTCGCGTGAAATTTATAGCCTATATGTTATTTTGATGTATATATAAGCTATATTATCGTATAATTTCATCAAAATCCGATCAGCAGTTTTTGCGTGAAAGAGTATAAACAAGCATCCATTTATACTCACACACAATAGCGTTTATAATAGGGGAAGGTGAGGTAATACAATCCCCGGAGGTTAAATGATCCCCCGCTATAAATCAGAGACTCTGATCTAAGGTAAGCCTGTCTTTGAACTTTCAGTAGTTTTTACATGTTCGTGTTTACTTACTGTTATTAATACCCGCAGTATTAATAACAGTCAACTATTGTTTAAGCATGTTCGATCACTGCACCCGGTATTTAAAGTTTAAAATTTTGATATCGATCTTGGAATTTAATGTTTGGGGTGAAATTATCCCTTTCATATGTTTAAATTGATCCCTGGGATCATTTTACCCCATTAGTATTTATTGTTTTTACAGATCATGCCGAGAATTTATATACGCAAAACGAGTCGATTAGGTGCGTTGTGTGTCTTAAATGGGGACATGGGGAAGCTTCTGCGGGAATAGATAGTGACGATGAAGGCGACTTTACCTGCGATATTTGCCTTTCAAGTAATCAATTTTATAGTGTGAAAAAAAAAATTAACTTAGAAATAGATAGGTCTATTTCTAAATTCTTGATAAGAAATAATCTAATTCTTTTTTAATGAAGAGTTGAAATTTCTATAGCATTTTGACATTGATAATGACTAAAAAATCTAATAAAACATGAAGACAGCAAAAGTTTCGTGTAACTTGCTTACATACTTAAATTGTTATGAACAAAACATATAATTAAAATAAACAGCTGAGTGTTTTATTTCATAGCTATTTATTAACTTATGTAAAACAATCGCAGGGATCATTTTACCTCTATCCCAGAGATCATTTTATACATAGGTGTGTATAAAATGATCCTTTACTAAACTTTAACAAAAATCTCTAATAAAAAAAAACTACATACATATCATGTAGTTACAAAGTTAAGTAAATTCACTACCTCTAACAACAGAAATCTTGCGATTTTGAATTCAACTTTAGCCACAGTTAAGTTTTTCCCTTAAGGGGATCAATATACCTCACCTTCCCCTACTAATAAGATAAAATTTGAAGGCTTCGGTAGTCTAACGGTAGCAGATTCGATCTAGCACGTTTGTATTCATAACAATAACTGATGATATAGGTCTGTATATGTCCTAAGTAGGTGCATATATTACTGTAAATTAAAAAAATATATATATCTATCAGTTGATTTGCAGGTATCAATTATACAAACTCAGAGACTAGATGGCGCTGCATGAATACGTTATGATTATTATATAAGCCTATTATAAAACAGTGTGTTTAATACTAAACATTAGAGGGTTTCTCTACTACATAACCATTTAAAAAAAAATGGAATTAAATTAAGCAAAGTATGATGGTGTTTATTCTGTAGGAGTAGAATCCGTAGCTTAAATAAACAATATGGAATTTGTAAATGTAACTTATATGGTTCACTAGCTGTACCCGCGAGTACGTCCGCGTGGAATTTAACTTATTTTTCTAAAATGAAAGTAGCCTAAGTTACTTCTTATTACATCAGATTAGCCGGAACAAACAGACAGACAGACAAAAATTGTAAAAAATGTTGTTTTGGTGTATATACCGTATTTATATTCATATCCATGCAGTCAAAAACGGTTATTTCAATACATATTACAAACAAACACTCCGATTTTATTTATATGTATAGATAATGTCGTGTCTACAAAATAAACCAAACAACTGAAAACTTTTACCTATTTTTCTACATACGAAATCAACCAATAAATCAATTAAGAGCCAGGTACCTACCAATTTAATAACGAAGTTCCAATATAATCAGTAACAAACCTAGTCTAGTAGCATATTGCTTGACAAAACAATTAAATATCATTTTATAATAAAAAATAATCTATTATTCTTTTTTAACAATACAATTTGTAAAAGATACTACAAGTTACTGAAACAATAAATATCACAAATGGTATGCTATTGACAAACGAATACAACATAACAAATATTTTTTTGTACTTTCGTATAATTATATACGACCTAAATCCTATAACATAACAGGTTTAAAACAATCATTACCACCGTCCCAATTACGAGTTTTACGCTTCAGTTGCAATCATACGAAATAATTTCTAGGTGCATGCATGAAACACCTCACAATTTTAATAGTCGTGTTCGTTGCATGCGTGTATATAAAATATCTTCTTTATAACTGCATTTCATTGTTTTGTAACAATAGTAAATATTTATTTGATTCGTAGATACGTAATCTTTAATATCCTTAGTAAGGGATAAGAGTGCTGTTTATATGGGGGACTAATGGCCTCAATATCAACTTGACGTCCAAGTTGTCCTACCTGGAAGCCGTTAACGTTAATTCCAGGTGAATTTGCTAACCGACTTGACTTCATATGCTCAATCTATTATACTCCACTAGTGGCCTGCCAGCGTATACCGATAACGCAGGCATGGTATATACTCCATTCCATTATAACTTATAAAATAAAACTTTTTAAGTAACATTAAGGCTGTGGATACAGGCCGCCATAACCACCATAATGAAATTGCAGACATACCAACTGGAACCTATCTACTACAATTACCAAAAAATTGAAAATGTATGTAACTATATACTAAGTAACAATTTATTGTGAATAAAAAACATATGTCAACATAATTTTGTTAATATTGTGCACTCATAAGGCTTACACATTGAATTCAATTAAAACTATAATCAAATCATCTCAAAATATCATTCGATGAGCGCAACTTATCGAAAGATAAAACAATGTATTAATGATTAAAATCAGCACTAACAAAATCTTTTTAGCTTTCAAAATTTTCTTAGCATCATTTTATATAATTTTTTAAGTGCTATAGAATACGAGAAACCAGAGTGGATAACCTGTTGCTATTGTTCAACTATTGCACATAATTAATATCTCCTTAGAATATATCTACTATACGTTGATAATAATTGATAGCAGTTATTTGTAATAATAACACAGACTCGGCCTAGTCTACCTTTTAATTATTGTTTTATGTAACAATTAATACCTATTTTGTAAATAAGTTCTGCTTGTTAGTTAGGTGTCAATAAATTATTATTTATACTTTTATTTTATCTTTTACGGTGTAATAAAATAATGTATTCAAATTATGTTGCTTCTGGTCTCGAATAGGACGATACAAAATACATACTGACTATTCTGCAAACATTCAAAAAGTTAATTGTTCATATTAACTAATTTCTCCACGCAATTCAGTCCGCACGTTTTCAGCAGAGAAAGTTTCAATTGCGATAAAATGCCTGTTTAAAATTAGTCTCACATTTTTAATTGGACTCTAATAATATTTTTTGTAGTTTTCACTTTTTATATATAAATAGCTATAACTAAAAATTCAGCAGGTAAAAAAATACTTTATTATTATCTCCATATAAAAAGCAAGTATTACTATACACTATGATGCTGTTACTAATAATTGTCACAGACAATTGTTGGTGACAGATTAAAATCGATGTGTTTGCGATTAGGATAGACGTAAAAACAGCTAAGGAATTACTATGAAAATTTCACAGAATATGTTGTTAAAATCGATCAACATATAGGCTTCTTTCGCCTGTAACTGAGAAATATATTATTCAAAGAGGAGTAATAGTTATTTTTCTTATAATTTTTCAATTTACAAGTATCTCATCTAAATATTTTAGAATACGCCATGAATTATTTTATTTTTATTATTATTATTTCATTATTGACTGCATCTATAAAATAACAGGCATACAAAGTCGAGGGAACAATTAGTGAAAATTAATATAATAACATTCATCCAGGGTCAGCAAATGAAGCAATAAAAACGGTTGTTATGTAAAGATTTTAATAGGCTATCATTTAAAAAACGCAGTAATAAATTATATGTATCCTTTTTTAATAACCGATATATATTGAGGATGTACAATTTCATTACTTTGTAAAGTTATTAGTTGCTATGAAAATAATTACAAATTGATCAAGAGTACTTTTATGTAATTGTTTAGTAAATGGCTAACAAACTGACATCGACTCTTTTCTATGTACTAATATGAACAGTATCATGTCATATAATGACTGTGATAACTGTTACCTCTTATACACTGCCGTCTGGAGAACAACGATGTGCCAATTCTAATTTCACTACCATAGACAACTCTTTAAGCGAATAATTTAAATAAAACTAAAATAGTTTTCTAAAACGGATCAGTACTACCAGAGATTATCCCGGATAATACCGAAGGTAGAATATCCAAATTCATGTACTCTAAATTTTCGTTATATTACTATAGATTAAATATAAGTATGAATAATTAAGATAAAACAAGTATATTTACCACTCTCTAATCTGCTGTATTTCATCTTCGTGTCCCTCAGGCAGCGGTTTCAAGCTGCGCATAAACGGATGCGAAAACTTGGTCGCGGACATTGCGCGTGCGCACCCTCACCGCAACTGAAACAGAAATAGAGCTCTGGCTATACGTCTGTACATTACTTCAATATTCAAACTTTCTATCAAATAGTTTACAAATTCAAAAAACTGCGCGTATAAGTGCAAAACTTTTTTTTTTTAATTAATCTTAATTCCAATTCAATTAATTTTCCAATATACTTTCATTTTACACGGTTATATCCTGGAATAAAAATTTTGAAGCTAATAGTATAATAAAATCTAAAACTAATAACACAAGTATACCTCTTTTCTAACACTTTTCTCCTTTTTAAAATAAGAATAACTGCTATCTGGATTGTTATAAAAACCTACTAGGAATTAAACCAATTAACAATACAAACAACTTTTTATTGAACGGTATAGGGTCGACGTTGACTCGAAGTTGAATGTGTTTTATTGAGGAAAACCAAGAGATTTTTTTAAGACGTATTTTGAAATAGCTTAAAGAATATGTGGCCTTCACTAAATAATAGGAGTTTTTGCATGTTTTTAAAATATGGACACCATTATAGGCCCTCGTTTTTTCGAAACAACAAATGAACATTTTGATTTTATCCTCAAAGACAAAGCGTGGCATTCATAAAAAGAATATTAATATAGTTAATCGGGTTTCAACACGAATAATTTTATAATAAATAAGATATTTTTTTGTTGTCTGTAATACATTGTTTTAGGCGATAAGACCGCCTTTTACACATTTATGTACAGATTTTTTGTGTGTTATATTACCTATTAATCAACAAAGAGTGTTCAACTAGATATTATTTTTACATCTTGCGAAGTTCAAAAGTAACTATTGCGTTCTATATTATAGCATAAAAGTACGATTCTATACTATTTATAAAGAATGAGATGCTTAAATATATCAGACATGTGTCTTAGGAATATAGGGTCTGATTTCGGGCTTATTCTAATGACTAAATTAAATTAAGGACTAAGATTTTTAATTGTAACAATAATATTATTCAGTACAAACTAAAACATACCTGATCTCATAAAGAAGGATGGTTTTTATGTGTCATACAAAATATGCATATGTATGTGTGTGCTCGTCTGTGTAAAATTTAACATCCACTATATGAACTGCATGAAAATCTGCGGTCATTCTCACTTCTCTATGGTATAATTAACCTAAACAAAAACCACATCCGTACTAAACTTAGACTTATGACCTTGAGCCATAGAATAAAGACCATCTCAAGTGAGTGGATTTTAAAAATATATAAAAACACAGCACAGTTATTATATAAATAAATATATAACTTATATGTAAATATATACAATAACTATACTTTATCAAAATATAAATAAGGATATAAATAATAACTACTTCAATGAGACAAATTATGTGCTAAGTTAAGTACACAATACACAAACACTTTCTATTAAAATAATTAGTTAAATACCAAAATATCGCATAAATTGACAACTCCGATAAATGTGGGTTCGATTCGAAACAATACGTGCATTTGCATTAATCAATTATAAGCAAATCAATAGTTAACCACCTCATAAATTATTTATGCGGTGGTTTATAATTGATATGTATTAACATGGATGGTTTTCTATATATTAAATAGATATATTAATTTACAAAAATATACATAGGTATATATGAGTTGTCTAATACCGACAAATACCATAATATATTTAGAATTATTTTTGTAACATGTGTATATAGATAGCAATAGGTATATATATGATTAATCAATTATAAATATCTTTATTTTGCGCTAGCTTAGCTTAGTTTAGCTTTATTAGGCGCTTAAAAATGCATTAAAAAATAACTTTCTGGGTACTAAATATAATAGTTGATAAAATACATGATATACTCGTATAATCTACAAACATCCATCCATCCATGCTCAAAGACTTTCAAGTTTATAATATTAATATGATAATATCTGAAGTTAATAATACTTCTTACATATGAGGAGTAGTCGGTAATGTTTTTTGATTACTGAAGGTAAATGAAGACACTTTTTTAATCCTTCGTGCATATAAAATAAACAATTTATATTCGCCAAATAAACGACTGTTTTATTCGTCGACCTAAAATTTAAAAATTCTATGCAACAACACATTATTGCAAATTTCAGGTATGTATGTACAATTCGGGTATATGGTACGATATTACAGCATAGCCAGTGATGCGAGAACAATGCGGTCCGTATGTAATCGCCGTCACGGAACGGGTTGCCGTTCGTTACCCACTTAAAAAAAAAGAAACCTAACGAACGTATTTTAATGCTGAAATGTAATTAATGCATTTCACTTTTTATCCAACTTCAAAATGAAGGAAGTTGAATTAGACTGCGCTTATTCAGGTTATTACGATTTATATACAACTGAGTATTACCCGCAACTTCGCCTACTTTTATTGAGATATAACCCATATTCGCCATCGTGCTACAATCTATCTTCACGTCAAGTTTTATTAATATCAGTTCAGTTGTGAAAATGTAACAGACAGACAGAGAATTTCACATTTATATGATTGTGCTAAAAAAGAAATAAGATCTTGTTATTAATCTGTGTTTGTTCTATGATATTCTTAATTGAATAAAAACCATTCAATGTCATTATCATTTTAACAAGAACGAACTTTTCTTTTTTGTCATTTATTTTATTTATTATAATTCAGCAGAAATATTATTGTTGTTTCATAGAATTAGTAGAATTTGATAATCACTGTAAGAAGATATTCGCCCGTGTAGTTTCAATTACATAGCGTGACTACATGCCGTTGTCACGTAACCATACTTAGGTATATACGTAATAACTAAGTGTCAGTTACGTTTCACACGTAAATACGCGATTTGTGTTACGCTATCTCTCGCCAAATACAAAATCGACGGCACTAGAGCTCCAAGCTGTAGCCGATTATTTTTATGTTATTAGAATAGCAAACAAGCTAACGGCCTCCTGATGTTAAGCAGTAGCTGTCTTATAGATGATAATGGAATGGTGCAACCGTCTGGACTTATCGGTTTACAGTGGAGGATGATAAGATGATGATGATGTCAGGTTAGTTAGCCCATCATGGTAAATTCACTATGTATTTGTCACAATGGTTTCCAGAGATAACCACGTGGAGGTCAACATTGTTGGCAATGGGGTATTAGTACAAACTTCACGTTTTCACGTGACACCCGCAATACAACTCTTGCGTTGCCATTCCAGAGGACTTCCAGAGGAGACGTCACGTCTCTTATACTGTAATTTCACTGCCAAATTTCATCCTCCAACTGAAACACAACTTGCAAAGCAAGCTGTTTACTCATGCAAGCTACTTTTACTGTCCAACCTCTGGTTTTTTATGTTCGTTTAACTAATCTAATTAGATTATATATTTATATTTAATTGAAATTACTTATCGTTATACTCAATTATATTTTATTCCACAGTGCTCCTAGCACTGTGGAATAAAATATAATTGATATATGATATAAAATAAAATATGATTCATTCTTATTTAGTAAAGTAAGCAGAGAATACATATATATATGTATATATATTTTTATGGTAGGTAGTATTTTTTCTGGTTTTAAAATATAATGCATAAAAAATAATGATAACAATGTAATAATATTACTCCTCTTTCAGCTAATACTCTTATATGTATATAGTTACTGTTAAACGAAAAATCACAAAAGATCTTTCTATCAATATTAATTCTAAACAAAAATTAGGAGCGATTCTGAACAGTCAGTCAACAACTATATCTGGGTACTTATTTATTGATAATGGCATATTAATCTTTCTACTTCGCACTACCTCTCTTCTACTTTATCCTCCAAAACATCACGACTGCATTAGTATGTCTGGCCGACAAACATAAGTATGTTTGTCGGCCAGAATGATATGATTATGTATGATTTGGTATTACTTTTATAATGGGTAAGTACCCATTATAAAAGTAATACCAAATCATTTCCCGCGCCTGCAACCGTACTAACCTTAAAAAATATAATATAATAACTAAAATATATTATTAAAAGGAGTCCCTTTAGGCAAAGTTCCAAAGATACTGGTAGCGTTCCCTCTTTGAATATCTAGACTAATTCTTTGTCCGAGGTAGCTGCCAGCTCTCCGGTCTTCTGTGATGTCGACTAACCTTTTTGTTATTTCCTTGAAAAGTCTTATAGCGCTAGGACCCCACGGACCAAGGGTCTCGACACCGAATGGGACAAAATCTATTCGGAGCCTAGACCACTGTATTTACATGCTTTGACTTTTTCATGTTTGTGTCTATATGGTGCTGTCCGAGGTTATTATTATTATTAATTAATATCCCATACGTAAGGAATTATTGACTACTTCTTATTAGATCTGCTCTTGACAGAACGGTCATGGTCATTATGTAGTAGAGTAAGAGGCAGATGTTATCCGCCTTACGACAGCTCGCCATTTCTTCCTACTGGCTGTCATTCGGGTACAATCGTAGAGTGGACCGCCTACCGCTCATGGGTGAATTATTACTTACTAAGTAAGTAAGTGAATTATTGACTCCCTATACGGTGAATTATAGACTATACAAATTGTCATTCCGTATCCCTCTTTTAATTTTTATTTTTGCGACAACTAGTACCCTATGTCCTACACCAAGGTACAATCTATGTATGTACCAATATTAATCAAAATTAGTTCAGTAGTCTAGACGTGAAAGGTCTAGAAACGTACCCAAAAGACATTTATAACATAGTATATATATTAAAACCACATACAAAAACAGCCCGTCTATACTTTAATTGATAATCAAGATGGAACTTAGCTAATTGGCACAAAATGACGTTGCAGATTTAAACAATTATAGTTTCGTATTTATAGAAATAATAGACATTTATTTTTAATATAGACACACGAGAATGCCGCAAGGTGTGAGGTCCGCTAAATGTACAGTTAGTTTTAGTATTGTACATATGTACGTATCTATCAATAATGAATGTTGATAGAATGTAACCATACTAAATTAGAATCGGAAACTGAGAGTTCTTTTAATTAGTACAAATAATACACCTAAACTAAAACTTCTTCTGATTAAATAAATTTATAGTTTATTTTTGCATAGTTTAAAATGAAGTCGCTTCAGCTGTTATCTTAGATTTTTTGAACTACGCAACGGGTTTTAATGCAGTTTTTAGCAATAGTTATAGTGATTCAAGACGAAGGTTTATATGAATAATACATGTACGAAGCCGGGGCCGGTAACTAGTAGAATAATAAAATTACTTTGTCCTCTGAAATGGCAACGCGCGAGTGTATCACGGGCGTCACACGATAACGATATTTCCGTGCTGTTCATGTCTATAGACTACGGTTACCATTTACCATCAGATAGACCGTAGGTTTACCAATGCAAGTACAGAAAAAAATCTAAAGCTCACTTGGTTGCTTATTCACTTTTGCTGCTTATAAAGCCATCTCTATTTCTCTTATTTGTTCATGTATTATTCTGTACCACATATGTGTGTCTGTAATTAGTGAATAAAAAAATTATCTATCTAAAGTTCGCCTTCATACAATTTTACATTCAATTTCACTCGTCCATATAATATTTATTGGATTTTTTTAGAGATTACATAGAAAACCTGTAAGATTTATTGAATATACTACTTATAGGTATTTCTATGTATATTGATCAATCAGATAGATTGACTATGCAGTGAATATAACGACCTATATGCTCTAATCGACCTCTTAATGGAGAGGTCAAACTATATCTCATGATTCATGCGACCCGATTCTGTTATATGATACGCATATTTTTGGGTTAATAGAGAAGTACCTATAAATATTGATTTCCAACCATATTTCTATCGAAAAACGATTGATGAGTTTTCCCACAAAAAAATAATATTACATACTTTTGACTCTTAGTTTCTATAATAAGTATTATTCAATACCGGTGAAGCTAGAATAGACTGCTAGTTGTTTAATTAAATTCAATTTATTATTTTAACGGTAAGCAATTTAGGTAGGTGTATTCATGAAATGACTGCAACCAGCATGTGATATTTAATATATCAGAGTATGCGGAGATCAAATAAGTCGACCGCAGCAACGCGTCCGGTCGTTGCTTTGTGCTATACCAACTGTTACCGGCGACTTCATCTGCTTTTTTGTATGTTGTTTATATACACCTTCATTCATACACAGTATCCATATATTTTTAGATAAAACATAGCCAAGTCTTTAAGCGTTAGCTCGATACCTTGCAATTTCTCTGCCATATCTCACCCTACAAACCGGACGAGAATCTAAAACGTACTCTTCATGGCGTCACAAATATAGATGAGACAACACGACACTAAAGTTTACCTCAATAAATAATGCCTGAGGGTCTAATTTCTACTAAGATTATTCATATATTCATAAATTATCCATTTATAACAGACACCTTGCAGCAATTCGTCAAAGACTGTCACTTAGTGACGATGACGACATTAAAAAGTACGTCTCTGTCAGCATTTTGGCTGACGAGTAAAATTTGGTCGAACCTATATTGTGCAAACTTTATGTTCATGTCTACTTATTATTACATCCGTTCTTGACTTTCACCTGTTTACCCAGTATGTTGTATTAACGTTATTAATATAATTAAAGCATAAATGTAATTTGTAGTTTATTAGACACTAGGTTTTTAGTGAAAAATCACCCGCCAACAGAAGTGTCTCGGTAGTGTAACGGTTTAGGACACCGCTTTAATTCCGATGGTCGCGGATTCGATTCCTCGCACGCTACAAATATTTATATTTATAAGTATTGTTTGTATCGGTCTGGGTGTTTTCTATGTATATTATGTATCTAATTACAAAATATCTAAGTATTTGTATCAGTAGTCTAGTACCCATAACACAAGCGCTACTTAAATTGGGACAGTGACTAGATAGCTTTGTGTAAATTCCCTTTCCTTCCTTGTCCTCTTACGATGCCCTCTCCATGGCAGTGAAGGGAATCGCCTTTCACTGCCAAGAAGAAGGCATTGTCAATAACAGGAAATACTAGCACTATTGACAACAATGTCTCTGGCCGGCCTCCACGCGGTGCGTTAAAAATACAGTAACAACATAGGAGGTCAATACTCAACCTAAATATTACTACATTAAGCCCTAGATAGAGCTGTGAAATAACCATAGTATAGACGCATAAATAAAGTTAGATACTAATTTGGTATATCTTAACAATATAAAAAAATATCTAAACAACACACTGAACATATCTACTCGTATGATAAAATGAATAAATTTATTGTACTTAGAACTTAAATGTTCTAAATTTAGTTCATATTTTTCTTGGTTGATATACTATGTCCCAAAAACAAAATAATACAGTTTCATTGTTGGACCCACGATGTTATTTGTTTTTACTTCATACCTATATTTCCAAGTACATGTAAGACAATATTTGCCAAAATCGGAAACGAAAGTTCATGAGATTACTCTTAGGTGAAACTTCAGGAACTCGTATTATTCTGATATCTGAGCAATCTTACATCTCCCGTGCATAACATTTTTTTTATTTATTATACGTGTCTGCCACAGATAAATTACATTAAATTAAACAATATAGGTATTTATAAACAGTTATCATTAAAATATATTTGGTAGACATATATTGAATTAAAATTCGCAATCTAACTTCAAAAATAATTTAAATTAAAGTAGTATTCATAAATTATGTATTGTTCAATTTAATCTAATTTATTATGATTATTATGCGACATATTCAAAGTTACCATCTATAGGATACTTACCTACCGATCACGTTTAAAGTAATCTGATCGTATTTGTTTACGTAGACGTAAATATTGCTGCTTTTACACGTTCTATATATTAGTTTATCAATAACATTACACTCTATTAATTATTGATAACAAATTAATTATATTTAATATTATGTTTAATAGATCTGACTTCAATTGTGATGAAATAACCATGAGAAAGAGACGAGAATAAACCCTATTTATTGCAAAAATAATCAATTCAGTCAGAATTGGCGAAGATATCACGCAACATACCCACAAAAAATCGAATGGTGAGAACCTCCTTCTTTTTAAGACAGCTGGAAATAAATATTATAACTCAATAGGTACTCACTTATTAAATGTCCTCTTTGAAATGGCAAAACTAGTTCACCGGAGCACGCGGAACGCGGGAAAACGGTTTTCGATCACTTGATATCGTACGAAGATGGAGGCGTGTGGGCACACTAACACACAATCCGCGACTGACTCGCCAAGTCACCACAACCTTGTACAACTTGTGCCGGACCGAATAAAAGTTTTAACTTTCTAATTTCGTATTTGAGAGCCACTTGAACAGGTGGAGACGACGCGGCAGTCGACTCGCAGCCATCGCACGTCACTTAAACAATAAATACCATAACAATCCTAACGGATTCTGACCTCTTAGGTGGGGTCAGGTCCGCTCGCCATTAGCAAAATATCCTCACATATGAGACCATTTAGGACGTTAGATATTTCATTATGAATTTCTATTTAGATAAGAATGTACTATATAGGTATCTAAATCAGGTAAAAAAGTTATGGTCTTATAACTTTTTTACCTGATTTAGATGTTCTCGATAGTAGTACTAGCAGCATAATGGTAATTTGGCTGAAGTGTACCGTCAGTCACTCAAGATATTGTTTTCTCACGTGTGACGTCTTCTTATTATATCCTAAGTTTCTATTGTATAAATAGTTATCGCATATCTTTTTAAATACGTTTTCTACGGAAACAAATATTGGGAATTATGTCTTACTTTATTAGCAATCAGTCTTTCTGCCTAAAACTTTAGCAAACATTCACAGTTAAATTATGAACCTATAACTCTTCATTATAAGGAACGAACTGAGCCCCCAGCTCTAGTACAATGACTTATCGGAATATACTTGAAGTCGTCCGTCGTTCCAATTAATTTGGGGTCATCTTACAGTACATTGCGAGATCGTTACTTAAGGACCTTTTTTACACATATTTATTAGTTTAACCGCTGGTATATTTCAGTTAAATAGCACATATCTTATTTATTGCTGATATTGACGAGGATTTCACCTAACTGTAGTCACATCGAAACTGCAATGAATGTCATCTTCATCTGACTTTGTGAAGTTCTCGAGTTCTTAACTCATTTAATTTAAATGCTAATCATTCGTGACTGACAAAGATGGCATAATAATACGGTTCTACGGAACCCTAAAAAGACAATAAAACAAACACAATGGAGCTTAGGTGAGACCTTTGATCGTTTATTACACAAGTTTCTATTGAAAATCTTGAACGTGTTTCGCATAGACGGGACAATTGACATACGTTGTACCACAGAATAGGGACTTCAATTCGCACACTGTGACTATACAATCTGTGTTTTTTTCTGTATTAGATACATTGACGTTGTTGCCGGTAGTATATGCATGTAAATGAAATTATAAAAACGTTCATTGCTGTACAATCAGTAAAATAAACATATAATTTTCGAATTTAAACTTTCTATGTGTAGTTTTGAAATTACTACTAAAAATGCATAACATTCTAGTCCTCAGCCTTCGCAAATGGCAAAGCATGAGTAACATCACGGGTATCCCATGATATTGTGATGACCGTAGTGTATGTAGTTCGTGTATTAGATGATGATTACCGCTAATCATTAGATGGACCGTCATCATGTTTGCCACAAACACACGTATTACGTAAAAAATATAAAATAAAGCATTAAAGTTTAAAACGAAAATAGCCATTTTAATCTTTGTATCTTTAATGTACGGGGTCTATCCCCGTAGTTTTGTATGCAACTAACTACAGTTTTCTATGGACATGATAGTGGCGCGTGATCATACATCTAACGTTTTTTACTAGTTATATGTCCTTTTCAGATGACGTCATTCAAACAGAATCATAAAATCAAAATAATAGGAACCCAAACATGCCAATCACCTTGCCTTTTAGTTATATGTCTGTTTGTGAGTAATATTTTTGGATAGAAATAAGATAATAATCATTAAATATCATTTAATGGTTTGTCTAAAAATAACTTTACAAATGAACCTATATTGGACATAAAAAAATATGTGTATTTTAAGCTAACTGTGATAAAACTTCTCAAAAAAATCCTAACATAATTGAGAAATTTCTTCTCAAAAATTCTTCACAGTAAAAAAAAATAATAAAACCATATATGTATAAGTAGGTTTTTTATGATAGTGCAGTAGCAAACAATTTGACGGCGAAAATCTGACAAGAAAGGGCAACTGTAGCCTATATTGATGTATATAGGTTAAGGGTTGTAATTTATCGTCCACGGACAATCACGTCATCATGTGATGCCCGAGAAATCGCCCATACTGTGCCAACTTGAATTAAGAAACCCTGCAATGACTTCTGCATCAAAGAAATGCGGTATCCACGCCGACGAATGTATATAAAAACCACTTCTGGTACAGAAAAGACTTATGCTACATAATCTAACAAAGCAAACACATTTAGCAAGGAACTTTTAATATGAAATATGAATACCACTGGTGCTCTATTGAAAAAGGATTTCCTGAAATTTTCACGAGAAATGGAGAAATAGATTCGAGTGGGTTAAGCCACTAGTTTTATTATAAATGCGAATTTATCTACGTCCGTCTTCGAGTTTCGTTTTCACGGCAAACCCTTATGTAATTTGTTTGACGAAACCGAATATCTAACAGTGGACAGGTTTTTCCCAATGATAACGTCACTTCGAGGGGACAAGTCCGCGGCTAATATCTAGTATAGAACATAATGGTTCATATTTTACTGCTTTAGATTTATGACTTTGTAAAGCACATTTTCAGAATTACATTCTGTTATCGATATTATTATAAAATGTTATGAAAACACATTTTTATTTTTATTGTTTGAATAGTCATGTTACGAATTTATAATATATTTTTCTGTGCAATTATACAGAGTGTTGTAATACAGTGCCTAATACCTGATCTGAGGGTTAATAAACGTAAGTTAGTCGTTGTTCATATTATCTACTATTATTGTGGGTTATTTTTTATTATATTGCTATGTAACTAATCATAATAATCAAATAATTATAAAATCAATACACTAAGAACAATAACTAAAGCAGTGCTCTAAGTTAGTTATTGTTTTTCTTTTTTGTTACGTCCGCTCTCATAAATTGCTTTTTCTGTGGACAAAGGTCATATCGCCTGTAATTAAAAAAATCATAAATTATTATTTAGTTTACTTCATTTTCCATCAAACGCATTCGGCCTATAGAAATAACCATAATAATGTTCTAGTGGACAAAAAACTTATTGAAAGGAAACGCCAAGATACTTTAGATATGTGCCGAATATTTAATGCAGAGAGTGAAAAGATATCCGCACATCAAAACCCAGTTACACGACGAGCTGGTTACGATAAAAGACCCAGAAGGTACAAAAGGGATGTGGATATAATAAAAAAAGATCTTAGCATTGATACCGCGCGGAGAATTGAAAGTATTGTGGACAAATTATATGATGACGTAACAGAAAACGGTGAGAAAGTCGCATACAGACGTAGGGATCTAGAAAGCACTGGAAAGGTAATGAGACTATATAAAATCGAATTATTCTCATATAACGTAATATATTTTTTTGCAGGATTACATGTAAAATATATATTATATCATTTCCAATTTACGGACATAATTTACAATATTATTTAATCTACTTAATGTAACAATCTTGATGTCCAATTGGAAAGTGGTAACACTTATAGATACATAAACTTAAAGTACGTAATGAACTAACATTTGTACACTGTCATCCAATGCATACTCACTTTTTCGCCACTCCTGAGAATTATTTCATGACTGACCAAGGAGAAAAATTGTGGTCACTGGTATTACTAGACTTTTTGTTTCTAATAGACAAAAAGGAACAGTGATTAGTCAGCATTATCTTGAAACATTTTAACTTTGGGTATGATTGATTATGTTTATAAACTCAAAAATTAGGTACATGGCGGATTCTAGAAATTCTGATAGTAAATATGGCTATTGGCTATATTTCACGTGAGTAGTGCCACGATCTGCTACTATTTCTGAACAAACTATACAGGACCTGATGAATAAAACCATAAGAAGATTTAACTTTGCTCCGGCTGAATTAACTAGATCTATGGGAAGTTTACCTAAGGATGAAGCGAGACCTTTTACTGAAGAAGAGTCTGCGAAAATGCCATGGCGAAAGAAATGGAAGCACGGCATTGTACCTTATTTTATTGATTCTAAAACTTATGGTAAGTAATAGCCACATATAATAAAAACATGCTGAATCTTAATTAACTTCTTTTTGACTTATAATAGCTACTCGGTGTTTATTAATTTTTATTTAGGCAATTATAATGGAAAGTAAGTTTAGAAACACGAATTTAGAGTATTGTGGTTTAAAAAACGTATAGCACATGTCCCAGATCCACAGGAAACTATTGTACATAGCTACAAACCTTCAGCAAGCAATTTCAATTTAAAAATGTATAATAAAACCCACTATATTTTTCTCAACTACAGACTCTGAACTTGCCGACATTTTAATAAAGGCGTTTGATTACTTCGAGAAAGCTACATGCATTCGTCTCCAGAGACTTCGCGATAGACCCACTGACAAGAACTCTTTGCAGAACATTGAATGGCTGTATATTACAAATCCTTCAGGCATAAAGCAATGCGTACATAGCAATGAACGTAAAGTCAATAAGGGTGTTCAGGTACGTCTATAGATTTAGGTATTTAGGTATATATAATAATATAATCAAATAATAAATCTTCTTTAGGCAAATACTTTAAAATATATTTTAAACCCTTTTCATGATTATTTATGTTATACATAATAGACATATAGTGATTATCTTTTTATACACTCCCGATTTTTCACACTATTTCAAACTATTTTATTAATAAGCCGTTATTCGATTGAAAGCAGAGACATTTTGTTTCAATCACTTAAAAAAACATTTTAGACTTTTGGATTACAGTGATATTAAGTTTTTAACTATATGTATAGGAATCTACATTAAGTTATCGTAAATTCAGATGGTGGTGTTCGGTTATGATTGCCTCTCTATAGGTGAAATCGTACATGAAATAATGCACGTCTTGGGATTTTCACATGAGCACACTCGGCCCGATAGAGACCAGCATGTCACCATACTGTGGGATAATATTAAGCCAGGTAAATCTTTAAATAAATTTGCACTGTTCGTAATATTTGTAATAATGGAAACCATCCATATTTCTCCACGATGGACTAACTGATATTAATTTTCAATCCATCATCTTCCACTAGTATCCAGATGTGGGTGTAAAAAATTAATAATCAACTTTAACTACAAATAACTTTGTGTATTGCAGGTTATAAAAAATATTTTGAAATTAGAACCGATGACACTTTACAAAGTATTCCATATGATTACGCCAGTGTGTTACATTATCCTCCACGTGCATTCTCTAAAAATGGCAAAGTCACTATATTGACTGAGGTAAACATTTACATAAAAATAGAGATAGAATCATAATACTTAAAGTTTTATTTAAATATAAAAATTGAGCAATATTTTAAATAACTGTTACAGTCAGGAGTGAAACTTGGGCAAAGGGAAGGACTGAGTGAAACAGATGTTGAAAAAATTGGATTAATATATGGTAATGAATGTGTAGATCGTAACAGACAGTATCTTTTAAAAACTTGTCCAAGTGTTGTTAAAGTGAATACACAACCGAAAAACATCACACAGGCAGAAATCATTCATTATTTCAAAGATAGATTATGGCCCTATGGAGTGGTCAATTACAAAATTAAAGATGAATTGGAATTCTGTAAGTTATTGCACCATTAAAACGGATATTTTTTATCTGTATACATATTAAAATAGAAATCTATGTTACAGCGGCAGAAGAAAAAGAGAATATTAAAACAGTACTTCGTCATATTGAAAAGGAAACTTGTATTGAATTTCGAGATCTTACAAAAGAAGACACACTCGATTCGAATGATGACGAGCAAAATTCATCAATAAACAAAAAGGATTCGAACATCCCCAATCAAAATGAGTCAGAAAACGAAATTAATAAAGATGACGACAATGATAATAAGCCTAACCACATTTCGGATGCGATATTGCCACATGGTAAAAATAATTCAAAACTATAAAAACTAAATACGATTTTACGAAATAATAAAACTCTAAAACTGCAATGTAATTATTCCGACTATCCTACAGGTATACAAAATACGACGCAAGATGCTGCAAGTCTTCATGCGTCACCAAGTCGTCGACACGCTGAAAATATATTAACGTTCACCAGATCACCAGAGCCAGGCTGCAATTGTCCTGAGCCCGGAAAACCTAACGGAGATAGAGTATGACTATTTTAATAGAAATTTTGATTGAATGAGAAAGAGATAAAATTATTATAATATTTTTTTTAAACCAATGTGTATTGGATTTATGGGTTCATTGTATGAGAATCTTAACCGAAAACTAATTATTACAAATTATACGAAGACGACATGTCAAAACATTTCGTCTACATAATATATTAATATTGATGGTTATCAAACGTGCAACATAATTAATAAGCAACGCTAAAATATATGTTATATATAATATATTTAAAACTACATGTTTATTATACTACATTTTTATTTATTTAACTTATTATTCGTAGATGCTGAAAATTAATTCAGATTGTTTCAATTCAGTAAATGATCTACTTCACTTATTCGTTCATATACTGGGATTAGATCATCAACACAATATGCATGACCGGGATTCATTTTTACACATACTTTGGGAGAATCTTACCGAAGGTTAAGGAAAGTTTTATTTGCAATTATTATTAAGTTAATTTAGTTGTGTATAATATAAGTATTAGTATCCATAATTACATTTTATCGTATTTGTCTGTTTTATTTTTATTGCAGATATCAGAACGGAATTGAAACAACTTTTGTCTCCAGCTGCTTCTGTTGGCTTTCCATATGATTACCAAAGCGTGATGCATTATCCATGGTTACAAATAAAAAATGGCGTTACAAATCTTATGTATCCCATCTGGGTAAATATCCTTAAGAGGAAATGTTCTTTTATTTTTCATTAATATTTTTACTCATTATTTCTATATTACCAGCAAGTACCAATACTTTACAAACACAACAGTTAACAGGTGATTTTTTTTAATATATTATATTTATTACTTAACAATTTATAATTATAGAATGACGGCTGGGCAATGGGTCACTGGCAAGGTCTATCTTCAATGGATGTACAGAAAATTAATCTTTTGTACATGGAGCAGTGTCTGGAGAGAAGTCGACTGGCACAAAATCCAAGTTAAATTTATCAATAAAGTACATTATTTTTTCTAAGCTGAACTCATTATTTACGACTTGACACATAAATAGACTCCTATTCTCTGAGTATTTCACTGTCACAAAAACAAATACTACCTACCTATGTCAAATTAATTATGTTACTCAATTCAGGTAAAGACACCAATACATATAAGAAACAATTTCACAGATGTAGTATTCGCATGATGCATCTTCGGTGTTTTTTATCCGTTTCCGGAAATGAAACACACTACTACAACGCAAGAAAAACCTAGAGACAATGATCTATGTACTAATACATGTTGTTTTAAACAAACAACTTACTACTTAAATTAAAAAAATAATTGAAAAATCGTCTATTTAATGTACCTATTTATGGTAAATAAAACTCTATGAGACATAATTAAACAAATTAAAAATATATATTTAATAATTATATTTATTTTGTTTAGTTTTAATCTAATAAAGTCCAAGAACAGACAATATATCAAGAAAATAAATAAGAACTATTTATAAGGTTATAACTGGTTTAGCCCTTACAAAATGAATATTCGCTTCAATTTTGAGTATCGCCTCTAACTTCACGGGAATTTGAGTGAAATTTGTCATTATTTGAGTCTTCTTTTCTAATTTCACTTACATTATCATTAGATTGTTTTTCATCCACATCAGAAGCTCTTTCTATGCTATCAGATTCTACAGCTGGTTCATCACTTTCTGTCTTATTTTGGTTTTCTGCATTATCTCTAGTGACATTATTTTCCGTCTCTCTCATTTCGTCTTCACTGTTAGAATCAGCAATACCTCCACTTTCTTCCTGTCCCTTTATGTCACTATTTATTTTATTCGGCGTTTGATTATGCAAAGCATCTTTACATGAATCGAAGAAATTGCCCACTTTTCTCTTATTGCATTCATAACCGAACATCATACGTAATTTTATTTTGTCTAATTGAGAAAGCACATCTGAAGGACTTATGACGAGGCCAGAGAGCTATAATTCAAAACAATTTATTACTGCTTCTACATATTATGACCAACCTCTTCATGCACATTATATGTAGACACAATATACATTTTATAACTTTGAAAATAATATTCTAAATATGTGTATATACTATAATATAATAAGTAAATAGATTGGTATACAACAATGTAACATACATATATACATGTAAGTGTATAATAGACGTTTACTCTTATCAATATGAATAATGTCTAATGGAAGCTACTTATAATTTGCTATTGCGATACAGGGAGGAAGAATACAACTAACAACGATGAATGAAAAGACTAACATATGAAAAGACGAAGCTATCGCTTTTTACAATTATGTGCGTCCGTGAAACCACATATGCGAAGCATTATTCCGAAGGACTAAAATATCAAGCCTCGTATCCTGTTATTGTATTGTCATAACTCACCTTTCGATCAAAACACAGATTACAAAGGAAGCTGTTTGGAGGCTGAAATTGGAAAGACTGACGCAGACAACTTTACAAAGCATACCTTGGGGTATGTCATAGGAATAATGATATTAATACTAACTATATCTATAGTATACAATAATTTAATATACCAAAGGAGTAATCGTTGCTTGTCCATTACTAGTGTATGCTCGGTCGTGAAAATGCATTATACTCATTGGATCGTACTCAACAAAATTCTTAGAAGAGGCATCATTCGTTTGGATGCGGAAAAGAGAACGATATTCTGAAAAAATAATATACCGTCACGACTAATTATACCAGATGGGGTTGTTAGCGCTATTGTCATCTGTAGACGTCAATAGCGTTTGTTGTTTTTATATTAAGAATGTATTATGTTTATTTCGAAAGGAAAGAAGATATTCATTTGTTTTTGGATTCTGTCATCGAGTAATTATAAACGAGCAACATAATATCCGTATGCTTTGAATTCTCTATTCCATCCTATACGATCCAAATTCTCCTGATTATATTAAGAATAAATTTCATTTCCATGGGGACAACACCAATCACTGAATCACTGTATTCGTACATCCAGAAAATTTTTACTTCATATCCCGGCTCATTTGTCCGGTTTCGTCCACTATTCTTTCGCCATTCAGGCAATCAAAGTTTGGAATGACTTACCTCTTGATATCAAAACTGCTACGAATAGATTTTCTTTTAGACGTAAACTACGGGAATATTATTTGAATTTATAACTTTCTCTCTTCTCTGAATTCACTTTTTTTCCATTTAACTCTCTTTAGTTCTGTGACTGTCAGACTATTTGGCATATATTTAAGTTTATTGCATATATATGTATGTATTTATGTGTATATAGGTATCATATTTGTATATATTTATGTTATATATTATTGTATCTCTTATGTATATATATATTGTATATATATTTATATTTTGTTGCATTTTGTTTATGTTTATAATTTTGCACCGCCAACAATTATTCTCTGCACCACCTATGGTTGACTGGTAGAAAATGCCGCATGGTGTTAAGTCCGCCAAATGTACTATACTAGGTATATATTATATTGTGTGCATTAAAGTTAAATAAATAAATAAATAATAAAATGGAAGTTAATTAGTATGTAGTAATGGAAGTGAATCCAAAGTGACAAGCGAGCCTCTTTCTAATTATTTTTTTGGTTTAGGGCTTGCTAATAACAAACGGTTTAACCGATCTAGATTCAATTTTCAGTAATGTAAGTATTATGGTAAACTTCAATTTAGAATTTCTTTTTATTCCAATTGGTTTACAAACAAAAATGTAGAAGTCTCAACTATTATGTATATAACTATGTGTTTAAATATTATTTACCGCTAATTATAACTTACTTGGATGTATATTTTCCCACATTACACGAATATACTGGTCCCTTTGTGGATGGGACACTTCATCTTGAAATCCAATAGCGTGCATTAAAGAGTGCAGCACTTCACGCCGTCGGAGACAATCAAACCCTAGTACCAGTAACTGAAGAAAATGTGTATTATGAATGTTTATGAAATTGTCTGTGCAATGTTTATCAACTGAACTGTAATAGCTTACATATATCGTGTAAACTAGTGCATTTCTACAGTTATGAGATATTCAATCGAACCAAATAATATCATGAAAGGCTTTAAGTTGACCTAATAACGTATTAATTAGTTACCGATTCTAAAACTTGGAACATTTATTTAAAAATAAATAGATATTGATAATTACTTTGTTTGTAACGTAATAAGGATTCGGACTAAGATATATTATTATTAATCTAATAGAACTCACAAGTGTAAGTATAAACATAAATTCTAAATTTATTGTGATAATTGGTAAATAGTATACTAGCTTCAAAGTGTCAATCATATCCCATCAACATAAATTTACGATGTACACGACTGTGAATAATATCTACCATTATCAGGTATTTCGGAAGTTAAAAAAGCTTTAGGCTCGTCTGCAGTAACTGTTAACTATTATTTGAGGCATCATCAATTAGAACTGATAAAGTCAATCAATATATAATAAACATGTTGAACTAAAATACACATGCTGTGTACATAAAAGCTGATTTTTAAAAGAGCTTTAGTTACTATACTTTCAGTTTCGACCTGTATTGCTGTACAAAAATTATACTTCCGGTGTACTTACTGGTTCAACAGTAAATTGGCCGAAATTAATATAACCGAAATCAAAATTATGTTCATGATAGTAGGTAGATAATTAATTAACGTTGAAGGTAAAATTGTCACACTGAAAAATTTTATCAACTTATAGTTGAGTCACTCTAGAAATAACTAAACTTTAATTGTTTGTTATGTGAAGTTAATTGTCAATGACAACTATATTGTTCATCACTATACCTATTTTACTTAATTCTAATATTTCGGTATTTATTATTAAAATTTTATTGTCATTTATTTTTCAGCATATATCTACCGTACATACATTCATAAGCCGAAGTGGGTCGCTAATTTTGTAATAAAATGAACTCGTAGTTACAATTTCATCAGTAATATCTGTCGGTTGAACTCTATCTTTTGTTTATACATCACTAGCTACCTTCTTGTCTATTAGTGATATCCATTCAACAGTTGATTCGCGAAAAGGTAACAAAACGGATAAATAGTCACAATTTGGCATTTGTATTATTAGCATGAACTATAACAATATAGAGAAATACTATAAGGTATTTGAGATTAATTACAACTAAATCTTTAACATTGAAACTTACAACAGCACCGGAATGTTTTTCATGCAACCGCGGTTCATGAATGCACTCTCTTTCCTTCTCTAGGTTAGTAATGTAGACCCATTTAGAACTGTTGTACGGTTTTTTTACTAGTGGTTTAAACCTTACACAAGATGCTTCTTCCAAAATATTCATAGCCGCTCTTATACGATACTCAATTAAATAATCTAGAAACAAAAATAAATATTAAAATAGTTACGCAATTATGATAACTATGTAGAGGATGCTAAGGTTGTAAGGCTATGCACCCTCACATCTGCCTCGTCTTATATCGTCCGGGAGACTGGAAATAAAGTGACTTGGAGAGCTGATGTGCAGGTTTAAGGGACCGTTGAGCTGATGAAAAACTTTGACTAATTTATGTTGTGTCCTCAACTAATTATTTATTTTATGTACTCTTGTGGAAATCATTTAGTAGCTTATAAGTATTCATAGAAATTCTTATAAATGTAAACTTAAAATAATACATATTTAAGGGAACGACAGTGATCAGGTTGATATTTATAACTAACTTAGCATTAATGTTATTAACGTTGATACACATACCATATATTTCGGTATCAATATAATATGGTATAATTCCCATTGACCAATGAGAAAATTCATTTATTATATTATTTGCATCTGAAACATTATAAAACAATTATCGACTACTTAAGTATTATAGGCTCTTCTCAGCAACAACCTGATTACATAAAAAGTTCGTAAGATGTCACTAGTAACTAATAAATAAGCAAAAATATATTTCTATGTAACATTCTGTTTTAATCGTAAGCTAATTTTGTAATGTCCAAACATAAATATAGCTTAGGTACATACAATAAAAATAGAGCTTATATTATAGATAGGTTATTACATATTATATATGACTATTGTTATTATAGATTTATACCTAATGCACACAGAGTTAGTACAAACCATTTTTATTTAATGAAATAGCATTAACTCTATGTAAAAAGGCAATTATCAAACTGAAAAATGTTGTCCACATTACTGCGATGCTTTTACTTCAATGATTTTATTTTAACAATAGGTAGGTATACAACAAATATAAGATGCGAAACTGCAAACATCATAAAATTTCACAACCATATCATGATTTAATTCAATAAAATTTATAACCAACCACCTAATCCATTTTCTTTCAGTTTATTGATACCCATAATGCAGTATTATCCAAAAGGTTTCTTATTTTTTCTGTTTATTTAGTGTTTTTCATTCCGGATCTTTTTATTTCCTTCGGTTGTACTTCTGGTTAGTACCTATACTTTTTTAACTAATCAGGGATTGGCTTTCTTGTTAGTCGGATGGGTGCTGTGGTAGTTAATACGAAAGAAATTATAACTCATGTGAAACACATTGTCAGTTTTTATTAATAGAACTTTAATTAATATTTTACACTGAAGCATAATAGTAGCGAATACATGACTAATCATAATATAAAAGTGTGGTATTGTTTCGTTCCATTGTACTCGTAATATTCTAAGTATATAGGTACAATGGTAAGATATATAACGGATAAAAGAATATTATATACTTATGTAGTATTAGCTGACCCGGCTAACGTTGTTTTGCCATATAAATTAAAATAAGTAAGGTTGATGCTAGAAGGGTTAAAATTTAGTGTTGTATGTATTTTTCAATCCTAAATAATAATAAAATTAAAATTAAATATTATGTCGAAAAATATATGTTTAGGGGTGGATATTACTTATAGCCCAAGAGCCCACGACTGCCAGACATACGTCATTTTAATAAACGTGAAAGTTCTTGTATGTCTGTCCCCAACACAGGAAAGAACGATCCCCAAATATGAAACCTGGATCGTGGTTCCTTTGGCAGGTACCAAGTAACAAAGGTGTAAAAAAATTCATATCAAATTCGTTATTTTAAGAAACTCCATATTTTCATATGTTGTTCGTAGCATTATTACAACTTGCGCTGCTCATTGCCAGGCACGTAGTGTGGTTCCAACCCCCCGCCGGACCCCCCTAAACTATACTATTTTAGGAATAAACTTACGTCATTTTAATAAAGCTGAACTTTATATATATTATTGAGAGAACTATTAAAATGAGTTTCCTAAATTGCCAGACAGTTTTCTTGGTTCCTTATCCTACCAGACTCATTGAAACCGTATATTGGGTAACAATGGTGTATACAATTTCATATCAAATTCGTTATTTTAAGATGCTCCATTTTTTCACATATTGCTCGTAACAGTATTATAACTTGCTCTGCTCGTTGCCAGACCCTTAGTGTGGTTCCAACCCCCCGCCGGACCCCCTAAACTGTACTATTTTATAAATAAACTTACGTCATTTTAATAAAGCTGAAATTTATATATATTAATGAGAGTTCTCTCAAACTGAGTTTCCTAAATTGCCAGACAGTTTTCTTGGTTCCTTATCCTATCAGACTCATTGATACCGTATATTGGGTAACAACGGTGTATACAATTTCATATCAAATTCGTTATTTTAAGATGCTCCATTTTTTCACATATTGCTCGTAATAGTATTATAACTTGCTCTGCTCGTTGCCAGACCCTTAGTGTGGTTCCAACCCCCCACCGGACCCCCCTAAACTATACTATTTTATAAATAAACTTACGTCATTTTAATAAAGCTGAAATTTATATATATTATTGAGAGTTCTCTCAAACTGAGTTTCCTAAATTGCCAGACAGTTTTCTTGGTTCCTTATCCTACCAGACTCATTGAAACCGTATATTGGGTAACAACGGTGTATACAATTTCATATCAAATTCGTTATTTTAAGATGTTCCTTTTTTTCGCATATTGCTCGTAACAGTATTATAACTTGCTCTGAACCAAGAAAACTGTTTGGCAATTTAGGAAACTCAGTTTAATAGTTCTCTCAATAATATATATAAAGTTCAGCTTTATTAAAATAAATTTATTTATAAAATAGTATAGTTTAGGGGTCCTCCGGGGTTTGGAACCATACTAAGGGTCTGACAACGAGCAGAGCAAGTTATAATACTGTTACGAGCAATATGTGAAAAAATGGAGCATCTTAAAATAACGAATTTGATATGAAATTGTATACACCGTTGTTACCCAATATACGGTTTCAATGAGTCTGGTAGGATAAGGAACCAAGAAAACTGTCTGGCAATTTAGGAAACTCAGTTTGAGAGAACTCTCAATAATATATATAAATTTCAGCTTTATTAAAATGTCGTAAGTTTATTTATAAAATAGTATAGTTTAGGGGGTCCGGCGGGGGTTGGAACCACACTAAGGATCTGGCAACGAGCAGAGCAAGTTATAATACTGTTACGAGCAATATGTGAAAAAAATGGAGCATCTTAAAATAACGAATTTGATATGAAATTGTATACACCGTTGTTACCCAATATACGGTTTCAATGATTCTGGTAGGATAAGGAACCAAGAAAACTGTCTGGCAATTTAGGAAACTCAGTTTGAGAGAACTCTCAATAATATATATAAACTTCAGCTTTATTAAAATGACGTAAGTTTATTTATAAAATAGTATAGTTGCGGGGGGTCCGGCGGGGGGTTGGAACCACACTAAGGGTCTGGCAATGAGCAGAGCAAGTTATAATACTGTTACGAGCAATATGTGAAAAAATGGAGCATCTTAAAATAACGAATTTGATATGAAATTGTATACACCGTTGTTACCCAATATACGGTTTCAATGAGTATGGTATGATAAGGAATCAAGAAAACTGTCTGGCAATTTAGGAAACTCAGTTTAAGAGAACTCTCAATAATATATATAAATTTCAGCTTTATTAAAATGACGTAAGTTTATTTATAAAATAGTATAGTTTAGGGGGGTCCGGCGGGGGGTTGGAACCACACTAAGGGTCTGGAAATGAGCAGAGCAAGTTATAATACTGTTACGAGCAATATGTGAAAAAATGGAGCATCTTAAAATAACGAATTTGATATGAAATTGTATACACCGTTGTTACCCAATATACGGTTTCAATGAGTCTGGTAGGATAAGGAACCAAGAAAACTGTCTGGCAATTTAGGAAATTCAGTTTGGGAGAACTCTCAATAATATATATAAATTTCAGCTTTATTAAACTGACGTAAGTTTATTTCTAAAATAGTATAGTTTAGGGGGGCCCGGCGGGGGGTTGGAACCACACTACGTGTCTGGCAATGAGCAGCGCAAGTTATAATAATGCTACGAACAACATATGAAAATATGGAGTTTCTTAAAATAACGAATTTGATATGAATTTTTTTACACCTTTGTTACCTGGTACCTGCCAAAGGAACCACGATCCAGGTTTCATATTTGGGGATCGTTCTTACCTGTGTTGGGGACACACATACAAGAACTTTCACGTTTACTAAAATGACGTATGTCTGGCAGTCGTGGGCTCTTGCTCTATTACCACTTAGGGGTATGAAAAATAGATAGTAGCCGATTCTCAGACCTACTGAATATGTATATAAAATTTCATAAAAATCGATCAAGCCGTTTGGGAGGAATATGGTAACTAACATTGTGACACGAGAATTTTATATATAAGAAGATAAGGTGAACATCTCAACACATCGACGATATAAGTAACTAAAGAAATCTCGGTCGTCAAAATACAACATCATACATTTTTATGTGATACATACACTATATGTTATAACTGTGAATAAAAAATGGGAAGTTACATGCATGATTCAAGGACTAAAAATAAAATAGTGTACCCTCATTCCTTTCAAAATAACGCTACAATGTATGTAAGAGGATTATTACATTATTGAACATTTAGTTACTTTTATATTTTTTATTCTGTAATTTTCAATATTAACATCACTACTTCTAAACTACAATAGTGTCAAAAAATACGAAATAACTATTACCTATTATATAAACAAATTTAAGAATTTATAGCTTTAATTGCATATTAATCTACAACTGTTAATTTTTTTTTGGTTCTATTTTTCCTTTTTAAGGAAAGGGAAAGGCAAAGGGACTCAGCCCATAATACAACTGTTAATTGTTAATATAAAAGTACTCTATGCAAAAGAATGATGATTGACTGACACTCGAATACGTCTAAATGTCTGGAATTGTATATTGTTTCTATATTTTCTTTACTCTTTGGCTGTGACTGAAAACGAAAACTGAAAATCTGAAAGCCGGTTGTTGGAAATACATTATCTCGTAATTTTTTTAATTTCTTTTGTTATTGTAAATATATTTAGATTTACGTTCAACACATTAAATTGTCATTAACTGTAATTATACTTATCTATCTTTACGCCGGGTCCCATTATTTTAATCTTATCTACATTTTATTTCATTTATAATTCACAGATGCTGACAATGCAGCGTCTTTTATTCATATGTATTGTTCTAATTGCACCTGCCATTTATGAAGCTTCAAATGCTGCAATTGGCTCAGTTGGATTAGACGAAATTTCCTTTGATAAAGTTATAAAAAAATTCGAAGCTACTCTGGTGAAATTCGATGTGGCGTTTCCGTACGGCGATAAACACGATGCTTTCGTGGCACTTGCGAAGGACGCGAAAGAATTGGATGATCTTTTGATCGCTGAAGTTGGAGTGAAAGATTATGGCGAAAAAGACAATGAACAACTGGCGAATAAGTACGGTGCTACAAAAGATAATTTTCCTGTAGTAAAATTGTTCATCAAAGGTAAGGATGAGCCCATACCCTTTGATGAAAGTAGAGGCTTCACCAGTGATGAATTGAGAAGGTTTATTCGAGAGAAGACAGGGATGTACTTAAGCTTGCCAGGCTGTGTAAAAGAGCTAGATAAACTTGCCCAAAAATTTATGAAAGCTAGCATTGAAAATAGAAAGAAAGTATTAAAGGAAACTGAAGATATTCAGAAAAAATTATCAAGCAAAGTAAGTTTTTCTATTTATAATGAATTTACCATCTTCTGTCTACACTGTTTAGTAAACTTATCAATGCATGACATGTTATAATAATAAAATTAAATCACTCATTGATACATTTATTATTTATACATTATTTCTTTTGTGGCAGTGTATAACAAAATATCTAGTAGAAGGGATTTACTAATGATAATGTCTTTTTCACAGGATGCTACTTCTGGAAAAATCTACAAAACAATAATGGAAAAAATTCTAGAAAAAGGTAATGATTTTATTAACACTGAGAGTGAAAGAGTGAAGAAAATCCTTAATAGCAAAGTATCTGAAGAGAAGAAAAAAGAACTCGGAATTCGAACTAATGTATTACAAAGTTTCCAACTACTATCTAGTAAGCATGGTAATGTGATCGGAGGAAATGATGAACTGTGATAGTTATATTAATAACAGTTACTAGATAGTTACTGTCTATGATGTTAATAATTAGTTCACATCTAATTTTGTGTGCTGAGTACTTTAGATACTTCAACATTCCAAGAAGTATGTTTGTGCACTAATAACTAAATTAATCTTATAAATTATTATTTCATTTTTAGTACACAAATATAATCAGAAGGACATATCTAAGCAATGTTTTTGTGAAATTAGATTGCACAATTGCACTGAACATTTGAAAATAAAGTGTGACAATTTATATAAAATATTTGTTTCATTAGACAACTACAAATATATTGAAATAAATATTTCGACATACAGAGATAAAATAAAACACATCTTTATTCAATTACGTCTATTTTAATGGCATAATCTTTCTTAAAATAATTTTGTCACTCGTGGACCTCATTATTTACGTAAAAACCGGAATGTATAACTAATTTTGTTACATATTATCATCATATCTTAGTGTCAAAAATTATTATTGGGGTACACTGCTTGATTTATTGACTTACAACAAGGCATAATGTTTTTACAAATGTTTCAGTGATGATTCTGGGTTATTAACTCAAAAACAAAGAAATAATATTCTTAAAAGTATTGCTTTATATTTAATATGAGATTGAATTTCTTAATTTGATTTATAGTTTAAAAAAATATATTATGTTGTGAGTGTCTCAATAGACAAAAGACTCAAAAGACAGCCCTTACGCAATAATGACGCCTTATTATATATAGAAAAATATATAATATAACACTCATATTCCTTTAATAAGAACTCTCAACACTATTTAAATCATAGGATAAGTAATCAGCATTTATCATAACCATTAGTTTGCGTGTAAAAAGAGATCTATTAGATCTTACTAGAAATAATTTTCCGCCTACATGATAACGTAATAGTCACATACATGAATCTGTTGATGAAATATTTCTTTCAACATATCCAGATATGTTTGTGGAATGTTGTATATAATATTATTATACATAGGGTGTTTATACAATGATTTCTGTATCTAAATGGAGTTCAATGTAGGCCCCATATAAAATCACTAAGTTACTTGCATGGCACCATTCCTTTACAATGTGATATGAATCCTTATAATTCAATGACATAATAATAACAAATACTGATTGGTGCAAAGCAAACAACCACACATCAATATCCACCGTGTCTATCTAAACAATTTTAACACTTAATCAAATTATCTAGAGTACAAATATCAAATCCGAACCAATTACAACCAGCTCTGTTCAAGATTTTATTACAATTAAAGGCAAATCTTCACAACTGACACAAACTATAACATGCAGCAAAAAAGAATAGAAGAAAAATATAAGATTTTATTATGCAACATCAAGAAACATGAGATGAGACCTGTGATTTATAATCATATATTAAGAATATGCCTAGGCTGGTTACCGGCAATCTAAATCATCTAATTTATTCCCACTGGCACACCAGCAAGCTTGCATTTTGTATGGGCTAGTAAGACAGTCAAGACAGCACAAGTTGAATCTTTCACATAGTGAAAAAATGTTTCATATAGTTACTATAGTACCTGAGATTACCCTTCATAACATACACAAAATTTTAAGAATATTAGTACAGTATGCTTAATGGTAATACATAAAAATAAAGGAAAACATGCTGGTACCATCATAAAACCGGGATGGACGCAAAGCGAAAAAAAAGGATGGGTAGTCTTACTTGCAAAATTACTGCACCAAATTTACAATTGTCTAATTAAGAACAAAGCCAAGTTTATTGGTGATGGTAGAGGTACAGCTATCAGGAATAGCCAAAGCATAGTAAAGGATGAATTAGCCTAAATCTAAACTTATTTAATGAGCTACAGAAATGGTTACATTAAAATATTTTCAATTAGTCTTCATAGATAAAAGTTAAGCATTAGTTGAACTGAAAAAATATTGATAAATTAAATGAATCAATTTATAATTTGAAAATAAATTTACTGATGCTTATTCAAAGGATTGTCAATGTCATTTTTTTTTTAATAATAAAAAAAACATTGCATTTCTTTGAGTAAATCATAATGATAACATTATAAGTAAAGTAAAAATATAATGGTGATGCTTTTTCTCCAGGCACTCTAAAAGAATAAATGAAAAATCATTTAAAATTAATAATTAAAGTTTGCTGAGAATTTGTTGTATAATTCGTTTTTACTTACAAAAAAGTACTTCGTTTAAAGAAAATAAAAAAAAACACTTCTCTAAACTTCTTTTCTTATCTATCACATCATTATGGTATAAAGGAAGGAATGATTTGTCCCCAAAAAATTACTACTTTCCACCGACATTAGCTGTAAATGATATAATTAAACTAAAAATAGCTACAATAAGACGAATATTTTAAATCATTTGTAAAAAATACCACACATTACAGTTTGGCCTCTTATGCAGATCTTTATAACATTCATTCAGCAGTATCACTTTCCACTTTAAGTTCCTTAAGTTTTAGAACTACACCTTCAGATTCAGCCTCCTCTGGCCTGTCTGCTTTATCAGGGGACTTATCCCCGATCTTAGGTTCTGGTGTATCAGTATCTTCACTCCTAGTGATGCTACTCTCATCATCAGAAAACTGATCTTGGGTATACAGACTACATTTCGTTCTAACAATTTCCTGTGCCTCTGCAAATTTTGTTTTCCATAATTCAGCATCTGTAAATTTTATTTGCATGGGTATTAAAAAAAAGATAAAATACTATAAATTACTTAGTATGTATGTAATAAAATAAATAATTATTACTTTTCAGTAGCATACCTAATATCAATTTTACCTAATAATATAGAAGGAATAAAGAGTAAACAAAATTATATAATTATGTCATAACCAGAAAAAACAAAAATGTAAAATAATCACAAATAACAGATAAGATTTTATTCTTTATAACTTGTTTTCTATTTCCTTATAACTAAGTTCATCGACTTAATAATAGTTAGTGAATAAAGTTCAAAGGGTTGGTAAAAATAGCATTACAGATAATAATATACATAAAAAATAAAATAAGTGTAAAATCATCTCGGCAAATTTATTAGTAGTCAATTCTGGGGTACTATGGTTCTGTATATTTAAGTCTGTGGAACTGATCAAGTTTTATTGTATAGTATTAGATTACAGAAACATTAAAATTATAAATATGACTCACTCTGTGGATTCCCAAATTTAATAGCAAGAAGCTCTTGTTTGCAAGTCTCATCTGCATAGTCTGCAAACACTGACCAATTAAATGCTTTGTCTGAACCACAGTGAACATTCATCCTAATGTCTGGAGTAATAAAGTGGTTGGCACACACTTTCAGGGTTTTGTCTCGTCTCATAACCACACGCACAGTGTTGTTTGATTTATGACGCAACAATTTTATGTCACCCGTGCCCCGTTCCTGAAATCCAAATGTATACATATGAGAAATTATAGTAAACCATTTTTTAAGAAAAATCATAATTTTTATTTATATACATAATAATACAATTTTTTTCGGTTTAATACTTTTTCATGACTATACAGCTAAATAGATTAGAAGGAAAGGAAATTGAGCATGAAAAAAATGGTATTATTATAGACTAAAAAATCTGACCAAATCGCAGGTACAGGTAATGTATAAACCTAAACTTTTTGTTTATCTTAGTGATAACTATTTGATTCTTCAAGCATACTTAAATGTGTACAGATTGTTGTTACACGTATTTCAATACCTTCCATTCATGGTCCCCGGTGTCGTATCTATAAAGCCTAGCCCGTATCTTCACTAGCTCTTCTTCGTCCTCCTCGTTGGTCTGGATATCCACAAGGGGCAACGAAACAATAGGCTCGAAATGAGGGTCATGTTCTGGTGTCTCTGCTTCACCGCCTTCGCTTTCACTATTGCGCCGTACACTTTCTTCTATCTGCATACAAAAAACGTATGTGTAAAGACAACAAACGGGTAATGTTTACGGCTAAATAACCTATCAATAGAATTCTTTTAATATTACATAGAGGTTAAGCTAATGTATACTTTAAAAAAAACAATACTTACCGGCGAAGACATCTCGAAAATTATTTATCACAATGTTTAAAGAAAAAAATGGAAAAAAACGCAAATATACAAATATACAAACTGTAGAAATTACGAATATGATAAATTCAGTTACAAGACAAAAAATCGAATGATTTAATTTAATGGATAGATATTATCGATATTGAAATTGAACGAGTGACAAAATTCGGAAATTACGAAAATGAAATCAGAACTGACAATTAGGGATGTTATTTTACGTAAAGCATAAGCAGTACGCTTATCAATCAAAATACATAAACGCTTTCGTTATATGCCTTGAAATTACTTTGCCTGACTAGATTTCGTTAAGTGTAATTATTATATTCCCTGTGTGTGATGAAATTTTGTAAATAGCAATATCTTGCAATTTTTGTAGACATAGTTCTCTGATGAACCCTGTTTTGAAACGCATGCAAATTTGACATAACGTGATACTCTGTGCATTTAACAGATTATCAATCAATATTCCATCGTTTTTCCCCTCCTCCCTCTCTCTACAGTATTGACTATTTTTATTATTGTGTTCTGTAATGTTTTTTTGAATTGATTGATTGGTAGTGAATATTTTAAATCAAATATATATTTCTACATAAAAGTTCCAAGTAAGAGTTGTTTTTAAATATAACCGAATACTATACCACATTCACCGGTCAAAAAGTCAATGACTACTTATTTCCCGTTGGAAATGATATTCCCTTTACCTATTTCGTTGGCCTATTTTTCTGTTTATTTTAAGATTTTACCTATGTTCCGGGGTGTGCTGAAACAGATTCTAAAAACTTATACTTTTAGTTTGACCGCCTTCAATGTGTTTTCTGCTCTGTTTTTTCGCTTTTGAGGAACTATTTGTTTTATATTTATACTTACAATATAAATATAACATCAAAAATATTTGTCCTTTTTGTGAAATATAATACACTTAAATGTTTAATTAAGTATTGTAACATTACAATATTTTACTTATTAAACAAAAATATAAAATTAATTATAATTATTAATAACAGAATACTTTTTAGCAAAGATTTTGCAATGCAAAACATAGCAAAAATGATAACGGAGCAACTCCGGAACCCAAATGAATTGGACATCAATCTGCGCATGGAGTTTGGGCCATTTGAAACAGTGCACAAGTGGAAACGGATGTTAGAATGCTATGAGTTTGTTGGTGCCAGGTAAGTTTATTTATTTAATTATTTGTAAATTGTTTTTTTTAAATAACATGAAAACTATTTATTTTATTATTAAATTATTTGAATACCAATAATTCTTTTATTATGGTCAAGTTAGAATTTTATTAAATTATATTTTGTTTAGTAATATTATACATGAGTTCTTAAAATGTTAAAAGAAATAATTTTCGTATAATAAATACCTTATGATAATACATTGTCCATGATTATTACTGAATGTATTATTAGAATAGAATAATAGAATAATAGAATAGAATAACATTTATTTCATAAAATTTAACTTAAGTAACATTGTAACTATGACCCCACACTATGCCTGTATAGTGGAAATCAAAGCTGGTTTGACAGTTAACGTTACATTGGTACGGCAATCAGAGTGCATATAATAATTATTATTAATTCTTATTTTTGTAGGCGAAGCAAACACACAGCTGTTGCATACAAAGATGCAATATATGTGTTTGGTGGTGACAATGGCAAGTCAATGTTGAATGATCTCATAAGATTTGATATCAAGGAAAATTCATGGACCAAAATGGGTTGTATGGGAGTACCACCAGCACCAAGATATCATCACTCAGCAGTAGTAAGCCAGAAGGATCATTATTTCTTACTTTTTCATGGACAGTTTATTAATAAAACAATTAGACTTGAATGAAAAGCAGGATATATGTTTTGTCATCCCAAATTCTACTTATATCCTAAGTTTTATGATTATTGGTTGATCTCTGAACTTTAATATTTGTTATATTAGTTGGGATTACATGAAACTTCATTTTAATGATGGTTAATCATATTTAGACCTTTCAGTCTGAACAGACAAATCTCTTTGTGACTACATCCATTATTATGTAATTTCTCATCATCCTGTTGTCATCATATCAACATCATAGCTACTAGCACACTAGTAGTACATGACAGTAACATGAGAAGGAATGTCAGTTTGTTTGTCATGATATATTCAACAGGAAATCATTAAAAACTTGACAACCTGAATGGAGGTCTTCCAGAGTTATTTTACTAATAATGGAACCACTAGTTGCCATTTCTAAGAATCCCCTCACCCCTATCTTTTGTTAGTGTTATTTTCAATTTTATTAACAATTATTTATAATATATATAATTAATACAGGTACACAGATCATCCATGTTTGTCTTCGGCGGGTACACGGGCGACATTCTTGCCAACTCTAATCTCACCAATAAAAATGATCTGTTTGAATACAAGTTTCCGAGTGCACAATGGATCCAGTGGAAATTTACTGGACAGTGAGTTAAATCTATTTATTTATTACATTAATAATAATTAGAGCATATATATAAACGGCATATATATAAATTCCTCCTTTTATTAAAAAAAAAACAGTTTTGTATTATATTATTAAATAACTGTACACATGATTTCGTCCGTGTGGAATTTAACTTTTACTTCTAAAATAAAAGTAGCCTAAGTTACTCCTTATTACATTAGCTACCTGCCAAAAAAAGTCCCGCAAAAATCGGTCCAGCCATTTCAGAGATTAGCCGGAACAAACAGATATACAGACAGACAAAATTGTAAAAAATGTTATTTTTGGGTATGAACCATATTTATATTCAAATGCATGTTATTTCAATATAACAAACAGACACTCCAATTTTTTTATTTATATATTCTATACATATAAAGAAAAAAATTAAGTTGAGATTGTACAAAGTTGTCCGCAAGGATACAAACTCGCCTATTTCTGCCTCGCCTATTTGAGCTGCCAAGCAGCATGCTTTGCAACAATTAAAAAACCTTTTACAGGAGCTACTTTTATTTATTTTTATTATAATATTGTCATTAGAGAACCTGTACCGCGATCTGCTCACGGTGCGGCAGTGTATGACGACAAGCTATGGATATTTGCCGGCTACGACGGTAACGCCCGCCTCAATGACATGTGGACCATCAACTTAGTGGCAAGTATTTTCGACTTATTCACACAAACTATTAATCACATACAAAACTAGCAATCCCACAGAATTCATATATCACCATTCAATCTCAAACTAAGCTTTGCTTGTATAGTTTTGTATTACATGCTGTATACTAGCTATCAGTAAAATAAATAGCTCCAGAGAAGCAAACAAGTTTCCTACCTATTCTACTGGATTGAAACCAATGCTAGAATTAAATAATGACATTGAAGTCATAATTAATATGTTAAGTTTAGTGGAATAAAGATTTATGTTTCTATATTTGCTTGTGTAGGGCGAGAACCACCAATGGGAGCGGGTAGAACAAAAAGGGCAGTGTCCACCGACATGTTGCAACTTCCCTGTGGCAGTGGCGCGTGGAAAGATGTTTGTGTTTAGCGGACAGAGCGGCGCCAAGATTACTAATGCTCTGTTTCAATTTGATTTCGAATCACATACGTAAGTACTTATTTACAAATATAACGCTCGCATATAGCTCGCATAAAATTAGCAATGATGAGTTGTATACAAAATATAAATTAGTAAGTAATACATAAACTCTAACATAAGGGAAATAACTTGTGAAGACAGAATTGAAGTGGAAATACATATTTAAGAAGACTTTGTACAATGTATCTGAATAAACAACACATATGTTTCACCTGCTTTTGCCATCACGCAACTTGCTTTGTAACCTATATATATTGCAGTTAGAAGAGTAAAATATTGTAGTTAAATTCTTCTCGCCGTAAAGAATGGCAACATGTGGCATTTTTACAGTTATATAAAAAAAAATAACATAAAGGTATGTGTGCTGGGACACATAGTAGAAGTTAAACTTCATCGGACAAGTCTCTTTCTCTCACAACGCGATACATGGGGAGCCCTCGCCTTAGCGCGCCGTGCTATGTACTCTTTCCTCTGCCACCAGACCTCCGCGCGTCGGATATTAGGATTGGGATTTTTAGTTCACTAAATGTCTATAAGAAATTACAAAATAAGTGGCATAACGGACGACAACGTATGGTAGTGACATCGATATTGACGTGCGTGGTGTACGGCAGGTGGAGCCGCGTGTGTACGGAGCACCTGCTGCGGAGCGCGGGCCCGGCGCCGGCGCGGCGCTACGGCCACGTGATGGCAGCACACGCCAGGCACCTCTACGTGTTCGGGGGCGCCGCCGACAGCACGCTGCCCAGCGACCTGCACTGCTACGACCTCGACACGCAGATGTGGTACGTATTCAACCCAATGTGTTCACACTGACACCTGTATATATCGAAAAATAACTGATGAAACATCCAATTACATGTTGAAAAATTACTTAAATTTAAGAAGGTATATAAAATGTCATATATGGAAGTGTATAAAAGTTTTATTAGTTTAAACGAAGATGTATCGATTGATCGATATCAGTATCGAAAAATTCACATTATATGTGTGCAATTTTGATACTTTCTGATCAACAAAAAAAAATTTTTTTTACACCATTATATATGACATTTTATTCACCTTCTTAAATATTACAATAAGCATATTATTAATATATTTTTATTGAATTCTTACACAATTGTAGGATGTTTCATCAGTTATTATTTTTCGAATTTTCGATAACCTGTAGACAAAACATAATGTATTTTTATCTGAACAAGTAAATAGATTTGTATTTATTACATGGTAATCCTTTTTTAATATTGCTTATAAATTTTACTCTACAAAGAATCAACATGTTTTTATTCTTATATGAATGTATTCTATAAGTATATTTATTATTTAATATGATTGTAATGTCAATGAATTATATGATAGGTCGGTAGTACAGCCGGCAGCGGAATCGGCGACGCCCTCGGGCCGCCTGTTCCATGCCGGGGCCGTCGTTGGCGACGCGCTCTATATTTTTGGTGGCACAGTCGACAATAACGTTCGAAGCGGTGAACTTTTCCGCTTTCAGGTAAGAAAAGATATTTTTTTAAAGAATAAATTAAGTAAATTAGTAGCTATGGCGATCTGGGTCAAAGAAGAAATTTTGGTTAGTCATAAAAGAACGACTAAGTTTCATAAACTGAAAGTTAAAATCACTCAAATAAGACAAACCTTATGTTTAATAAATATATAATTAAACAAAATACAATTGTATTAGCTGCATTTTTTTGACAGTAAATACTCGATTTAGGACCTTTATCTCCTCTTGTGTAGGGACATCTACACCTGTAAAATTAATAATGAATCTTTATGGTGTAGAACCTGTTTTCATTGCATTTAAAAGCTGCATTAAAAACTGAAACGTAAATGTAGGAATTTAAAGGATTGTAAATAATAAAATAAAACCTCCTCAGCTATCTAACTACCCACGTTGTACACTGCACGATGACTTCGGCCGCGTGTTGAAGTCTCAGCAATTCTGCGACGTGACGCTTCTAGTGGGCACAGAACAAACTCCCATACTGGCCCACCAAGCGATGTTAGCTGCTCGCTCGCAGTACCTTCGGGCTAAGATTAAGTAAATTACTTTTTATTTTCTTTTTCTTTATGTAGGCAAATGGCTGATCCGCCGCCTTATGATAATTGGTAAATTTTGCCTATATACTGCCTCTGCTCATGGGTTTGCCAGAGGGCTCTCTCTGCCTCTTAACCTATAATTTTACTGATATAGAGTAATAACGTTCCAATAGAAACACATCTTACAATGCAAGCTACTTGGCAGCTGAAATTGGCGAGACTGTGGCACCATGCAGACGATTTTTAACTAAGTCTACCTTTAACTTTTAATAACTAAATAGTCCAGTTTAATATTCAATAATAAAAATAACACAGAACAAATCACTCACTCACGCCATCGAGTTCTAAAGTAAGCAGAGCTGGTTCCATCGGTACTAATCAACTAATTAAAATACTTAAATTCCTTTATTTGTAAATACACACACATATAAATCACCCAAATTAACACAAATAATCATAGTCATTAAAATATTTGTATTGTGCCAAATCGTACCGCGACTCTTGTAAAGCAGTGTGCTAAATCGCTAGACCACTGAATTGAAACGTTTACGTATTGCATTCTATAATATATCTGTCATCTCAGATCTCTACTATACAAACATATAATGCCGTCAACAGAGAATCTCGTGAGGAGTTAGCCAAACGCATCGCATCTGGTGAGGAGAAAGCGTCAGAAGTCTACTCGTATAAAGCTAAACCTCAACTAACAGTAAAACTGCCTGAGGCTACACCCGAAGCATTCCAGATGGTGCTCAATTATATATACACTGACAGGATTGATCCTACTGAAAAAGGTGAGTTGTTATGGCCATTGGTTAAATTTATATACCTAATACATATTAATTAAAAATTAATACATCGTAATTTGGAAACCAACTAAATTGTTAAGAAGCTTGTCAATGTTTTGTGTGACCTGACTACAGTATTTTTCTATTCTGCAAACGATTCGACAAATGAACGAATTTTTGTACCCTTAACCAAAGCTAAGCAGAGCCTGTGTGATGAGCCCTAGGCTATAAATACTTAGATACATTTTTTTTAAATACATACTAAATATATACTCGTGAACGAGTGCTGCTTGTAGGGACTGGTCTGCTCTTATCACTACGACTGATTTAATCTTATTGCATGATTATATTTGACCCAAAAAATTAGTGCTTGTTGGTAGTTTGTATTCACACGTTTCGACTTGTAAATGTAAACTTACAAGGATTATTTAAAAGAGCAACACACAAGTTTCTTGCTCGTTCTTCTTGTGATGAGACAGCTTTCCGAACGAGTGGTAGATAAAAAACAAATTGTTATGACTATTCAAAAGTGCTTAAATTAAGTTTATTTGAATAAATGATTTTCTATTCTATTCTATTCTATTCTAATATACATAGAAAACACCCAGAGCGATACAAACAATCACACGCATGAATACAAATGTTTGCTAGCTGGACCACCGAGGCCGTCAATTGCCTTTGACGTCGTCGGTGGTCTAGCAGTTTAGCACACCACTTTTCTACCAACGCTCGCTGATTCGATTCGTCGCACGATGCAAACATTTGTAGTCATGTGTATAATTGTTTGAATTAGTCTGGCAGTTTTCTATATATATCATATATTTACAAAAAAAAACGATGTATTTGTATCAGTTGTCTAGTGCCTATGTTCTGCTTAGCTTGGTACTAGATGACGCTATGTATTATCCTGAGATACGATTATTAATATATGATATAATGCATTATCAGATGAGGACCCGGCCTCGCCCGCTACGATCCTGCTGGTGATGGAAGTGTTGCGGCTGGCGTTACGATTGAGTATTCCACGGCTGCGTGGTCTCTGCGCGCGATTTCTCCGCGCCAACTTGTGTGATAGCAATGTGCTACCCGCGTTACACGCAGCCCATCATGCTCAACTAAACTGCATCAAGGAGTACTGTCTGCGGTGAGCCTAACACTTCTGTATTTTTTGAGACAAATTTAACATTACCTACGATTTTTTATCTTTGAGACAAATTTAACATTACCTACGTTACCTTTAGCTTTTAGGAATTTTTAAATAGGGTTGTGACACTATCGGAAATTAATATTAATTACCCATTTTTTTAAGTTGCTCAGATGTGTGGTTGTTTCTTGAAAAATCGTTAACACAAAATTAATAAAGTATAGGTATATAAATATAGTTTTGTTGTATGTACAATATTTTTTTAATTGACATATACATCACAAAACTAAGAATTGACATATACTTTAAAAACCAATCATTGTATGTTATCCTATTTGATAAAAAATACACCTAAATAACATATTTAGCTGATTGAAAGAAAACATGTTTGGTAGCTTATATAGTAGCTATATTGTAAAAATGTACTGAAACCACAAAAGTAAAAAAAAATATAACTATTGTGGTTCGTTACATATAGTTTTTTAGGACTATTAATAACAATCTTCTATGCTTTTGTGAAGTATTCTGTTTTTAATTATTTTCAGTTTCGTGGTGAAAGACTATAATTTCACTCCGATCGTGATGTCAAAGGAGTTTGAGGATTTGGAGCAGAGTCTAATGGTGGAGGTGATCCGGCGTCGACAGCAGCCGCCATCAAAGCAGCCCACTGCCGCACAGCACGAGAGTGACGAAGAAATTATAGGTACAAACTGCAAACATGGAATATAAATAATCTTATACCAATCATCTACATATGAAATAAAAAATATTACTAATTTAGAAATATTATTAAATAATAATATCTCCACTATCGGTCGCTCCACAGAATAATAATTGTACCATCTGTTAAATTAATTCAAAGCTGTCAAACAGTGAGACATATTTCATGTATAATAATATAATTTTGGACTCACTGAAGTTCACACACTGCCATCTAATCCCAAACTAAGCAGAGTTTGTGCTAATACAAACATGGAATATACCCAGACTAATACAACACCATAACACTCATGAATATAATGGTAGGATCGTGCGAGGATTTGTACTCGCGACCATCAGAAGTAAGGTGCTAAACTGCAAAACCATCGAGGCGAAAATAAATATCATTAATTAATTGTTTAAGTACTTTATCCCGGGCAAACATTTTATGTATTTGTAAGGTATTTTTTTTATTATGGATGATAGTGGAATGTTACACCCGCCTGCGCTAACGGTTTACGCTGGCGGGCCACCAGTAGAGGACGATAAGATGAGCATGAGATCAGGTCAATTAGCCCATCATGGTAAATTCACTATGAATTTATCATGATGGTTTCCAGGGAAACCACGTGAAGTTCAACCTGATATGGTACATTACTGGCAATGGGGTTATTAGTCCATAATACTTACAACCCCCTTTCCCCTGTATAAGTTATTTGATATTTGACATTTTATGTATGTGTAAGATATGTAGACACAAGATAACGGGCGATGGACTCCCGCAGGTACGACCTTGGAACAAGACATGTGTGTATTTGTGAGCGGCGGTGGTAGCAGCGCTGGTGGCAGTAGTAATAGTAGTGGCGGTGGTGGCGCGGAGCTGGCTGATGTGCGGCTGCGAGTGGGCGGAACCATGCGGCCCGCTCACCGCTCCATCCTGGCTGCCAGGGCTGCCTACTTCGAAGCCATGTTCCGTTCCTTCTCGCCGCAGGACAACATCGTCAATGTTAGTGATAAATCTTACTCCTTATTAATATTATAAAGGCGAATGTTATATGGATGTTTGTTACTCTTTCATGCAAAAATTACGGAACGGATTTTAATGAAACTTTACAATATTGATATGGCTCATTCATCAAAATAATATATAGGCTATGATTTAAAAAGATATTCCGTAACTTGGCCGAAATATGATAAATATCAAGTGTGATGGAGACGAAGTTGCGTGGGTACTATAATAGACTAGCTTAGTCTTATATATCTTCACGTAAAATTGCACCAACATCCACATTAACCACTTACATTGTGTTATCGTTAGGCTTTCTAATATGGTTGAGCGCAGTGAGGGTTGGCTCACCCGTTATACTCCTGAATGGGTGTTGCTTGTAGGGACTGGCCTAATCGGAAAACTGTACCTGATTTATTTCGTTATTTTTAAAAAAGCACACAAACTTCGAGTATCAACTAGTACTACATATACACTAGTTTAATCCAGAATCCATACAGACGACATTGTATAAATTAGTATATGTGGATACCTCAGTCACGCCTACTTCAGCTGTAACGAAAGCCTGTGTACTAATAAAGTAATATACTTCTAGATCAAAATTTGCGACACGATCCCATCGGAGGAAGCCTTCGATTCACTACTTCGGTACATATACTATGGAGATACGAATATGCCAACTGAGGACTCATTGTATCTCTTCCAAGCACCTATATACTATGGTAATGTATCATAATTCTAAATATATTTTGATAGTATTATACTTAAATAGTCTGAACATTTGACTTCTACAATAGAGAAAAACTAAGATTTAAATTGAAACCACACTATAATATCAAATTTAAATCCTAGGTTATAATAATATATTTATTTAGTTTTCCAATATTTTTTATCATTACAAACATCACAATTTACATTTTTTTTACAAATAGATATTAAACCAATACCTACTACAACTGGAACATTATACAATATACCTCTAATTATATTAATGTAGAATATTTAATATATTCTTTCAAATTGACCTTAGCGGTTGCGGTTTCTTTATTTAAATTACATACTTTTGCGTGAAGAAGTAACTGCAAATATTCTATAATGTAAATATCTTAATTGTATAGGATTCACAAACAACCGGCTACAAGTGTTCTGCCAGCACAACTTGCAGAGCAATGTGACCCCAGAAAATGTATTGGCGATACTGCAGGCGGCTGACAGGATGCGCGCCACCGACATCAAGGAGTACGCGCTCAAGATGATCGTCCACAATTTTGGATTAGTAAGTACTGCTCACGATATTTTGTACAAAATAATAGACAACAACATTTTTACTATTAATTTTTATCTTTTAATTTACATAAAATATTGTCAAAAGTTTTAGTCATATACAAATCATCCAACACTGAATTTCCCATATCTTATTTACTTCCCTATTATTTTGTCTATCATTATTATTATTCGTAAATTTTTAATTTATGGGTACAACTCTTAGGTATACTCTTGGGAATAACTCTTCATTAATTATAAAAAAAAATGGTAAAATAATAAAAGTGTATTAAAAATTAATTAAATTAATAAATTATTAATGGAATAAATAAACATAACAAATGCTATTTTGTTTCCCCCAGGTCGCTCACCAAGAAGCTATCAAGAATTTAGCACAGCCGTTACTGGTCGACATTATCTGGGCGCTAGCCGAAGAACCACACTTCGACACCCCGCTACCATCACAGCCTCGGTCGCTACCATCTTCGTCGTCTACCGACGTCCTAACAGATGATATGGCCGAATATATTAGACATAAAGTTAAAAACTACATATAAGATTACTAGATGATGAATGACGAAACTTTCAAAGACTAACACTTAATGTCTTCTTCGACAAACTGATCGCATGAAGATTATTCAGGTGGAGTTGGACATGAAGAACTCGTAATCGTACTAAATCCTACCATGATAATAGTAACGACGTGATTGAATTGTTATTCATAGTCACGTGTCGGCTATTGGATTTGACGACCTCAAACATGTAAAGCGAAATGTAATAAGTTTTCGACCTAATTCTCATTTTAGGATAATATTGCATGATAGGTGAAATATCGAATATTTTCTATATATTCATTAGAGTATATATTAAATATTTTGAAGTTGATTCATCTGCTACATAAGCATTTACTGTAATAGTTAAACTTAATGCTGGACTAACTAAAACATGAAACCAGACAGGTTTAGATTAATAAAACAGATTATTTTTTTACTTATACAGTCAAAAAACGATAGATTAAGCTTAGAGCACTCCCAGCATGTATAAAGAATATAAATAGAAAAATACTAGCATTCTTGAGATTTACTGGATCTTGTCTACATTTTCATGTAGCTGTGTGTTTATTTTTTATTAAATATTTATTGTGGAAAATAATATAGCAAATCGATTACATATCAATATAATCGAAGTTAGAATCTAAAGCTCATAATTAGCAAGTAAAATGGTTAGCAAAATAAATAGACAACAAAGTTTATTGGTATCATTAGGTTTGAATTCACAACCTCTTGAGAAAAAGTCACAGTAGTAAACCATTAGGGCATGATGCTCTTCCACTGTTAGGCCAAATATAAGATTTTCTCTTAAAAAGCTTATATGAAATTTTTCTAATTGCATTTGGTACTTAGTACCAGATGTGATTTTCATTAGTGAGTACAGCTGGTGGCTGTGAACATCACATATTCTATTATTATCTACATATATAAGCTTACAACATTATAAATGTAGAAGATAATGGATTATGTCACTAGATTAACTTCTGTGAAGTATGTAAGGTAGTATGATTGGATAATATAGATGCGTCCATGTAATAATATAATAAATTTGTATTACATATATTCTGATTTGTAATGTGTAGCTTTAACAAAAGTAAAATATATTTTAATACTAAAGACATAAGTGACTAAATGAATAATTTGAATCTCTTATTAGCCTGAATTTTATTAACTATATTGACAGGAATGGACATTATTATTTGTATAAAATATAAATAGGTACTTTGTATTCCTTTGATATACTAAATATTTATTGAAATATTAACATTGAATGTTTTTTTAGCAGATTTGAATATATAATTAATATTTTGTCAAAGAACATGATCTTACAATATACAAATTCATGTATATAGAATGATATACTATGTGTAAGCCAAAGCATTTTAAATTAAGTCTTACATAAATATTAATGTATATAATAATATACCGCCTATGCAATATATCATTGTTCTAATAATATACCTGATTATACTATATAGAAAAGTTGTTATGTTTGATAGAAATAAAATCACAAAGAATAATTTAATTTAATCATTTATTTAACAAATAAACTAATTTATTTTAATTTGGTTACTATTTATTCCTCATATTTGTCCTTGATATCCTTCCATAGTTTCTGTAACCAAATAAAACACTCATTATATATACGGACAGATTCCATTCTTTCACTTCTCAATCAATGTAATTATCAATTGCAATAATTTTGTTGCTGGAAGAAACTAGTGTCTAAATACAGGCTCGGCCTAGTTTACTAATATACACTAGCAAAAATTTCTGCAATGTAGGCTCCATATTTAATAAGACAAAAATAGTTTATAAGAATCAGTTTTCATTTAGTGTTAATAAATTATGATTATTGCAAAATTATAGGATCTCAATTATATGCTGATTTTGTTCTGATCTACAGTTTGGATCTTAAATTTTCTTCCAGGTCTCATATGCATGGAAAGAGGAGTAGGAGGGGTAATTGGGCATAGCAATTGTTATATGATATTATTTTTAGGTTACAAGGTAATATCTCTTAAAATTTGGAGGAAAAAAACTTTTTTAAATGCTTTGGAATGATAGCATTGATACAAATTTTTATACGTTTTTTTACTAATATAAAAGCCAACATCATACTTTCTTCGTACTACAGTTCTTATGTACTTTAATAATAATATTGTTATTAAAATTGAAGAATTTAAAAGAAATTTTGAATTACATAACCAAATAGTTACTCACTCCCTTGTTTATACTCTCGAATAAAGATTCAGAGATTACATCAAATCCTCTTTCGAAGAAGAATGTTCCTGAGGCCACAGCAAGTGCAAAAGTAGATGTGCGTTTAAATACGACACGGTTTAAAGTCGACAAAAAAGACATTTTGGAAAATCAATAACAAGAATATTGAAGAATATTCAGACTGATTTTGATTTCTTCGCCTTCACTCTACTTTTTAGTAATGGCAACTCGAACAAACTGTATAGAAATGCTAAAGCAGGGCAACTAGTGTCGTCAGTCTGCGTCAATCAAACAAATTTAGAATAGTACTCTATGATCTAGAGTTTTCGAAGAAGTATCGATTCTTGCTATACCATACCTCGAGTATTCGAGATATCGATATTAATCAAATAATTTTGTTATCAAAATATATCCAAAATATAAAAAAAATAATGACTTCAAATGTTGTTATCCCAATAGACAGTCAGACTAAAACAACAAGTCCCGATGGTAGATTATTAGAAATTAATAATTATTTTGTTAACGATATTTTTCTTCACTGGAAAGTTAATCGTAAATTTAAATTTACAGTCTGTTCATGGTGTGGCCTTGTTCGATATCACATTTGGGGTTACTAAGTCGGGGTAATGAACCACAAGGCCTCTTCGCTGTCAAATAATGTACGAAACTATTAATAAGTAGGTACACAAATATTACGCTATAACGAATGTAGCTTAGGTACATTGGTACTGTATTTTTTGAGACAGTCTGGTTCAACAACAAACGTTAGATTTATCTTCAAAACAAGGATAAATAAATTAACAAAAAAACAAAACTTTCCTAACAAAATTAAAAAACTGAAATTTCTTGTATGTAACTATTTCTGATCGCCATTTTTTATATAGTTGGAATCGCAAACAAGCTAACGGCACATTAACTAGATGGTAAGTGATAACAGTTGCTATAGTGATAACAGATAACATGAACAGCATCACGGACATAACATAATTATGTAACAACAGTGATACCACTAGGTACTTCAGTACTACGCACAACTTACGACGCAAACTGCTTGGTGACTGTAATGCCAAAAAACATAGAGAACTCAAACAAAATAAGTATTTTAAATATTTGAGAAAATTAAAATATTTAATTTTTCCTATTCCTTTCATCTGTGCGTTTCCCAGCTTTTGAGAGATACTTAACTAACTTATTTATATGTAATTATTCCCACCATGCATATTTACTACTGCACTTTGGTTCCTTACATAAATTACGTTACATGTTGAGGGAAGGAAGGAAGCTTACACTGTGGCATTGTATGCCAAGGATTAGGAGTGAATTCTAAATTTAGTAACGTCACATTTGAAAATATAATATACTATACCATGTGCGCTGTAGCATGGTGCAGGCGACAGTTTCAGTAACGTTTCATTTCACTCTTGAAAGTTGCTGCCACAGTTGCAAATTTACATATTATGACTTAGTATTTCAGCTGTACCACATCCGTAATATATTAAATCTTTAATAACTGTAGTAACTTAAATATAACCCAGCCAGACTGTTCTATTCTACTAATGAAGAAGGCAACTGTCACCCGCACCATGCTACAGAGCACATGGTATAGCTGAGGTCGCGGTTTCACTCGTGTGAAATTTATAGCCTATATGTTATTCTGATGTATAAGCAGTATTAGCTATATTACTGTAAAGTTCCATCAAAATCGTAGTTTTTAAAGCCAGCATTGTCACAATGACGGGGGAGAGTTCAAATAATGAAAGTGACTAATTCCTTTCCACATTAATTGAACTGCTACTTTGTGTTATAAAATAAACGCTATTATTATGGGCAAAATATACTGTTTATTTACATTTTTAAAACAATTAAAACCTGGTATTATAAATAATATTTGAAAATCATGCGCTTTAAAAATTGTAACCAAATAATCGTACACGCTTTTGTACGGAATGTACGGTAATAGTGCTTTATTAACAAAAGAAAAATTTACAGAATATAGAACTGGATTATTATTTTGCATAATATGTACTTGAGCATTATGGATAATTGCTTTTGATATTAAAAAATATAACTAGGCATCATAAGTATTCAGTATCAATGCTCAAATAGATGGTACAAGTGTTTTGTAACCGATTAAAAAAGCAATATAGAACAGCACAAAATATTTTGGCATTAATTAATAGCAGATTACTTACACAAGCATTATAACGTCATACAGTTAAAACAAGTTATCAGTCATTGTAACACAAAATTAAATAACAATAGAACTGTGACACTAGATGAAAAGAAAACATTGAATTTAATTGAATAATTATCACTATCACATGGGTATACGATTTATAAAAAAATATTAGTACATAACAATATCATGTATGACATTTACCTAGGCTGTGTTCAATTCTAATATCATCTATATATTCTATAATCAAAACTAAAATGCAATATATATTTGTGTTTGCAACATTGGACCTTGTTTCACAGATATAATATTAGTCTGAGATCTTTCCACGTTAGTGACGCCTATAAGGGTTACATGTGGGGTGCACATGTGCACAATGAATACATAAAAAACAAAAATATTTGACGCTAACAGCTTCATCTGCTACTGGAAGATGGCATCTACAAAACGATAATATATCATTATCAAATAAAAATAATAATGACTATTAGTATGCAATTTAAATCTCAGATCGTAGAAACTAAGGAGATATGTAATGATATAATTGCCCTTGCACTTATCACAGTATGTACGCACACCAAAAATCATACACTCATCATGTATTTATTAGACATCTTACTAAGATTTACTATTAGACCAAATAATAAGTAACTAAACAATTTCAATAATAATTACATCCATTAACACCTCCCATTTCTATTATCTAAGTTTTAAAATGAAAAATATTTTATGTTCTACCTAAGGAATTAAATAAATAAACATTGAATTTGGGTTGATACAAAATACTGCACATAATATACTTTGCCATAACACATAAATAAATGAACATCTCACTAAATGGTTTCCATATTGAGTGCTAAGAGTTAAAATTAAAAATGAGTGATAATGTTTACAACAGTCATGCAGTGGTTGATTTCCTCTTTTATAAATACTACTCATTTGTAGACTAAAATTTTCCTCACAAAACCACATTCATGTTTGTTTCAATGAAATATAACATGACTGTGAATATATTGAATAAAAAATATAATTAGTGGTATACATTTATATCCTATGTGTGATACATCCCATATCATGCACTCACGTCACATTAATTTTGAATATGAGAATACAAACATACACAATAACTATGCATTCAGATATCCTAATATAATTTTTGGAGTCAATAATTCCATACAGCATATATGCTCATAAACATGAGACAGTGCAACCCAGCACATGAGACTGACATTTTGAATATCAGCATTTCATCAATACAGTACATCTATATTGGAATATATTACCCATACTTCTACTTAGGGATAATGACATTGAAATAAATTTAAAAACAAAACTAGCGTTTCATACTAAAATTAATCATTATTACACTGCTCGGGACCATCAATTTATATATATTAAACAGCAAGATTAATTACTGTTGATAACATTTTCCTGTGCTGTAGTTATCTGCTAGGTTGTGCAGCATATCTCTCGATATTTGAGCATAGCGCAAGCAATGTCCGAGGCACTGTGCCACAACATGCGCCACTAGCAACATTTCTTCTTGGTTTTGTGATTCTTTTTTAGATTTACTGTGTCATTTGATGTAACATTTTGTCTTTCTTTCATTTCCAATTTTGATCTTAGTACCTATAAAAATAACACAATTAAAATAATGTAACAATATTATTATCTAAATTTCAATAGTATTAATAGTTACTTGCAATGTATTAGATAGATCAATTATAAAAATATAAAAAAAAAACCTTTTCTACCATATACAAGATCATACATAATTCAAATTATAATTAAAACAATGAAATTGTACAACTTATGTTAAGTAAGCCACGTTGTAAGCCATCTATATAAAAACTAGACCATGAAAACTGTTACATAAAATTACTTTCAGATTATGTCAGACAATAACATTTAACAATTATTTCTCATTTTTGTTTATTTATTTGTCATATATAATAATTAATAACAATTTACAATAATATAGTATTTTGAATTTTGTAGGCCTTTCTGTCTGTCTGGATAAAAGCCTTTCTCTTTGATTTCTCATGATGCAATAAAATGATAAAACAGTACAGTATTTACATTTTAGTATATGCAACAGAATATGTAATTTTAAGCAGTATATATACATATTCTATTATTCCCTATAACTTAATAAAAATATTATTAAACAATTATCTATATATGTATAATATGATTATCTATATGTATTGTTATTAATGAAGTAGGATATTTAGTAAATCATTATACCATGATTTTTAGTGAACTGATTTTGATTAAAACATATCTATATTGAAGTAGATATAATAAAATTGTATGTAATGAAAATAATTACCATTTTTGTGATAGTGAGAAACATTTCTTCAACATTTATGTTCTCTTTCGCACTAGTCTCAAACAGTGGTATGTTCATCTGATTTGCAAATCTCTGTGCATCCTCTGTGACTACTACTTTTCTTGATGGACAATCATTTTTGTTACCAACTGCCAAATATATAAAACTAGATAAGTACAAAGTATGTTATTCCACAGATAGATGTCCACTAATAAATTATTATCTAAAGAAGAAATTGTTCAAAGCATATAAATTTTGGTTTATAGTAAGTTACTTACCTAGGACTTTGTTCACGACATCACAATTCTGTTCGATCTCATGTAACCATCTCTTCACGTTAGCAAATGACTCCCCATTCGTGACATCGTACACGACGATGACGCCGTGGGTGCCTCTATAGTAAGTGCTCGTTATAGTTCTGAACCTCTCCTGCCCTGCCGTATCCCAAATCTGAAGTTTCACTCGCTCGCCGTTTATCTCTAGAGTTCTTATTTTGAAGTCTACTCCTATGGTTGTAATGTAACTACCAGAAAATGTGTTGTCGGCAAATCTCAGGAGAAGACAGCTCTTACCCACACCTGGAACATAATACTACCGTCAAAATTGCCCAGAAAGTCGTTATGAAGTCGCAATATCACAGGCCTCGCCCACTCACCACTGTCACCGATAATCAGTAGTTTAAAAAGATGATCGAATTCGCGAGCCATTGTATGACTTTTATTTTCAATACTTAGCTAACTCGTCATGTGTTCACTAGTAATCTTTTGAATGGTTTTAAAACAATTTTTACTATAGAAATTATATTCAAACGCATGCCGTAAGAAGTTAAGCTTGCGTCACTTCACAATACGTCCGCCATTATTGTCTTCCTTTGACTATTCTTTTTATTAATACGTTTTAAGACTCTGGATGACAGTCATTTTGAGGTTACTCTTCTCTACAATGTCAAAAACCATTTCATTTACGGTGTACTTATGTCAGTTCTAATAGTGAAATCAGCTGTCAATCTATGTGTCACAAATAAAATAATTTAATAGGCGTGTCGTTCTTTAAGTTTTCACCAAAATAAAATAATGTCGGCGACATTAAAACCGTATTTAACTGCTGTTCGCCACACGCTTACTGCCGCGATGTGTTTAGAACATTTTTCATCTCAGGTTGTAGAAAGATACAATAAACCGGAGGTCGAGGTTAGAACCAGTAAAGAACTATTACTCAACCCGGTGGTGATTTCACGGAATGCCAATGAGAAAGTGTTGATTGAATCCTCTATTAATTCTATACGAGTCAGCATCATGATCAAGCAAGCAGACGAGATAGAGAAGATTTTGTGCAAAAAATTTATGCGTTTTATGATGATGCGAGCTGAAAATTTTATCGTTTTGAGGCGGAAACCAGTCGACGGCTATCATATCAGTTTCCTGATTACGAATTTCCACACAGAGCAAATGTATAAACATAAATTAGTTGACTTCGTTATATATTTTATGGAGGAAATAGATAAAGAAATCAGTGAAATGAAATTGGCAGTAAATGCACGCGCGCGTATTTGCTCGGAAGAGTTCTTGAAGAGATTCTAGAAATTCCTCTTGTCTACGACATGACTTTATCTTGCATTTAAGACACAAATGTAATATATAAGCACTTATGTTTAATACCTGAGGTTGTTATATGAATGGACTTCTGTCACTTATCAGCTGTATGTTGTTATTTTTTAAACAATGAACATGTCTATAAAATGATTGTGTTAATTATTATGTATAAGAACATTTTAACTGCTGAGGTGTATTCTAGAAAAGCTGCTTATACCATTATGCATTGTGCCAAATGTAATATAGCAAGCAAGCTGTAGTGTATGTATCATCTACTTGTGGGACATATGCAATACTTAAATACTAACTGTCACAAGGCTAATTCCCAGCAGTTAATATGTTAATAGTATGTAATAAAGTAATTTTGAGTGCCATGAGTTTTTACTCATGTATGCCTAAAAATGTCAAGAAAAATCATAAATTTTATGTCATATACCCTTTCTTGCAAAAATGTGTATCCTGTGATGCTGAATGTTAGACGGCAACTGATTTTAGGACCATTGTGAAGCTCCTGGTAATTTTGAGACAGACTCGCAGGAGCGCAATCATGCTCCTCTGCACTCTAATGGTTAAATTAGATAATAAATTTTGAGAAATTCCCAAGATTAGTTATTCAATATGTCACATATAAAAAAAGTAACATTACAGATACCAAATGTCTGTTTTAAGCATTTAACATTAATTGTATGATATGGCTGATTCTTTGTAAATTCTATTTTATGTTACTAAAGATATAATAATGAAATTGATTATGTCTTTGAGAATAGCACAAAATTTGTACAGTTTTGTAACTAGAGTAGTTTTTAAATCTGCAAAATACTTAAATATGAATCTGTGTGATTGTCTGATGGAGTGAGATGGCAATACTTTATAAATGCTATAGGGATAATACCCTATGATTTTCCTTTATATTTATAGATAGATAATGGTTTCCATCAAGGAGCTATTGACCGACATTACATGAATCATATTGTGATATTTTTATAACTTACTAAAGTTACTTAACCACTGAACATATATATTTACTGCATTGTGGATATTTTATTTAATCTGCGCTGATCCATATCTATCAATTATAATTTGAGTAAAGAGTGTTTTACAACCATCCAGTCATTAGCTTGTTTCCATGCCTAGCTGAATAGAAATATTATTTAGGGTTGTCTAATTGTAAATTGTATTACTATATGTTTAAGTACCTAATTTAAAATGATGTTCACAACAATGATAGGTGACAATAACCCTGCATACCTGATTAGAAGCAACAGTAGGAGGGTTTTTTGTTATTATTCCATTTATGATAAAAAAACAGTATCTTTACAGATAAGAATTATAAAAATATAGCTTCATATAATGTATTTTATTTAGTCTTATCTTATAAAATTATTGTTTAAACTCTAAAATTAAATAATTATATTTCTAAACCACTGTTTATAATTTAAATCCTACTCTTCGAACAATTTGTATTGCACATACAAGCCAATCACATTTTTCACACAAAAATATTATTATATAAAAAAATATTAAAATTATTGTAGAAGTTGCAAAATTTAATATTATCTTTACACCAATTTACTACATAGACAATTAGTATCCCATTCAACATTTTATTCTTAGTTACTCAAAGTAAAATTACACATTTTGTTCAATTAATCTGCAAAGAGAGAAATAAGAAGAATATATTTTAATCTGTTTATATTTTTGACTTGGACTATTGAAAATTTAATTAAATTTGGAAACAGTTTTTTTAAATATAGACATATATTGTATTACATATATAGTAGCTATTCAATTCTTAGACTTAGTGGTGCGTAAAGTGAAGCCTTCACCCTTAAATGCTTGAAAAGGTTCTGACGGCGCTTCTTCTTTAGCGCTAGCTGGCCGCGAATTTCTAATGAACCTTAGTGTGCCGATAACATAGTCGTAGTCTGGGATACCGCGGACATAGGCCTACAGGGAAAGTCAGTATATTAATACACATATACTTCTAGGAGAAATGTATTGTTTATTTTGTATTACTAAATTTCTTCTATCTTATAACAATATTTGCAGGCGGAAACCCTAACTCGGTTTTCAGCATTATAAAAAAAAAATCAATACCTTATATTGCACATACAACATGCAAAATACAACTTACTGGGCCTGGGTACGAGAGGCAGAGCGTGACGTGTGTAATGAGCATATCGCGCGGGTTTCAGCTTTATGCATTGTAATTGCTGACTAGCGTGTTTAGTGTGTTAGTTTATCCAAAAATTACGTCACCCGAATTCATGTTTTTTTTAACCCTAGTCTCCCACAAATGTGACCAGCTATGACTACCCCTCCCTTAGTGTGACATCACATTCTATGCTAATTTATATTAAACATTTAACTGTTAATTTTTTTTAATACCCAGATATATATCATTTCAAAACATGTTGACAGTCAACCTCATCCTTAAGGTGAGAAGTTTGTATGGCTGTACATCTTGCCTGTCACCATAAATCGCAGTGTAGTCCTTTACATATGTCCATATTTGTAATCTATCCCTTTAAATTTCCATTTCATATTATAGTTAAATAATTATTACTCTGATACTTCATAATCTATCACCACATGTATTTTCGATCTAATTAGTAAAATATATTTTTAAACACTAAATATTGTAAGTACTACAAACAAATTCAATTTTGTGTTACACAAAAGTGTTAACAAACCTGTCTAGACTGAGAGGGCTGTTGGTCGGAATCACTTTCACTCAATAATTTCTTTTTTTTTCCATCCAATCTGTTACCTTCACCACCAAAAACTATGAAACCACTAGGTTCTGGCATCATGGAAGCAGGATCCTCATCCATACCATCAGCACCGGAACTGCCTTCACCGCCTCTTGATATATGGTCTTCTTCTTTGTACCCAACAGGTGGTGCAAACTCCACCTAATGAATGATTTGAAGTTTATTAATGTGTTGTCTCTGCTTACCCCATAAGAATGTTTAATAGGATGATGTTTATTATATACCAAACACCTTGCTACTAATTAACTTTGCGAAATTTTAACAGCCTAACAATACATTACCATAGAGTAAAAAAAGATATTGGTAATAGTTGAAATCATGCCTGAACAAATAGTAACTATTATAAAGTGTTACTATGACAAAGTAGAAATCTGTATACATGTTAGTATATGCAACATAGATGATGATAAAGCACAGTAGAACATTATTACATAAAAAAATGACAGTTCACAATCTAAAACAATGTTGCGTCATCATATATCAAATATAATGATGATATAAATAATACTATTCAAAATGTTATCAATTGGTTGACATATAATAATTTAAAAATAAATATATCAAAAACAAATGCAACACAATTTCAAAATCAACTTGGCAATAGTTGCCGAAATCTAAACATTACGTGTCAAGGACAAACAATTAATGAAACAAATGCTTTAACGTTCTTAGGAATTGCTTTGGATAAAAACTGCACTTGGAATACCCATATTGATAATCTATGTAATCAACTAAATCGTTTCTCATATGCAATATGGCGAATAGCAAAAATAGCAGGAACAAAAACCGCTATTCGAGTATACCACAGTTACATTGCCCCTAAATTAAGATACGGTTTAGTTTTATGGGGAAATTCGGTGGAAGTAAGTAGAGCTTTTCTTTCCCAGAAGAAATGTATTCGAGCCATATTTGATGTTTCACCAATAACAAGTTGCAAACCGTTATTTAAAAATTAAAACTGTTAACATTGCCATCTATGTACATTTACGAACTGTGCCTATTTGTTAAATCGCATCCGGAATTATTTAAAACATCTAATGATTTTGAGACCAAGTACACAAGGAGGCGTCCTGATAAATTATATTATCCGTTGATAAAGTCAACGCTAACAAGCTCTAATTGTAATCCAAAGGCCATAAAAATATTTAACAAGTTGCCAAAGGAGTTAAAACAAATAAATAAAAGCAAATTAAAAAAAGAATTGTATAATTAGTTGTTATCTAACTGCTTTTATAATATAGAGGAATACCTTTCACAAATGGTGAAAAAGTGACTAATACTTATAAATTAATTAATTATAATAATATATGTATGTAATGATGAGTAATGTATAATGACAATATTTCAGTTGACAATTGTCTGTTGCATGTCAGAAATGACTAAATGTGCGGACAATATAATAATATTCAAAATACCACATCCAATGTACTACATTTTATGCAATAAAATTTTATTTCATTTCATATAGTCAACTTAAGAAAATCATCATTATAATGTACTAACTGTGCCCACATGAAATTTATAGCCTATATGTTATTCTGATGTAAAAGCTATATTACTGTAAAGATTCATCAGTCTGTTTAGTAGTTTTTGTGTGAAAGAGTAACAAGCATCCATCCATACCCACAAACTGTAGTGTTTATAATATTAATAAGATTTGCAGTCTCTTACATTCATGTCACATTCAATAATGATGACTGCATTGCCAGGTTTCGTTTCCAGTACACACAACTCATATGCCTTTGAATTATACTTTATAGCAATTACATCACCAGTTGTTAGACAAGAAAAGTTTCTCAAGCAATTCTCCAATACTGAAATAAATTAGTTTCATTAATAACTTTAACAAACACTATATCTAATGTAATATACATTTTGGTATATAGAAAAGGTGTTATATATTAATCAACAATTAATCTATAGAGATTACTGTCACACCATATTTTAAGCTTTGTTTTAATTACAACATTAGAAATATTTAATTTCATAATATAGTTTGTCTTGTAATTTTGTTTAAATATAGAAATATTTTTTCAAACCAGTACCTGCTTTAGGATTAGTTATGTCTAAGAAATCTTCTGAAAGTGGTTGAAACTTTGAAAATGTTGCAACAGGTAATGATACACTCTCAATCTGAATCAGTGCTCCTTCTTCAAGTACCAAATTTGCCATCATCTGCAAAAGAAACAATATTACTCATGGAATAAATAAAACATTAATATAGTTCACTTCTCATAGAATGTAACAGTGTTCTAGTTATTGTATAACTGGAATAAAAACAAAAGTTGCAAAATAAACATTTTTAAGTTGTATATTATTAAATCTTTAATGGCTATGTTATGCTATGATTGGAGTAGAGCCGAATTAAGATGAGACAATTATGACAAGATTTCTATGGAAATTAAGTATATCAGTTTAAATGCAGTTACTAGTTTACTAGTAAATACTAACCCAGTGTGGAAGGTAAACTTTGCCCTCATCTGCTACAAATTCCAGTACACCACAGTGTGTAAGCCTCTTTGTTTTTTTATTAGTCAATTTGAAGATCATCGGATACTCAATATTTAGTCGTGTGAGCTGTTCAAGAGCTGATGGAGGCATTATGACTGGAAATATTCAATATTTCTATTACAATATTTGTTATTTATCCTGTATTAATAGTAATAAATACATGCAGTGATTCAGTGGTTCATATCTTTATAAATTTCTTTGGCAGTATCCATACATCAATAGTGTTCTAAAAATTGTAGTACATGAAGCATGGATTATGACAACCTTGCAAAGCATATGCTTTCATGTAAAAGACAGGGCATGACCCTAATAATGTTTTAGGAAACCTGCCTTTATTTAATACTAGCCGTAATTTGCGTCAATGGTAAACGGTCTAATGGCATTATAAGTCCCACCCAATAGGACTAGGACTGGGGTCTTATGTGAGAAGAGTTTGTTGACATTCTAGTCTCCCTTTTCTTTTTACGTTTTATAATATTATTAGGAGGATAAATAATAAATAATGTCTAGTCTAATACGTTGTTTATTTACTCACTTTTTCCACCTCTTTCTACATCCTGTCTTTCATTTCCAGGCAACATAGAAACGGAGAAACATCTGTATGTCATATTGAATGGTCTCGATATCTCATGAAACATGTTGAATCCAAACTGAAACTATAAATATGTACATTATATTATCGTTTATGTTAATTAAAACATATTTTACCTTTGTAATCTTACCATTTTGAAGGTTTATTAAGTATACACGGTAACAGAAAATATTGTAAATAATTGCAAATCATTCGCCTAATCAAACCAAACAAAAGCAAAGCAATATAGAATTTCATTCATAAAATTTTGTTTTTGGTTTTTGACATTGACTACAAATAATGACAGTGGCATTAGCGGACACGCTGATGTCTTTAGTAATGCATTCACTTGAAAAGTTGTCAGAAATTTAAATAAATTTGCAAGTACCAAAAATCTACAACGTATTTTATACTTCATAATTAAATTCATATATGTCTAATAATAATATGTATTACTATTAGACATACAGTACATTTGACACAAACACAATATCAATCTGTAAAATGGAAATTAGGTTTCATAAATAATAATTTACAATAATTGTAATAATTTTATTTTCAATTGTATAGGAAATGCATTTTAAGTTAGTAGCACTATAAGTGCAATGCCCAGATTGTGAAATGCCAGTTATAGTCTTGTCGGAGGCAGTGTGACAAACAATAACATTGTAAAATAATGTAACGTGAACGCATCTACAATTTTTTTTTTAAATTACGTTTGCCTTTTCATTCATTGTATATGTGGCAAACTACTCCATTATTACATTATTCGTCATATTTCTCAGAATTAGAACAAATACCAACCCCCTTTCTTTCTTAATGTAGAATTCAATAGATTTGTGAGTAATAAATGAATTAAATTTAAATAAGTTGAAATTTCTATCACGTCCGGTCGTTGTCAATTTTCTTTCGATCGCCATGTTGATTGTCAAAAGTGTTTTCGAATGAAACAGCAGTGAATTTATTGGTGTTATTTTTTCAGACACCGCGATTTTCTAGAGTCGCATTTGGTCCTATTCAGTGTAGTTGTCACGGTAAATTGAATAATTATGGCGCAAGTTTTACCTATACGTTTCCAAGAGCATTTACAGGTGAGTACGCCCATCGTTATTGGATTCACCGATAGCGCTTCCTCTTCTCAAAATTAGCGATATATTATTGAAAGTTATGAAAAATAACGATGGAATACAGATTCTTCTTGTATATACGTAATAAAAAGGGATAATTAGTAACATTGCGCAAATACCAAATGTCAGTTACCACCCCCTACTCGTCGTACCTACAGGAGCGTACGATAGGGTATTGATTTGTTCTACATTTCCCCGATGGTCATGTTATGGTCTGTTTGCCAAGTTTATGAACATTTTTTCATAATGCATGTAGAACAATGTAGGTCAATGAGCATTCTTACCCCTTTGTAATAATATCATACTTAATTTAATATATTTTGTAGGTAGGTACTGAATAAATGACTAAAACACTTACCATAGTTTGGTTACTTTAGTTGAGAGAAAATAATTTTAATAATTTATAAAATTTTATATATAAATTTCATATCTTAAAGAAAATATTTTAATTTATTTTTCAAAATATATTTTCTAAAATAAATGGGATTCCTAAATGTTATTTAGCACCTTTAAATAATATTTAGTTTAAAGCTTCTTATTATGGAAAATGGATAATTATTTGCTTAATAAAAGGGTATATGAATAATATGGACCCTACATTTTCCTTAAAATGTTAGTAGGTCTCAAAAGAAATTACATGTAAACAGTAACACAACTATAGGGTATCTATAGATAACAATATCAAGAGATAGAAAAAAAAAATCCAAGCTGTATGACTAATAAATCTATATTCCATTACTGTATTCAAATTAAAGGTTAACTGCCTTTAATTTGAAAGTCACCTAAAACTATAAAAAAAGTAATAAATTTATAACAAGAAACAATAGAAAATACCTCTTCTGTTCATTATTTAAAAATATTGTAATAACTTTTCTTATGCAACTGAAAATTAGTGTTGCCTTTCTTTTTCTCTGACCTTTGCCCATGTAAGCTGTGGGCAGATGCATATCTTTGTCATATAAATGTTAGTTACATTGGATATTGTTTTTGTACCTTCATTTTTATTAAATGCATACACATTCATAGAGTCTGATTCTTTTTATGTATAAACACTATTACAATATTATGACAATGAAGAAAAGCAGATTGACAATATAATTGTAATGCTTCTTTACTGCCTTTTTTTGCTTCCTCTATTTAATGACATAATAGTATAATATAATAATACTATGATATAAAATGAAATTAATTTTTTTTTTGCTTATACTATATTGTGGATTTGGAATATATTACTTGAAAAACAAATTTATTTTCATTTGAAATTTGCAGTATCTACACATGCAGCATGCAAATAACAATTTAAAAAATTGTTACAGCTCACAAATGTGGGCATCAATCCAGCATCAATATCATTCAACACACTCACCATGGAATCGGATAAGTTCATCTGTGTCCGTGAGAAGGTTGGCGAGACTGCAGAGGTGGTCATCATTGATATGGCGGATCCCACCAATCCTATCCGCAGGCCAATCAGTGCTGATTCTGCTATCATGAACCCAGCTAGCAAGGTCATCGCACTTAAGGGGAAGGCTGGAGTAGAAGGTAAACATATTTACTGCATTTCGAAATAGATGTCATTAATCTTTTATTTTGAAATCATGTATGTGTGTGTCTGTTTATGGATATTATAGAATAATAATGTCTATCATTTGTTGGTACCAGAATCAGGTTGGTACCAACATTTGGACCAGATGGCCCAACTTTTTTGTTATATCTGTACTTTTATTTTGATTTTATGTTCAGATTAATCTGTAAAACAATAGTAGTGTAATTTTACAACAGACTCTCTGGTCATACAAAATCACACATTTTTATAAAATTAAGTCTTAATGAAAAATATACTATGTCACAAGGTATTTTAATCAATACAACATAGTACATTTTTATAGTAGTGTCCTTCAGTGACAAAAATAATGTGATACAAAGCATTTGAATAAATATGATAGTGGTACATATTTATACTTAGTCAAGTGTCCCTCTTATACATAGTGGCTTTCATTAAACATTGCTTAATTATTTTGGTAAATGACTTAAAAAATACAAGCAGCCATTGACATAATTATCTATGTAGCAATGCAACAAGACACTTTATTGAAATTTGCAATTGGTCAACTGTTACATTATAATAAAATTGTAAATAAAACATGTTTTTTTGACTAAAGGTAAATTACATTTATTTCTTGGGATGTTTTGGGGTGATTTGCTATCAAACAACTAAATCCTGGCTTTTATTCTGAAAATCAACCTCCTATAAAATACTTCTTAGTTTGTTGTAACATTTCTATGTGAAAATCCTAATTACATTCTATCACTCAAACTGGGAAATACCACAATCCTTTAGAATACTAGCGTTAAGTGTTATCGCGTTTCGCAGGGTGAGTCGAGGTTCCAATTGTTCGTCCTTCATATTCCTCTACTGATGCCTTGCTCGAACTCTGTCTCTCATATCTTAAACGGCTGGCAGTTCCATTGATGCTCTTGGGCGGCGGTTATTACTTACCAACACTAGCTCGCTTGTCTCCTAAGCTATAAAAAAACCTTAGACATACAAATAATTTTCTGTTTGTTGCCAGCAGGAGGATGTAAGCAACCCTTGCAAAGGCTTTGTTTTTTGAGGCGTTTTACCACAGTCTTACTACAGTGACGCCTATCCAATGGCGAAAATTTATTAACTATATCAGATAGTCTTTGTTCATGATCTTTTTAAAACTAAGTAAATGTACAAAGATAAGACGTAACAGCATGAATAATTATACAGATACAGTTTTAATATTTCTTACAATTCTCAAAAAAACATGTAATTTTTTTTTAATTACTCTTTTCTATAGTGGCCTAAGATTTTTTTACCGACGATTTGACGATAATTAAACCCATTAAATTACTTTTCTTTTACGTTTTATATAAATGTAGTTTGTTTTGAAGACGTATTTGGCAGTGAGTCACTTTTGTGATTTTATGTTCTTGGCACGAAACTGAAACGGAATTACGGAAACAGACAGTTAAAACAAACATATTTTCTCATAAACTTGTATGTCATTGTCCCCTTTCTATTATACGTCTTATTTGAAACGGGATTTAGTTATTACAACATTACAATGACCCGTGGGACCTTCAAATTTTCAACAAGGATTTGTACCTGCGGTACATAAATTAAAGTCATTTTAGAATAATACCTTAAAGAGAAATAATAAATAATGACCGAGACCAACTTTGAACAAAGTTGTCTGAGGGGATACCACTGTCTCACCTATTTCAGCTGTCAAGCACAGTGCATCGTAAAATGTGTTTGTTTGCTTAATAAAGCAATGGAATTATTAAGCACAAAGAAATGACGTATTAGTTCTCACGGAATGGCAATACATAAGTGGTATCACGGGTGTCACATGATAACATTATATTTGTGGTGTTACATGTATACTGGTGAAGGTGGTCAGATGTTTTGCCATTCCAGTTACATTATAATGACGTAACGGGCCGGGCCTCAAAACAAACACGTATACATAAAATTGTCCATAGACAGCCCTCTTTACTGAGGCTGTTTTTACGCCGAAGAAACTGCCGCCCACGTAACCTAGGGATGGGTCGCCGTGGCTTCCCACACAATGCGCACAATTTGTAGTCCAGTATTTCTCAACCTTTTTAGTGCTATACCCTACCTTAGCCTTTCTAAAATTCTTATATATGTATGCAACATAAATAATTTATAACATTATTGTTCACTTAAGAAAATTAAATAATAGGTTTTAGGAATAAATCACTAGGAAATTGTTAATGAAACTGTAAGTAAATTTTGAAAACATATAATGAAAAATTGAAATTCACCATCCATATAATTTTAATAAAGAGTGCATTTTCGAATTGCCCCCTTAACAATCAAATTGACCCCCTGCGGGGCGTGGGCCCCGTGTTGGAAACACTGGTGTAGTCGATCCTTGAAGCTTGCGAACATACCAGCTGTGCATCTGGACGAAGTTTTAGCAAACTCATGTAACCAAAATAATTGAATTAGAATTTTATAACATTTTTGTTATAAGTAAGTTATAAACAATATCGTAAGGCTTAGAATCCTTTTTTTTAAATAAATATTTACTCAATAATATAATGTTTCAGTATTTGAAAATAAATAGTACGCCTCGATATAAATCCCGATAACTATAAAGAATATCATTGCGGTCTTTTATAAGTTCGGTTCCTGAATAAACAACATATTAAGAAACTATGTTTTTAATATACCGTATCTTAATTTATCTATATATATATAATAAAAATGCAAGTAATCCTTTTATTGATGCACTTTATCAACGTAATAGGACCCAAAAGAATGGTTACAAAATGTTTTTGTTCATTTCTCTACGTTTGATTTGGATGCGTTTTCACCAATTCTGGTACAAAATTTTAATTTAAGTGAATTAAAAAATTGAGTTTTTTATTACCGATAATAAATAAAAAAAAGTTAGACAAGTACAAAGTCACTGGTTCAGTTATTATATTTGTCGGTTATTATTTATTTTGTAGTATGTTATTATACTATAAGTATGTATTATTATTTCCACATGAGTATTCCGTGGACTCACCAAATCTCGAAACTAAACTGAACTATAGGTCAATAATCTAGAACAAATCTCAATAGATAGTAGCTAAATTACAAAGAATAATTTGCACGCCCGTGCAACTTTGACCTTTATTAATCAACACAGGTTGATATTCTATAAATGATAGTATCTATATTTATAATAATATTATGCATATGTTTGTAAACACAATTAAAGTCTAAAGATAATTGAGGTCATCGTGTCAGCTATTTAGTGACCATTGCCGAACGTAGATATCTCATCGAGAGCGATAAAGGCAATTACACATTTGAATACAAGTTACGTTGACATAATTGCATCAAAATATCCTATGTAAACGAACCTGAAGCACCTAAATATACAATTAACTAACGATCTAACCATCAATGTACGAGATAATATTAAATAAAATAAGCAAAGAACATTAAGCGTAAATAGAAACCATTATTTTTTGCATAATAGTTTATTTAACATTAACATACACCTACGTGGTTTTCATTGCTAAGTTAACACATTTTGTAGTTCAATATTTTTTATAACGTATAAAAAAAGCCCTTATACCCTCTAAACTGCAAACGCTATTGTCAAGAACAATATAGATTCAGAAATTATGCAACCGTAGATATAAATTTTAAATCGCCACTGTTTTTACATGCGTATGTTTTACGTTAATGCAATTCGAACTCTGGCTTCGTAATATTTTTAATTGTTTTTTGTTCACAATTTTAGTCTCCAAACTCATAATGACATTGAATATATAATTATACATATCCAGGTCACGAAAAACACGACTTCAATCACATTAAGCACTCAACAAGTACTCATCAGAGTTAGATATTGTTATAAACAAAATTGTTTGAAGTTGAAAACTTCAGAGTGGAAAAAAATCCATAAAAAATAGGTCAAATTGAGAAAAAAAGTTGGTTGACTTGAAAAGTATCATATGTTTCAGTATTCTCAAAAATGGCGTAGGTTTACCATCACGACCCAAATGTTGTAACATCATAGACAAAATATGTTACACTTTTTATAACTTTGAACTAGTTGCACCTCTTTATCTCTACTTCCATATCCATATCTTCCATGGTTGAGCAGTTTGCTTACATGGAGTTACTTTACGTCATTAATTGATATTGTTGGTTCATCTAGTGAGGGCGAGTAATATTACGGAGTTTGAGATTTCAGATTGCTTTGCAATGTTTTTACTTAATAAATTTACTTAATGGATTTATATTATTTTATTTAATTCCGTTAGAATTAGCATGTGTGAGGTCACGAATATTCATTGCGGAAACTCATGCTAATTGTAGCGGAATTAAACAAAATAATATAATTCCATTAAGTAGTGTAATGGACTTCCGCTAAATAACACCTAATTCGATTAAATATATGCCTACTAATGATTACTGTTAAAAAGTACATATTTAAATGTACATTATAGAGAGAGTAAACATTTATATGTTGGAAGAGGATATTGCACTGCTCTCTGTCCCGTTGTGATTCATTGCTTTGTATGACCAATATAATGACGTCACTTCAGTTACAGTGTTATCTTTCATATTCCAGACGATAATTTAAATCTTATCATCTGTACAATGATAGAACATCATTAAACATTTTATAAACCAAATCACTAAAATGGTTTGTACTCTATTTCACATTGAAGAGAGAAATTAACTGACCACAGTTGTAATAAATCTCGTTTAAATAAAAAAAATTTGAAGTGCGAGTGATACTCGCACATCACCAATTATTATTGTTCGAGATCAGAAGCAAAACGCAACAACGTTCTAATCGATGTCAAAAAACTGTTGATGTGACTCAGACACATAGTCACATTTGTCTATGACAGTAATATTTATTAGAATCATAATACTTTGGTATATATAATATAAAAATACTTTTTTTGCAACAGAGGTCTGTAAGTTCAATACTTGAAAATTGATATACTAATTTAAGTGTGGTATATTCTAAAACTCATTTCAAATTGTCTCATACGTCGTAATTTGCTGCTAAAACACACTAACTTAGGATTGGTCTAAAGCAAAATAAAAACTATCATATCATTAAAAAAAAAAATTACTACATTGATTTTGGGGTTTATGTTACTAATTATATCTAAAGATAATTCTAAACTAGTCATACAGTAATGTATGTATTTAAGTATTTATATTATACTTACCTAATATCAATTAATGAGCTAGGGACTTCATTGATTGATAATTGTCACGTTATGAATAAAAGTCAGTTTACTATATTAGTTCGCCACTCTCATTTTGCTATTCCCACACGCATTTTAATGTTAAACTTTGTTTACTGAATCGTACCAACAGCGTCCCCTAATGTGGTCTAGTGACATTGTATGTACGCGTCCGTTCATTTTGTATTATGAATCTATGCGACACGCAACGGTAAATTTAATATCTCGCTATCATAATACGGGGGTGGCGGTTCAAACACAATGAGTCATAGCTGTGAACGCTAGCCTTGAATGTTGACGAACTCTTATACCGTCATATACAATAATAAAATAAAATTTATTTCCGTTGAATATCAATTGCATTAACAATGACCGTTTTTTCTAAGTTTTAGCATAGTGTGTAATGAATAGCTCTATAACATGCAAGCATGTAATAAATAAATGCAAATTATTGTAGTATGTAACTTATATAAAATTATTTACTTTTAATACAGTTACTGATTATATCTTTATAAAATATTTTTTTATTATACCCGATCATATTACAACATATGTACACGCTATAGAAATTGCTTCGATTCTCTAATAGTTACACAAACATAGAGAGAAATGAACATCCTGTCCCTTTTAAGTCTTCTCATTCCAACATCAGAGTGTCAACTACCTCACTGTTCCATCACCAAGCCATCATCTAATGGTGTACAATACATATATTTTTATGCTACAAAATGTAGTCTTTATTTATGTTAAATACAATCATGTTCTAACAATCATTAGAGGTTGTGAGCGACGGAAAAAGACCAGCTTAGTGTCGTATATGATTCACTAAAACTAATATTGCGATATTTGCGATTAGGATTTACATTATTACTAATATATATGTTTACCTATAATTAGTCGTACTGTTGTCAATAACATTTCTGTTTTAATTTTGTTATTCATAAACAATAAAATAATTATACTATTCATTACAGTTTTATGTTCTTTTTTGATTTCTAATTGATTTCTAAAATTATCTGATATTTAATATTGTTATATAATAACAAAGCTCTACACTACGTGTGATGATTAATATAAGAATAGGAATTAGTTTCGTCTGTATTGTGAGTTTTGGCAGCTAACACCAAGACAATTCTAAAATCAATATAAGAATTTGGAATGAAAATGTTATGTTATGCAAAATATTTTTCTTTGCTAATACTTGTCAAATGTCAGATGACTATTTGTATTTTGTAGACGTGAAAAGTACCTTTCACTTTACAAATACAGGGGTGAAAAAAATAGTAGAGATATCTTCGAATTTATTTAATATAAACATTGTTGGCTTCAATATAACATATTCTTTTGACATATGTTTTTGTTTTCTAGCTCAAAAAACGCTCCAAATCTTCAACATTGAGATGAAGTCGAAGATGAAGGCACACACCATGACTGAAGATGTGGTCTTTTGGAAATGGATCTCCCTGAACACGCTGGCACTGGTAACCAAGATGTCTGTGTACCATTGGTCCATGGAAGGGGACTCCACGCCCGTCAAAATGTTCGACAGGCATTCATCGCTCGCCGACTGCCAAATCATCAATTACCGGACTGATCCGAAGCAGCAGTGGTTGTTGCTAGTTGGTAAGTAATCACTTCAAAGTTAGTCACTTAAACTGTCTCTGAATCTTCATAGAGTACAAAATAAAATTGCTTCCGCTGTCTGTTCGCTTACACCTTTTAAATCACGCAACGGATTTCTATGCAGTTTTAGTAAAAGATAGAGTGAGTTTAGAGAAAGGTTATCTATATCTATTCTAAGGCAAGTATACCCGTGCGAGCCGAGGCGAGTAGCCAGTTATATATAATTAAGTAAATCTATAAATATAGGATTTGATACAATATTTTTTCTATAGCTATAATGGCAAACAAGCTAAAGGCCAGGTAGTGGTAAGTAGACACCGCTGCGTATTATATGAACAGAACTATTGATATCATATAATCCCAATGCCCGTGGTATTCATGTGTTGCCATTCCAGATGACTAAGGTATCATGATTTGAGACCCTGCAACTTGGTGCTGAAATATATGAAATGCAAACGACTTTGAAATGTAGGGGGTTGTGTTGTTATATGCATTATGATAAATTTATTTATTTATTTCAGACTACTAATGACTCATATTATAAATACCTTATAGACTAACATACATATGTATATATGTACACTGCACTGACGACGGCAATTTGCCTCGGTAGCGCCAATACATCATCCCCTTCGGCCAGTAATCCTCCTTCATGAAAGTGGGCAAATACTGAAAATAAACAATTTACATATTTAGTGAACAGTAAATCCGCCAAATGTACTGTTACTTTCTGTACAGTGTGCATTAAAGTTATATAAATAAATAAATAAATGTACGTAAGATACTGATACCGATGCAAATCCATACCGTCCGTACCATAATACTAACTATGATACCTATTACTTACTTATACTTCCAAACAGACTTACCATGAGTGACAGACACTCGCAAACTGCTCGACACTGTTTGAGATTGAGCAACATTATATTATTTTACCATTAAATTGCCTGTAACTAACTACAGTCAACAACAATAGCGACAGTAACGTAATTTAACGGCAACCAGGCAGAATTTATTGTTTATGCTACATATTGAAATACGTATTGTCAAATACTTATATTACACCAAAATTAATTAGAAGTTATAATTATCATTGCCTTGCTTTTATCCCATTATTTGGAGTCGGCGCAGTATTTTATTCACTTCCACTGATTTCTATCGGTCGTCATATCTGAGCATACTCTCCTTTTATTCATATCATCTCTCACACAGTCCATCCATCTTTTTTTAGGTCGTCCTCTCGCTTTTCTATCCACGTTCATATTGTACACTTTCTTTAAGACATGAAGTTGTAATATAAACAGAAAATCGTTAAAAAAATTTGCTTTAATAAACGGCTACGTTACTTGCCTACAACTCAATTGGTAGATAATGTTCTAGAATAATGTAATTAACCTGACTGTTTAGTATTGTTCACTATAATAATATAAACAGTGCGAGCCAGTTTTATGAGATCATGTGTATGTGAGAATAATTTTCTGTGTAGAGAGGTTGTTTTTTTTATGTATATGTAATGGCAAACACACTGACGGACCATCTTATAGTAAGTGGTAACCGTCGCCTAAATACATGAACAGCACTACACATATAACGTACTCACATGATACCCGTTATTTCAATCATGTGTGATCCTTCCAGAGGATAATGATGTTATGCCTCTTATATTGTAATTCGGCCTAATCGCAGCCTACAATAGAGATACAGGCCGCTTGATGCTTGAAATAGGTACCCACGCCAACGATATTTAACATTGCAGTACCTGTACTCGACTACTACAAGTAAGGCTCGATTAGTTCCGGAAATAATTGAAGCGTTTAATTGATGACACTGTTTTACAATTTTTGGAGCTGTATTAAGCGTGAATAAAAACGTCATGATTATAAACTTCACGTCAAACGAGTCTGACGAAAGTTTGCGTGCAGGATAATCTATATCAATGAAAAAAAATGACATGGACACGGAATGTTCATCACGCAAAGCTCCAAACTTTTGTATTTTAAACTTAAAATGTAAAATAACACAGTAAAGTAACACTCGTCTTGCCATTTTGTCAGTTAATCCGTCGTATCACAATAATAGCACATATTTCAATAACTATTAGCGCTATTTGAAATATTTTTATAAACATTGGAATAATATTTGTTTCTTTCAAATAGCTTCTCAAAAAACTTCAATTAGTAAATTAAATTATTAAAAACAAAAGCTTTTTAAAATGTGTATTTAGAACTCTAGTTAAAAAGAAACGGACTTGATGAGATGGTCTTATATATTCTTTCTATAAGAAGAAGAGTACTTGGCATATTTAGAAATATTTTAAATGTTGCCTCGTCTTAATAGATATTATTTATTGTTATTGTCTTTATCTATATAATAAAACGAACAAATAAGTAGTATAGGAAATCCGATAGCAATATTAGTGGCCACCAGGGAGCAAGCTTTTTGTATATACTATTCCGTTCTTTTTAAATGCAACCTCTGCCTGCGGTTTCACCCGCGTGAAATTTATAGCTTGTGTCATTCTGATGTATAAGCTATATTGTTATGAAGTTTCATTCAAATCCATTCAGTATTTCATTTCATTTTTGTCTGAAAAAGTAACATAACATCCATCTATCCATCCATCCATCCATCCATCCATGCTCAGAAACTTCCACGTTTATAATATTAGTAAGATTAAATATTGGCATTTACATAATATATTGAATGTGCAATATAATTATAGTAAAAATTCTAGTACTTATGTATTTCATTCTTTTCCCAGGTATTTCGGCACAACAAAACCGCGTAGTAGGTGCAATGCAACTCTATTCAGTAGAGCGCAAGTGTTCGCAGCCCATCGAAGGTCACGCAGCTTCGTTCGCTACCTTCAAAGCCGAAGGCAATGCAGAGCCCTCAACACTTTTCTGTTTCGCTGTCAGAACGGCGCAAGGTGGAAAGCTACATATCATTGGTAAATACATCATTTTCTTTTTATTTTATTCTAGGATTTTTAGGGGTAGGAGACTGATAGACTACTAAAAGTTATTTTTAGTAATTTTAAAATGATCATATTTGTTTTTAGTAAAAAAAAGTATAGTAGGTACTTCATGAAGAATATACTCCCAGAAACCCAGTGATAGTACTCATAATACTGAAGTGACAAACTTTTTTCAATAACTCTATTTCTTGAGTAAAGTAGACTCTTATTTAAGGATTGGAGTAAAATGGTTGCTTAAAACTTGCTACCTGAAAGTTCTATGAAGGGTTCCAAAAAAAACTTTCATAATTTTGAATGGAGTATTTTAAGAAACTATCTATTTCTGTATTATATGAAAGGAATTTAATTTTATAAGTAAGTATAATATAATTATTCAATAATATAATAATAATATATCTTTGTCTCATATAGAGGTGGGCCAGACCCCTTCGGGTAATCAACCCTTTCCCAAGAAAGCTGTCGATGTGTTTTTCCCGGCCGAAGCTCAGAACGACTTTCCAGTTGCCATGCAAGTCTCCCCGAAGTATGATGTGATATATTTGATCACTAAGTATGGTTACATCCATATGTACGATATCGAAACCGGAACATGCATCTACATGAACCGCATTTCATCTGATACCATATTCGTGACCGCGCCCCATGAAGCAACCGGCGGTATTATTGGTGAGTATATACTTTGAATTACTGTTATAGACCCAAATTTATGATGACTTTAAAAAAAATGTGTTACGGGGTATTCAACATTTTTAAAATATTTAACAAAACATGATACTCTTATTTAAACAGATTTTACATGAACAAATATCAATATATTTTGGATTTTATTTATGTGGGTAGTAGTTGTGTTTTATACACATCAACGTACGGCAGTATTTTGCATTCCATGATGCGGTTTGGCTGAAGTTCGTGATAAGATAATGAATTTTGCGAGACATGAATAACGACCTCAGTACTGTCGGCTGTCTGCTTTTTAACTAATCATGTTCAAAATATGTAAATATTTTCATATCAGCAATGTTACTATATTTAGGTGTGAACCGCAAAGGACAAGTCCTGTCAGTAACAGTAGAAGAGGACTCCATAGTGCCGTATATAAACACGGTGCTACAGAATCCCGAGCTGGCTTTGCGTCTGGCGGTCCGCAACAATCTTGCCGGAGCTGAGGAGCTGTTTGTGAGGAAATTCAACATGCTTTTCACCAATGGACAGTACGGCGAGGCCGCTAAGGTATAATTAATTTTTTTATGACTATTTAAGTGCTTGATTTAATCAATCAATCAATCTCTTTATTTGCGGAATATAGGTATATGATAAGTGTGGTAAGTAAATTTAACAGCGTTTTCCTCTATATCATCCTGCTTATGAGTAATCACGGAAATATTAAACAATTATGTACTTAATACAACATATTTACAATTAAGTTTGACAGCCTCGGTGGTCTGGTGGTTTAGCACACCGCTCTACTATCCGATGATCGCAGGTTCGGTTCCTCGCACGGTACAAACATTTGTATTCATGAGTATGATTGTTTGTATCGGTCTGGGTGTTTTCTATGTATAATATGTATTTATTTATAACAAAAAATGGATCCATTATTTGTATATTTATAACAGTTGTCTAGTACCCATAACACAAGCCCTGCTTTGCTTGGAATTAGATGGCGCTGTGTGAATTGTCCTGAGATATTATTGTATTATTATTATTATATTTTACTTAATTAAGTATTAATATTATAATAATTATTAGATAGCAAAAAATTATAACATATCTTTATAGTCATACAGAATACAATGTTATTATAATATGTGGTTGTATATTTCGGTATTTGCATTTTGTACTGTAGACTTTTACTTGTAACTTATTTAAGGTTATTTGAATAGTTTATTATAGAATAAATAAATAAGTATAAAATAGAATTTATAATATGAAAATTATATAAATACTAGCCACGCAACTTTATATTTCGCCCAACTTACATAATATATTTTTAAATTACAGCCTTAGTGTTATTCTGGTTTACTCTAAAGTTTCATCAAAATCCGTTGCATGGAAGACATATCCATCCATTTATCTACCAAAATTCGCGTTTATAATCATAATCATCTGTTTCTTTCTTGTCCCATTTATTTGGGGTCGGCGTAGTATGTTTTAATATTATTAAGATATTTCCTATTGTAAAACTTGATATTCTTTAATAATTGGCACTTAGTATTTGGCATTGAACTTGTTATTATATTTATTTAGGTAGCAGCAATGGCTCCCCGTGGTATACTCCGGACACCCCAAACCATCCAGCGATTCCAGCAGGTGCCAACACAACCAGGGCAGACTTCACCACTGTTGCAGTACTTCGGTATACTGCTCGACCAGGCGCAACTTAACAAGTTCGAGTCACTCGAGCTGTGCCGCCCAGTGCTGCTACAAGGTCAGTGTACATTACACAAGCCTAGCCTATTAGTGTTAACTGTGGGTCAACATACTGAACAAATTTAAATTTATATTATATTGAATGCTTAACCTGTCTGATAGATAGACATTTGAGAGATAAATAGTAGTACTATATATAAATACTACTACTACTACTAAATATAAATAGTAGTAATAGTAGTACTAGTGTTAAAGTTGTGATAATCAACGTTACCTGCTTCTTCTTTATTCTATTTGTTTGAGGTTGGCATAATATATTTTTCTCTTCCATTTATCCCAGTTCGCAGTCCTTAATGGAATATTTAACGTAGTGAAAAAAATCCCCAGAGTGTATATACAAAATGTCTAATAGAAGGGAATAAAAAACTTTTATGTACTTTAAAAAAGGTATCTATTTCTGCCTATTCTACAGGAGATCTATTTAGATACAAATTTAATTAAAATTTAAATAATGTTTATTTTAACACAGGCCGTAAACAACTGCTTGAGAAATGGCTGAAGGAGGAAAAGTTGGAATGTTCTGAAGAACTGGGTGATTTGGTGAAGCAGGTTGATCCGACGCTCGCACTTTCCGTATATCTGCGTGCTAATGTAGCCAGCAAAGTGATACAATGCTTTGCCGAGACTGGCCAGTTCCAGAAGATCGTCTTGTATGCTAAGAAGGTACGGTTTAAGTTTACATTGACTAATGCTACCGAAAGTTTAAAAATGAACTTAAACTAAATTAATTAATATTAATCATAAAAACATATAACACCCCTAAAAAATAAGAAACAGGAATGTACTTTCTTCCTCCATAAATAAGTTTGGTTGGATGTTATTTCTAAGTATTATAGTATAGATGAGATAATCCTATTACAAAATTTAATATGGATACTCATTATTCAGTTTATTTCTTGAATTGAATAGGTTGGCTACACACCTGATTATATTTTCCTGCTCCGCTCCGTCATGCGTACGAACCCGGAGCAAGGCGCTGGATTCGCGGGCATGCTGGTCGCCGAAGAGCCTCCCTTAGCCGACATCAATCAGATAGTAGATGTGTTCATGGAACAAAACATGGTGCAGCAATGTACTGCATTCCTACTGGACGCTCTCAAGAATAACAGACCCGAAGAAGGACCACTCCAAACTAGGTAGTAATATAGATGTGTTTAGTTATTTGGTAATATTCAAGGTATTGTTAATTATTATCAAAGTATTGTGTGTTAAAATATAGGACTTACGCTGTAACACTTAAGAGTCAGTTTTCAGAAACTTCGCCTTGTATGAGTAAATTATAAAAATAGGTTTATTAAGTAGCAATCAGCGCTAATTATTCTTATGCTTGAAATCACGACTACTTAATATCATTAAACATATATACTTATGTTTACAATTGTCGACAAGGGTAGAGTTTTACTACTCGTAACGGAGAAATATTTTGAATAATTCTAATTTATAAAATGGGATTTACCCAGTATTCCATTTAGACTATCTAACAAAAAGCTTGATTGAGATGAGTAAACTAATTGTTAATTTTATTAGACTTACACTCAATTGTTTATGTGGGTACTTCAGTTTCACCTACTTCAGCCGCCCAGCATTTACAGGCAGGTTAGGTAGCCAAATTACAGGTTAATGGTATGACATCTTAGTCGTCTGTAGTGACCATTATGGCATGAGTGGTATGTGGTATGTCCTTGGTTATTGTATGTTAGTGACGGTTACAGCTTGATTGTCATTCCAAAACATATATATAAAAAGGAAAATGTTATAAAATTAATTTTGTATGATTGCAGATTGCTGGAAATGAACCTTATGTCGGCGCCTCAGGTGGCAGATGCGATCCTTGGTAACGCGATGTTTACTCATTACGACCGCGCGCACGTCGCGCAACTGTGCGAGAAGGCTGGACTGCTGCAACGAGCGCTCGAGCATTACACCGATCTCTACGACATCAAACGTGCAGTTGTAAGTAACGACCATCACTACACATTTAGACACTAAACTACATCATCTAGATTTTAAGTCACTAGAACAAGCTGAAGGCTTATGTGATGATAAACTTCGCCTATGTACATGAATAGCACTACGAATATCACTGCGTCATGTGACTTCATCACACCATACATATATCCTGACTTAATGGTAACAATGTATTTAATTTGTAAAAGAAATTAATTTCAATTTGAAAATATCTTCAAAATCTCTTGATAATAGGTGAATTTCATAACAGAAGTAGAACTTGTTCTTGTACCTAAATTACAGGTTTCTACTTAGTTTGGGTACCAGGGAACAATGTAAAATGTAAATTTGGATTAAAAATAAAATTATTATAATTTTATTTTGAATCCAAATTATTATTAACTTATAATTTATTAATCAATAGTTAAATAATTTAGATTTTACAACGGTTTTCTAAGTGTTTATTTAATATCAGGTGCACACCCACTTGCTGTCTGCTGATTGGCTGGTCACATACTTCGGAAGTCTGTCTGTTGAAGACTCCCTTGAGTGTTTGAAGGCCATGCTGCAAGCCAACATTCGTCAGAATTTGCAGATCTGCGTCCAAATTGCCACGAAATATCATGAGCAACTCACTACCAAGGCTCTGATTGAGCTGTTTGAAAGCTTCAAGACTTATGAGGGGCTATTCTACTTCCTCGGATCAATTGTTAACTTCAGCCAGGATTCGGAAGTCCACTTCAAATATATTCAGGTTAATATACAAACATCTTACAACTATTTATATTGTCATATTGCGCATATAATAATTCAATCGTATAGTTATTCTAGTGATCTACTATATAAAATTTTGTTAAGTTTGAAGTTTCAAATATTTTTTTTAAACGCAGTATTTAACAAAATCAGGGCATCTTAAATATTGTGCTTACATCATGACATCACAGCTGACATCTGCAATAACAATTCTGCATATATATTTTATTTTCTAATCCTCATTAACGATTTGTTATGGCTACTGACAATCTGGTATACTGAGCAATTTCGTTTTTATATACAGGCTGCGTGTAAGACTGGCCAGATCAAGGAAGTGGAACGTATATGTCGCGAATCGAACTGCTACAACGCGGAGCGAGTGAAGAATTTCCTCAAAGAGGCTAAGTTGCCCGACCAACTTCCTCTTATAATCGTTTGCGATCGCTTCGACTTCGTGCACGATCTTGTACTTTACCTTTACAGGAACAGCCTGCAGAAGTATATTGAGATTTACGTACAGAAGGTAAGTCTGAGATTTATGAATTAAATTAAACAAATTGTAAATACTTGTTGTGCTTACTTTCATACTCTTTTAAAACCTATTATACCAGTTAAAGCTCATTAAATTATTACCTAGAAGATAAATGTGTTTGGAATTTAAATTATTTGAAGATGTAATCAGACATTCCTGCAATGTAAATAATTTGTTAGATTAAAAAATAGCAGCTGAGTGTTTCTCAATTCTTATCTGCTTGGAAGGACTGAAATACAATGTAAAAATTTGTACCATACATTGTGGTCAAAATTATATCCAATTATAGCAAAAAAGAATTGCTTCGGCGTAGTTGGGTAAAAAATAGTAAGACAAAATATTCTAAAATTTTTTAAAATTTTATACATTACTTTTTTTAAATTATCTATTGCGAACTATACTCAAAACTCTTTGGTCTAGGTGAACCCCTCCCGCCTTCCCGTGGTCGTCGGTGGTCTACTAGATGTAGACTGTGCTGAGGATATAATCAAGAACCTGATATTGGTGGTGCGTGGACAGTTCTCCACTGATGAACTTGTTGCAGAAGTTGAAAAGAGGAATAGGTCAGTTTTTGTTAACCATTTTGAACTATTTTAGTTTATTCTACACTCTATTGTATGTAATATACATATGTAGTAATAATTGACAAAGAGGTAACAATGGGTTGACTTATCACTTAAAAGTGATCTCTTTCAAGCAATCTTAATTTGTGTTATATATTACAGAATATAATGTATCATCTGACTGGCGACCCATTACATTCTTATGTTACAAATTATGAGAGCTTAACAACTGAGCTTTCCTCTGTTTTATTTTTTATATAATCACAGTTTTCTCTAGAGGCCATATATAAATAAGGCAGAAATCCAAAATATTAAAGATTTGCTTTTCCAAAGATTAATATCTTTATTTTACTAGATAATATATTACTTGTATTGTGAACTAGAAGTCCAATTAAATGTAGTTTATAATGATCTCATTTTATATATCCCTATTTCATAGACATTACAGTAATTGGGAAATTTAAAATCCCCAGGCTAAAACTTCTGCTGCCGTGGTTGGAGACGCGCGTGCATGAGGGATGCAATGAGCCGGCCACACATAATGCACTCGCTAAAATTTACATCGATTCTAACAATAACCCAGAACGATTCCTCAAGGAAAACCAATGGTAAGTTCTTTAAGTAATTTATTTATGGAACTAGTGGTTCTTAATTTCATGTTGTTTTTATAAGATAAATATATACAGAGCTGGAGGATTAGCACAATCTGGATGTAATGGATTTAGCATTAAATAATGAACATAACCTAATCGACATAAGTGGTACATACTACTGTCGATGGTACAGATCATAATTATTTACACTAAATTCATAAATTACAAAATGTCGGTCCGTCCTTTCACAACATAATGGCCGACTGGATTTTAATTAAATTTGACATTAAGAATGTTTGTGCAGAAGAAGTAAAGGGAAAATACTTCTTTCTGTACAACAATTACTATCCCAAATTAATTTATTTATTTAAAGTGTATTTCGCAAATTTTTAACAATTGGATTGGTATATAATCTGACAATCCACCTGATAGTAAGTAATAACCACCCTATGTATTGACCATAAACAAGGATATCACATCATTTTTACCGTTGTGTTACTCATACACTGTGCCATTCCAAAGGAATGAATGAAAAAGTCTTTGTTGTTACAGTCACAGAAGGAATAAACAAATACATAAATTAATATGTATACCAAATATAAAATAAAATAAAAACAAGATAATTACAATCCAGAGGTAACAACGGGAACCTTATTGCTAAAAAGCAATTTCTTTCAGGCTTAGGATAGGCTCTTTCTTCTTAGGACGGAGAGAAGATGTTATGCTTCTGCACCCTGTAATATCACATCTAACAATAATTGTTTTTTTTTTAAGTTAATGCAGTTCATGATTGAGTATGCTATATGTAATCATGTGTGTGCAGGTACGACTCACGCGTGGTGGGCCGCTACTGCGAGAAGCGCGATCCTCACCTGGCATGCGTAGCCTACGAGCGCGGGCAGTGCGATCGCGAGCTGATCGCCGTCTGCAACGACAACTCACTGTTCAAGACGCAGGCGCGGTACCTCGTACGCCGCCGCGACCAAGACCTCTGGCTCGAAGTGCTTAACGAGGAGAATCCTTACAAGCGGCAACTCATTGATCAGGTACTTTTTATTAATGATAATGTAGTAATTACCAGCTATGTAATGTACTGTTTCTCTTCATAATTATCGGCTCTCGGACACATCACTGTTCTCACTCGACGTTCTCAGCTTAATGCCCACATGACGTCAGCAGTGTACTATAGACACGACATAATGCTTCTTTCTCGTTCCCACATATACTACATGTAATAAATTACTTCGCTCTTGGTGTATTGACCTGTTGAATAAGTTACTTTTTGTTATTGACACGACTAAAGTAGTTTAAAGTGTACAATGAATATGTGTGTTTTATTTACATAAACTTTAAGCTATATTTGTAAAAGTTTTTCATTGTTTCACCAATATTACTTTAATTTATCGCAGGTAGTCCAAACCGCGCTCTCCGAGACACAAGACCCTGAAGATATATCAGTTACAGTGAAGGCATTCATGACAGCAGACTTGCCAAATGAACTGATTGAATTGCTCGAGAAGATTGTTCTTGACAACTCTGTATTTTCTGACCACAGGAATTTGCAGAATCTTCTTATTCTGACAGGTATGTTATAATGTTTGTTATCAGCACCAAGCAACTTGATTTGTAAGCTGTTTCTGTTGGATATCTCATCCTTCAAGGGCAAGGTAGTTTTTACAAGGTAGAAATGCAATATATTTTAGTTTTCTGAAATGGCAACACAATAGGAATACTACAGACATAATGGGATGTTATGTCCATTGTGGTGGTATATAAGCAATGATTCTTATCTAACATCAGATAGACTATCAGATTTTTTTTCTAATTACATAAAATTTAACCTATTTGTTGCAATATACTAATGACTCCAATCTTTTTTATCCATATATATAATTTTACACAGCGATAAAGGCCGACCGCACGCGTGTGATGGAATACATAAACCGTTTGGACAACTATGATGCCCCAGACATTGCCAACATAGCTATCAACAATGAACTTTATGAGGAGGCTTTCGCTATATTCAAGAAGTTTGATGTCAACACTTCTGCCATTCAGGTAATGTAGTTTTGTTGCAAGTTTAATACTAAACATTTGCAAATTAATTGTTGCGGTTTGGTCGCCAAAGAGTCAACACTGCTTCCAAGCTATATCTAAATTGTTGAATTCTATTCAACGCCTGAATAATGCCTCGTTCAGGGGCGAAGCGCGTGCAGTGTGGATGTAGACTCAATAACGGTCGGTATTTGATCGCCATTGGAGAAGATCGTAACGATAGCCAAGTTTCCACAACGAATATATGTGGTCTCACACATGCTAACTATAGCAGAATTAAACAATATAATATAAATCCATTAAGTCGTGAAATGCCGCAAAATAACACCTAATTCGATTAAATTACATAAATGTTTATAAATAAAACTTCAGATATTTGGTGAGTATGGTAACAACATAATTTTTTTACTTTTTATGCTAATAGATAATGCCTTACTGTTTAAGAGTTACAATAAAGTGGTGGTATTTACTCAATATTTTTCCGGCAGGTGTTGATTGAGCAAGTGAAAGATTTGGAGCGTGCTTACGAGTTCGCGGAGCGTTGCAACGAGCCCGGCGTGTGGTCGCAGCTGGCAAAGGCACAATTGCAGCAGGGACTTGTGAAGGAAGCGATCGACTCTTATATTAAAGCCGATGATCCATCTGCGTACATGGATGTCGTAGCCACCGCCACTAAGCAGCAATCCTGGGAAGACCTCGTGCGGTATTTGCAGGTAAATTATTTTTATGACTTATTGAATAAATATATGGAAAGTTGCAATAGTCGCAACACATAAACGTCATCATGGACTATAAAAAAATATTCATTCATGTAGGTTACGGCATCTATGCAGACCATTATTAGTTAATGCTTATTCAATATTTTGAGGTTATTGTTATTAATTTTTACTAAAATATCTATTATAATATCTACTCTATATATTCGTGTCTCTTAAGATGGACTTTTGAACTTAGTGTTTGTTGTATTGTGTAACTACAATATGTAGTGTCACATATTAAACCTGTAAATTTATCTTTAAATAGATGGCCCGCAAGAAAGCTCGCGAATCTTACATTGAGTCTGAGTTGATATACGCATACGCCCGGACTGGCCGCCTCGCGGACTTGGAGGAGTTCATCTCGGGGCCCAATCATGCAGACATACAGAAAATCGGAGACCGGTGCTTCGATGACAAAATGTACAATGCTGCTAAACTGTTGTACAACAACGTCAGCAACTTTGCAAGGCTCGCCATCACACTTGTACACCTTAAAGAATTTCAAGGTACGTAATAATTTTATATTAATTAAATACTAGCGATCTGCCACTGTTTCTCTGGTTACTTTTTGTTTTAATATACCTATTTATATGTTTTATTCATTGAAAAGTCAATCAACGTATCACTTTAAACTCGTGAGTACAAATCTGGGGTAACAAAAAAAATGCTCGTTATGTCAATTATTACGACAGGTCTCCTAGTAGTAATTCAGGCAGTAAGTCACTAGAAATAATGCTGTCCCTATTACGTCTTCAAGAATTTAACGATAATATTGTTGCGTTGTTTGTTACAGGCGCGGTGGACAGTGCGCGCAAAGCGAACTCGACTCGCACGTGGAAAGAGGTGTGCTTCGCTTGCGTGGACGCCGGCGAGTTCCGTCTCGCTCAGATGTGCGGCCTGCACATCGTCGTACACGCGGACGAACTCGAGGACCTCATCAACTATTACCAGGTAGTTTATTTTATAACCATGGTACCTTTGGTACGTATCTTACCACGTATCTTTGGTAGTTACTGGTACATAACCACTACAATGTAAACATTTAAATAATTAGAGTGTAAATTTTAAATAGTTTGTATCTATTTGTTTGTATATATATTTGTGTTATGTGTGTATTACAAATAAAAGTTTGTTTGTAATACCTATTATTGCAGAATAAATTATATATTTATTATGTTACAATAACATCTCGTCTCATATAACTTATCCCAAAAGAGAAAAAAAAAACATATTTTTTTACTTGTTTAGTACAAGTTGGTTACTAAACAAGTTAGTAACTTTATTATTTTATTACTTTTTGTAATAATAGTTTTATTTAACTCCCGACGTAAAAAGAGCAAACGAATATATATACATTCATTTGCTCTTTTTTACAAAGCTAACACAAGGAACGTACCTATATTTATTGTAGTTTTTGTTTATACAGGCGTACTTAAGATTGTAATTTTATAATTATACTATACTTATTAGGCGTCGTATGGGTGTACAAATAAATAAAAATATAATAATAAATAAAAATACATATATAGCTTCCTCTTGAAACACTATACTGCGTGAATCATGTTCCAAAAACTGAATTATCTTTTCCTGTTTATTATTAAAAACATATAAATTATTGTAATATATATTTTTTTAACAGGACCGAGGTCACTTCGACGAGCTAATCAGTCTACTAGAGGCGGCGCTGGGTCTGGAGCGCGCGCACATGGGCATGTTCACGGAGCTGGCTATCCTCTACTCCAAGTACAAACCTGCCAAGATGCGTGAACACCTCGAACTGTTCTGGTCACGAGTCAATATACCTAAGGTGAGATTAATGTAAATAAACTGCAATAATTTACACCAAGGACATAGAACTGGTAGAAAAACTGGTTTATTTTAACAAAAGTATGTATATGTGAAGAAATTCAGTGCGTTTGTATGTAGTTGCTGTAAAGTTACTATTTTTTAGTCAGTGAATATTCAATTTGTTGTGTTAAATTGCTATGATTTTCAAAATGATCATTTGAATAATAAATATTTATTTAAATGATAGTAAAAAGTATTTGTTTCCTTCTAAGTCGATACAAGTAACTTACATAGTTCTGGTGCAAAAATGTGTCGATAACGCATCAATTATACTACATTTATATTGCATGTTCAAACAACATTGTTACAGGTGTTACGCGCAGCGGAACATGCTCATCTGTGGTCGGAGCTAGTATTCCTGTACGATAAATATGAAGAGTACGATAACGCTGCGCTCACAATGATGCAGCACCCTACTGAGGCGTGGCGCGAGGGACACTTCAAAGACATCATCACTAAGGTGACTTTCAGTATTCAGGTTGCATTGCATACATTTATATAAATTTGATAAAATAATTCGAATTTATCTAAACAATAATTATAATAATACTAAAGTTATTTTGGAGTACATGTTTGGTTCAAACTTGTTTTCATTTTGGATGAATATGGAGTGACGCACTCGTCTGCGCTAACGATATATGCTTTCGGGATACTAGTGGAGGATGATAGGATGAAAACGAAGTCAGATCAGTCAGCACAAAGTTATGAAGATGGCGAAGTTTTAAAAAAAATATAATAATCCAGGTGGCGAACATGGAACTGTACTACAAAGCGATACAGTTCTACCTTGACTACAAGCCGCTACTTCTTAACGACCTACTGCTGGTGCTGGCGCCGCGTATGGACCACACGCGCGCCGTCAACTTCTTCACCAAAGCCGGCCATCTGCAACTTGTGAAGGCATACCTGCGGTCTGTGCAGAGTCTCAACAACAAGGCGGTCAATGAGGCACTCAATTCACTACTTATCGATGAGGAAGATTACCAGGTTTGTTTATTTTCTACTAACGACCCCTGACTGATGACGGTGAAACGACTCATGCCACAATGCTTTAACAGATATTTGAACGTGTTAATAAGTGAGAAAGAAGCGTGGCTACGTTTTATATTATGTAAAAATATGGAAATTTAAATATAGTTATTAAGTTTTAACATTCAATGGATTTTCTGTGAAAACTTAATTAAGTTTTATATTTTATGTTATTGTATTGTTATATATACGTTTTTTATTAATTACTGAGTATCTTTTTATACAATGTGTAATTTTTTTTTATTTGTCATATTTCACAGGGCTTACGAACATCCATAGATGCATTTGATAATTTCGACACAATTGCATTAGCTCAACAACTTGAAAAACACGAACTTACTGAATTTAGAAGAATTGCTGCCTACCTGTACAAAGGTATGTAACTAATTACCTACCAAAATAATGCATTTTTATCAACCTAACCCACCCAAGATATTTTAAAATTACCTTGGCACATTGCATATTAAAAGCCACGCGAGTGTCGCCTTCTATATTCTAGGGTAAATATATTATTATTAAATTAGCCTATGTCCAGACCATCATAAAATATCATGCTTTTTATATTATAATGGCACACTACTGTTTTAATAAATGCCATGCTAAAGTGTCACTGTTTGTCCAGACAATCAAAACAAACAATTATATGATTACAGGGAATAACAGATGGAAGCAGAGTGTCGAATTATGCAAGAAGGATGCTTTGTACGCGGATGCCATGGAGTACGCATCCGAATCGCGCCAGCCCGAGGTTGCTGAAGAGCTGCTAAACTGGTTCCTCGAGAGAGACAACTACGAATGTTTCTCTGCGTGCCTCTACCAGGTAAAGAGTCATACATGTCTATTGTACAAATGTGAATATTACCGCAATGGTTATTGATTAAAAAAAATATTGCAGGTATAAATAATTAGTTCTGCCAACGAATTTAACTCAGTATTATTCTAATTTTGGTTATTTATTAAATTGTTATTGCCTACTTAATAATATGCTAATGTAAACATGTATCTGTGATATAAGATACAGTAATAAGTTCCTCAATATACTGAATCTTTCTGACAGACATGAACTGATTCAATTAATACAAGCATCTATATTGAAATATGTCTAAACTATGCTTACCTTCAGGCCAGATATGATATCTAAGAAAAACAAAAAAAATTAAAATTAGTTTCTTGCAAGATATGGTTTTTATGGAATGTTTATTATTATTTACAGTGTTACGACCTCCTGAAGCCCGATGTTGTAATCGAATTAGCATGGAGGCATAACATCATGGACTTCGCAATGCCATTCCTTATTCAGGTACGTGTCAATAATAATTCAATTCAATTATTTTTTTTTAGCGATGATAATATAAATAATAAACAAAATATAAAGCACCCGCCTGCGCTAACGGTTTACGCTGGCGGGGCACTAGTGACAGTGGATGATAAGCTGAAAATGAGGTCAGGTTAGTTCGCCAATTGTGGCGAATTTACCAGAAAACAACGATGATGGTTTCTGGACCACATGGAGGTTATCCTGACATGGTGGTTTGCTAGCAATGAGGTCAATAGTCCACATTACTAACAATTCCTTTCCCCCAAATTTACGTTCATATTAGAAATTAAATAATACGATAATAAAAAATGGTTGCTGTTATGTATCTAGGTATGTATGTACGCGACAAGCAAACGAGATCAGTTGCACATGGGATTTATTCTCATACAACTCTTGGTTTGCTGGACGCTAGCAACTTGAAGCCACCCTTATACATCACAGTTAGAAAACAAAAAGTGGTTTTACAAACTTTATTTGCGCTTTTTTTCTAATTAAATTACAACGACAAATACTGTGGATAGGTATTTGATACTTGTTTTATTTTGTCAGACTGTTCGAGAGTTAACGACAAAGGTCGAGAAGCTTGAGGAAGCTGACGCGAAGCGCAGCACGGAGAGTGCAGAACACGAAGCCAAACCTGCCATGATCATGGAGCCCCAACTCATGCTTACTGCAGGTAAATTATGATTGTAACTGTCTATTGTACAGAGACTTAATTTTGTTGTAAATACTAGTTTCTAGGATCAATGTTTTGATAAGAAACATGGTTTAATTTTATGCTTTGGTATGTTAATTATTTGTAGTAAAACTAATGTTTTTAACAAATTCATATTGCACATTCCACCATCTTATGAAGAAAATATAATAATATCTATTATTTCATCCGATTTTTTACATTTTAGATGAATCCCTGGTACCTAAACTAGGTATCACAGGTTTATACCTAGTTTAGGTACCAGGGATTACATAATACTTATATATAAACTTTATTGTAAATATAAAATTTTGTATTAGCTACATTTAAACTATAATTCAATTAGACATGCTACATAATTTCTAGTAAATAGTGTTATATCGTGAATGTAAGTCATTTATGGTTTAAACATATTTACATATTATTTTATGATTCTACAAGCTGTAAATACAACAAGTTACTTATATTTATCTTCATATGATAAACACATTGTTGTAAAATAATTTCATTACTAATTACTTATGTAATGTGCAATAAAGTATACATGTAAATGTTTGTCACGTTACAGGCCCGTCGATGGCATACCCTGGTGTGCCGGCGCAGGCGTCCCCGTACGCGTACGCCGCACAAGCCCCGTCGCCGGCGCCCTACCACGGTTACGGCATGTAGGGAACCGCCGCCCCTCACGGCTGGGGGAACTATGCTCACTTTTGAGCCTCCGTGCCCTCCGCCCACGTGCCGCGCGCCGCCGCCCTACGACAACACTCGACATCTCCCGCCGTCACTCACCACCGGCGGCCGAGGTGCTGTCGCTCGCGGTCACGTCAGCTCTTTGCACGTGCGACTCCGTTTCAGTGACCTTACCCACATTAAGTCATGGGTTCCTTTCCTCGTCGAGGCCTAACGTTCGAGTTTGTTTTTCGGATTAAATATATTTGTAAAAGAAAGTATTATATTGTAGGCGCAAGTGCATAGAGACATGAGAAAATTTAGCCATTTGGGGCTACGTATATGGAATAAAAATGATTAGCCTGTACAAATTATATTAATATATAGAAAGCTATGTAACTCTCATGACTAAAAGTGCTTTATTTTTATCAGGCGTGAGAGTGTTCTAGAGAAATTTAATCATGTCAGGGCTTTAGGACGGGTTTTAAATAGTTAGCAGAATAGAGTTCCAAGGAGACGATGTTATCTACACAATGAAGTGATGTGTAAAATTTAATTGTCCCTTGGATACATATTACATCGCCAGTTTTCATGTAATGCAAAATGCATACAAGCTGATTATGTCGATACAGCGACTTACTAACTACGATTGTAAAAAGTGTCGTATCCCGCTATATTAAGTGCGATGGAATACGTGCGTTCACTCTTTATCGGCATTTCTATATTCTAATAAAACAATATCTTAAATGTTATTAAAATTGTAAAATATATTATGTAGTAAGCACATTCAGATGTGCGCATTTCTAAAGTTTTGCCGTCTAGTGTAATAGCTACGACCAAATTAATAGATTTGTCGTCGAAGCTTAATTCTCCAGTTAAATCAATAGTACACCTATGTAGATAGTTGTTCTACTTCGTAATAAGTCTCTCGAAGAATAAAATAATATTATTTTATCATTACACACTAAATCGTTTATTATTATCATTTCTGTATTACTCATTTATTTTTGTAAAATAATGAGTGGTATTTGTTATTTTTATACAAGAAATATTAGATATTGAATTGTAACAATATATTGTTTGATTAGACAGGCCTAGTCTGACTATACATTATATAATAGTGCAATAAATTAGTGCTGCTCTAACTGCTGTGTTTCAACCGATACAAAATATGAATGGAATTCACCCAGCGAATATATAAATTCTATTTCTTGTTGTCAAGTTATATGTATATAATGCTTACAATGTAGACGTCGGCACGGCCAGTTGAAATTAATCGAAATTACCACACCGGATTATTCGAGTTAAATATTAAATGAATATGTCTAGATATATTTTAGGTATAGTTTAGGTGGAATAGTTAACGGTACGATGTTATTTTTCCGTGTAATGTACGCCGTGTGCAATGATAAGATCACACGTGTTGCTTATGTTGCGTTATTGTATTTATCACATTGATTGATGCCTTCATTAGATGATTAAGGTACAAATTATGTACTGGCAAGCGTTTCCGGGCCCTCCTCTTATTTTTTTAATTATTATTAATATGATTGTTTTTACAATATTGACATCCCAGGAAACGCTTTGTCGGCATAATGTAGTCCAGTCGACTCCACACAGCGTTACACTGGTGTAACATTGTGATTGTGAGTTGTTATATTAATAAATAATCATTGATGTTAAATGATTCATTCAAATCATTCCTATCATTAACAAATTTAATGATCAATATTGTTAAAAATTTCTTTGGTATAATATAACAAATTAATAACATAAAATAGTGAAAAATTCATTGTTTATTATTAGCATTGTATTTATTCATGTATGATAATGTTTCCCTGAATTTTATTATAGTAAGATTATATTATATGAATAAATTATGACTGTGTTTGCTTTCAATTTCATTTTTACTGAAAATTATGTTACGGTTTATTTACAATCTCAGTAATAACTTAAGGGTTGTAATGGATATATATATGTATAAAACATTTTCATCGGTTATTAGGGATCTTATCTGGGAATAATATCAGTTATCTAATATTAGCTTGTACTTTGGATTTTGGAGATGTTGTTTTTTATACAGGTTTTATTTAATTAAGGTTACACTTGAGTATATTTGTGTATTTTTTTTATAAGGATTCTAGCCTAAAACTTTATAATAAAAAGTCCTCGCTCTTAGTGTTTATCACCGTATATTCCGGGCATTTCATGCAGTATGGCGACGATTATTCTGTATCGAGGAATTCATCAGGCATAATTTTTATTTATTTAGAATTCAATTAACATTTGCTTCTAGGTGACTAAGGAATCATTACTAAAAGTCCTTTCATAGTTTTTAATAATGATTATAAATCTATGCCAATCATGAAAATTCTATTACATACTCGGAACAGTCAGCGTTATACTCGTATAGGTAGATACGATGGCTGAGTACACTAAGTTTTTTTATGAAGTTCATTTAAATCCAACGTGAAAGTGGTAAATCTGGCAGACACGAATTAATTTGTTTTAATCGACAGAGAGAAGTATACATTTATATCGGCCAGGATTTGAACCTTCGGACTTCTATAAGTAATACTAGGTCTCGATTCGACACTACAACAAATAGTACGTTATAAAGTAAAAAAGTATGAAAAAAATATTGTTTGTACAGTGATTACTTGCTCAGTGTCATTATGTCAATGTTATGTCAATTGTCACCAAGATGTTTGTTGTAATCTGTGTTCGTTGTTCATTCATTCGGTCAAACAATTGATCACATTTTTAAATCAACGTTCCTGATTTCATTATTTTTAATTTTATTATATTATAATGACGTATAAGCGGAAGAAGTATCACCACGGAGATACTCATCTTAAAAAACGTTGGAGAGTGCGCAATAGAAAAAAAGATTTAGATCAGATTGACGTAGATTTGAAAGAAGGTAAGTTATAGGAAAGGGACCTTATCTGTCAAACTCTACCAAATTCACATGGCTAAAAGTTTTTGAGGTTATATTAATAATAAAAAATATATTATTGTATATATCAACAAGTATCTATATCATCACCCCGTAAACAAAGAAATTAATTTAACTTATGCAATAGTCTTTTTTTAAACATGTTAACAAATCTAGTTTAGTTAATACAATTTTTAAAAATTTGATATGTAAATCATCAAAATCACCTAATTTTCAGACAACGCTGAGAAGTTACTCAATCAGGATGTGGATTTAGATTTACCTGGTTCTGCACAACACTACTGCTTACACTGTGCTCGATATTTTATTGATGAGCAAGCTCTTAACGAGCATTTCAAGACGAAAGTTCACAAGCGTAGATTAAAGGCTTTGGAGTTAGAGCCATACAGCGTTGAAGAGTCCGAACGCGCAGCCGGTTTTGGTAGTTTCAAGTTACCAACTAAAAGGAAAATTGTTACTCAAAATACTAACAAATCTGATGTAGTAGATAAAGACGGTGATATTATTTTAGAAGAGACTTCATGTAAAAAGAAAAAATCTGATGAAAATGATACGTAAATCTATTCTTAGCTTGGCAATTAGACTAAGGGATTGCAGATTTATGTCTGTAAGAAAATCAGCTCTTTTTATGAATGGTACTAAAGCAACAGAAAACTTTGTCTATGTAATTCCTTATATTGACTTTTCAAATGAAATTAAACGAAAAGATCTTATTCAGGAACAATTAATAAAACGAAAATTAAATATTGACTTAACTAAAGTAGAGAGCTTGTGGTCTATTTATCAAGAACTGAAACAGAGAAAGTCTGAGTTTGAGAAGAAAAAAGAAGAAATATCAAAGGAATTAGGGAAAATTATAAAAAATGATCCTGAAAATGTTATTACAGAAAAACTAAAAATACAATTAAATCTTCTTAAAGATAATATTAGAAAGTTAAAAGAACCACTATGGTCAGCTGAGGAAGCTGCAATACTTGAAATATTGAAACTCCCTAATAGTTTGCATTCTCGGACACCACATTGTGAAAGTAAAGTTCTGTATACACATCTTTTACCACCAACAGAACAAAAAGACCATTTAATAATAGGAAGAGATCTAGGACTTATTGAATTCATCAAAAATGAAAATTATTATTTGAAAGGAACTGCAGCCATCTTTGAACTTGGAGCTAAGTTTTACTTCAATAATATATTGAGAAACAATAATTTTCAGCAGTTTTCAAATCCAGACTTTGTGAAAAGTTTGGTTCTAGAAGGTTGTGGGATAGATCATACAAATGCAAATTCCTCTTTTATACTACATCATAATGAAGATTCAAAAGTGAATGTAGACAGTCGTTTACATTTAACAGGTGGTGGATCTTTGTGTTCATTTTTTGCCTACTACACTAAAAATGTACTACATGCTAAAAGTTTACCCCTTAAGTACTTTACCATGGGTCGACAATATATACCCTCAGCTTCCGAAGAAAACAGCTTGTTCCATGTAAGTCAGTCATCAGTGGTGGAGATATTTTGTGCCACCAAAAATGAGAAAGATCTAGATACTTTACTTGATGATTTAATTGAAATATTGAAATCAACATATTCTGAGTTAGGCTATCATTTTAGACTATCTCTAATGCCTGCAGATAAGTTACATACATGGGAGTCTTTAAGGCTGATTTTTGAGATGTACTCCACATCTCTGCAGACTTATGTGGAGATTGGAAATATATCAGTCATTGGAGACTATGTAAGTAAGAGACTTATGTTCACTTATGTTGAAAATAAAGAAAGTCATTTCCCTCACATATTATCTGGTACAATATTTAATGTACCAAAGTTTTTGGGCTGTGTTTTAGAACAAGACAATGATTTCTCTCTACCTAAAGAATTTGCATTGGAAAAGTGGAAATTATAAATGATTAGTTAACTAGTACATTGTATACAACATTAGGATTATATTAGGATGTAAAATTGGTTTAACAATTCAATTTATTCCTTGTCAAATGAGATTCAAGATTTCCATTTTGAATGTAAATTGTTCTATTATGTGTATAGAAAGATTACATGGAACAAATTTCTTGCTGAAATATTTATGTACAATTGTATATTGTAACTGAATGATTTATTTATTGTAAATATAAGTGTTACATACTTGATTGCTTTTGTAATTTTTTACTATAGGTATTTTAATAATAATATATCTTTTTATATCCCAAGGTTGGGGTAGTTTTGTGTAGGGTATAAAATCTCCCACAATTCTGTGTGCCTTTTGGCAAAAGTCTCCTGCTCTCTCCATCGAAGTATGTCTTCCGCAACCCTTGTTGATGTCATCATTCCAACATATTCTTTGGCGGCCCTGTCTTTTCGTCCTGTCTGTAGGATACCTGGTATTAATTTTAAATTAAAATACCTACTCTTCACAAACACTATACTGTGTTGGAAAGGGATAGACTAATAACAAATTCATATGTAATACAAAAATATAACTGCCTATTTAATGTATAAGAAGTAAAACAATATTTTCTACATTAGCAGAATTCATTTTACACTTAAAAATATGTTGACAGTTTATTTCTTATCTTTTCATTTTTGTTTTTCTTTACTCTTTCATTGTTATATAAAGTAAGTATATGACTACTAAAGGGCAAAGTTAATTTGGTCATCAGAATTATAAGTTAAACTGGAACTTGCTGGTTTCCCATTCTGGGTTGAGCAGATCATCTGGCGGTTTTAAATTGACTTCTACTATATCCACAAGACCACTCTTGGTGACAAGTACCACAGTATGTGTCCTGCAAAAGTTATAAATGATTAAATAAAATACAGTACAGGTCTATGAATAAACAATTCTTAACCATAATCTCCCAATAAGATGATATCAGCCTATGACATCCTCGGAATGAAATATTTAGAAATGATTAAAATTTATTTGATCATTTCTTTCTAATATTTCAGATTATATCTATAACATCGTATTGGGCTAGATTTATAATTGTTGAACAATAATTATAAGAGTCAAGGTTATTACTGGATTGGACCATTAATAACAAGGTTTAACCTTGTTATTAATAATGTGAACATACCTTGTTCCATATCTTCCTTTTGGAATAGATACAAATATAGAACTCAATTCTTTATAAGAGTCTGGTCGCCGCTTTTCTAGAAGTTGGTCTGGCAGATACCTGAAAATAATAATAAATATATAATTTCGTAAATGAATGTAGTTTATATTAGATTATAGAAGATATTGCGTGAGTAAAAATAGCTGTTATCTCCCCTCCGATCGAACCTTGTTCTATACAAACAGGGATCGAAAACAGGAAAAGGCTGTGCCGAAGCTCGAACCCATAGCAGTGCCCCGGAATAAAGTCGTATCTGGCAGGCAAGAGTTGGTCTTCAGCCGCTCCATAGGTCCTTTCGCAGATTAAAGTGCCCTCTGCACTTGTCCCTTTTTTCGTTCGGTGAAGCAAAGGCCAGCTACGGCCCACATTATTTAAATGGTTACCTTTGGTCGGACTTCAGAAATGCAACAAGTTCATTCGTAAGTTCCCCTTTCATACTAAGTTTGCTGAATTTCCTGCATATTTCTTGCATTTTATTTTTACCGCCGTCAACTTTTTTCAACGGAGTACCTGGTAAACAATTACCGAACCCTTCACATCGGCTTGTGTAGTTCGTTAGTTCACACGTGGTATTATCATAAGCTTGAATTAAAGGCGATTTTCTGAAAAAGAACAAAGTACAACCGGTGAAGTGGTACTCAACACAGAGGGTTTTGAACAAATACCGTAGAAATATTTTATTTAGGTATAAGCAAGTATAATAATACCTACAAGAAATTTATGAACAACATATATTTAATTAGGTTTAGGCTTAATTAAAACGAAATCCTATTCACTATGACTATAACATCGTAAGCCTAACCACATAACTCGGTTTTCTTAATGTTTGAGTAGTAGACCTGCCGTAAGGTGTTAAATCCACCATATGTTCTACCTTTGTATTATGTGCAATAAAATTAATAATATTTTCCTAGATCCTATAAAATTTCAGTTCCTAAGAAAGTATCATTATCACGCCAGATCCCTTTAGGGATATACAGAGAGAACAGAGTGCCATTGGGTTCTCTCCTTACAGACAATTCTCAATTAATTCACATTCATCACTCGCCTCCAGACACATCCGATCATTATTATCAACTTCCATTATCATGGAATTTCACTTACACAAAATCTTCAATAGTCACGAACAGGAATTCGTTACATTCGTTAAAATAAGATTTCATTTGCTCAATATATTCTTTGGTGGGTGTGTCACATTTTACGTAATCTGCTATGATTTTACCTCGACCTGAAAATATTACAGTATTTTAGAAAAATGTAAACAGAAAAAATCTATTCTATCTATCTATCAGTTTATGCAGTGAAATTACAAAATAAGAGATATGACATGGTATTTGGAATAGCAACATATGAGTGATATTGCGGGTGTCACGTGATAATGTGATGTCCGTAGTGCTGTTCATGTATATTGGCACTTACCATCAGGTGGGTCATCAGTGATGGCCATTCCAATTACATAAAAAAAAACTAGAAGCGTCGCGGACTAGCACATCTTTGGTCCTGAACTGAAGTTGGAAAGCATGTTTCAATTTTAATTCAATTTTATTGTATTTCTTTTTATTTAGGTATGGGATGTCTACTAATGATTGTTCTGTTAGACATTAACGATTCTCTTTATAATCGCCACTTATTTCTGGTATCTATGTGTGTGTGTGTATGTGTGTAAAAGTAATATTATTGGCTGTGTTCGTTCGTTCCATAGTTAGTCCAATGCCGAAGTCAGTTTTTTTGTGGAACAAAATATTCAAATTATATAAATTAATACTGTATTTTAAAAATATCTTACTTTGACTATTGGGTTTCGCTGATCCAGGCAGGTTGAGTAGGACTCCAACTTTTTTCCGGGAAGGCGACACCGCCAACCATGTTCCGCCCGCTTCCAAGTCGCGTCCTATATTGTTTAACGGGGTATATGGGTAAAATGAAATTATGAAATTAAAAAGAAATAATCATCAGACCATATATTAGTTAAAAAAAACGAAATGTGCTGAATTATTGTAACATTTTATTTATTTAATTATATAGTATATAATATACGGTTATTCAAAATTGGTAGATATATAACCCGGGAGCCGCATGCAGCCCGCGGACCGTATCTTGGACATGACTGATTTCTACCAGTCTTTTATCTGTGTTATTCTTATTATAGGACATTATCACATTTTTAGTCAATTGGCAAACATATTTTCAAAAATGATAATTCTAAAAACTGATTAAATTAATCAATCATTGAAATATCCGTCTGCGAAACAAACATTATTAATCTTATACACCATTTGCTGATTCGGGTAACTTCGTCTGCGTCGCATAAGAACATCCGTTTCATCCATTCCATTTGAACCATTAGTACCTATACGAACACCGCATTCAACTAGCCAAACAAACTCATCTGTATTAAATACTAGTATCGATTATGTTATAAAAACAGACCTGCTACAACTTTGTTGTCATCGCTCCATACAGTCATTTTGTTCGCCGGCCTGTCATAGAACTCGTCTCTATTCGATGCCAATATGAGACTATAGTCGCTGTCGTCATCGCCTGTGCCGTTGTATGTGAATAGAATACACATTTTTCTGAAAATTATAGAATAAAAATATTGTTTTTTTAGGAAGGAGGAATAATACTGAAATGTAATGTAAATTGAACTCTATTTTCCGCAATCAGCCTCTCATCTAATAATATCTAATACTGTAGAATTTAAAATAAAATTATCTTAATTTTATTGATGATAGATTTAGTGAAAAACAGTTAATAAACATATATGCAAATAAACATTCGTCTACCTACTTATATATTGATAACACACTAGTCAATTTTGTTACTCCACTCAATTTTGATATAAAATTGAAGATGTAATGAGTATTGAAGTCTCGGCGTTTGTTACATTACAAAGTCCGCAATGAGTAGGTATTATGATTATCTTACTATTCTGCTGATAACGAGAAACGAGGTGGGTACGTAAGTAGTTATAAAGTAAATAATCCATATTTAAATATCGTAAATATTAACTGAACTAAGTACTTATTGTTATGTAATGGGACACACAACACAAGTAGGACAAGATAGAAACTTGTTGGTATTAAATATAATATTATATTATCTGTGGTATTAATAAATAAGACCGTAAATTTTAAAAAAGGAATCGCTCTATTTTTCTTTCTGACGATATAGAAACAAACAACTAGAAATTTGTATAGGTATTCATTTAAAAAAAAATACAAGTATATCCCATCTTGTCTCGTCTGTGGGATAGACTATGTTTAAACGTTTTATCTATTTTTAAGTAATAGTAAAATAAACCAGTGTCTATGTTTTATACATACTATAAATTTCTTTATTATTATATTGTTAATATTCTGTACCTACATCATACATTTATCATGTATAGTTAACACGTCAAATTTAAGGTAAAACCACATGAATTGAACAATATACATGCAAAACCACAACGGCATTTAATAAAACATCAGTGACGCTGAAACCATCTTTAATATACCTAAGTGTTTCAGATCATGTTAAAAAAGTATTTTTTACATCGCATCATCAGTTTATGTTCTTTAAAACCCTACCTGCGCCTAATAACAATAATACAGTGCTATCTATTATTGCTACCAGCAGACGGGAACTTTTGTGTTAACTATTTTTAAAAACCTATTGTTGGAAGGCTTTATAATGTAATAGAACTTTATAGAACCCCGTATGATAAAGTATGGACCCAATCTCAGAAACGACTTAACCGATTTGAGTCCGGTATTCATTATCGTATTGTGATAATCTTCCTATTCGCGCATGGCTCTATGAGACCGACTATTTACTTATTATTTTTGTATAAATGTTGTATTGACATTTGTTTTATTTCTTTAACCTCATTTTTATGTTTATCATAACCAAAATTTTTCATTTTCTAAGTTTTGCTAAAATGGATCTAAGAATCTGGGTGAATCTGCACCTACATATCTATACGTATTACAATGTTAAGCGCGGATGTTGGAAGGTTAATATTTGGTGATGTTTTATTTATTTTAATCTGTTTATAAACATACTAGCCACTCGCCCCGGCTGCTAGGCGGATCCGCACGGGTGTACATGTATTATATACATATAAACCTTCCTTTAGAATATCTCTATCTATTTAAAAATACCGCTTCAAAATCTGTTGCGTAGTTTTAAAGATTTAAGCATATATAAGGACAGACAGCGACAGCGACTTTGTTTTATACTAGATGATGATAATGATTAGTAAAATACATATTGTTATTTAGAATACCACGAGTTTGAAGTCGCTGGTTCATCTTATTTCGTAACTAAATAATAGATGGCACCCTATCTGCGTTTTATTGTTGGCAGTTGATTATAATCACTAGATGTCGTTAAAATGAAATACATTATAAATTAGTAGGATATTTATTAATCCTGTAACAAGTTGTAATATAATACAAACATTATATTACAACTTGTTAGATTTCTTACTTGAAACAGACAAAACCTAAAATTTGCGTTTTTCAACGAACCATTTGATAGTGTGTTCAATTAACTTTTTTATAAATTCATAAAAAATCGCGAACATATTGATTTTAACAATTAAATTTGTTAGTAACAGTGTTACATAATTGAGCTCCTGAACTTATACAGTATTTTCATTAGGTAAATATCCAGAACAGAGATATGGGTGTACTTTCCCACATCTCTGTTACTTTTATGTAATAAAACCTAATAACAACAAGTAAAACTCATAGTTATTGTTTTTGAAACAGTATAAAAAGGGGACATACCTACCTGCTTACCAAAGACGAAATTACATCGAATATTTAAATATAAACAATATTGTTAATTTTCTGGTTTAAGTCTATTTATTTATTATTGGAATTCACTATGAGATTGTAAATAAAGTAACTATTTATTGACAGTAGGGATGGAATAAATCGATAATAAAAAAAATCGATTAAAACCAATATTGAAATGAAATAAAATTTATCACATTTTAAAATTTTGTGATTATTAATAAGATTTAAAAATTTTTATTTAACAAATCATACATAATTTTAAAGCAATATTTTTGAATATGTTAGTTAATTCATAAAACATTTTCTGAAGAGGATAGCGGTGGTTATCGTCTTCAGAAAATGTTTTATGAATTAACTACAGTGGAAATGGTACAAAAACAATGAAAGAAACAGTATTACTCTTTACCATTTAATTATCTTTTACTCTCACATATAATAGTAATAGGTAATAGTATACACATATAGTGTATTACCATTATCGATCACTACGTTCTGTGAGACCTTCAGTTTTCTACTTATACTGACTTTGAATATTGCATTAAAAAGTTTTTTTGTTCTACATATTTTAATTTTGATAGGGTATTTTGTAGCAGTTGGTAACCCTGAATTTTGGTAGCAATAATGATATCGATAAAACGATATCTCACTTGTACAGTAAGGAGCGATTTACTACATAGAAATCGATTACTTTTTAAATTAATAAATTTTTGGGCCTCTTAAGATTGCTCTTGTTTTTTTGGGCTTGTAAATAAATTGTTTTGGTTTTCAGTTGGTTGGAAAATTTTACTGTGCTATAGTATCGATTTAATTGAATATTATAATCGATTAAATATAACTTTTTGTACAATATTAATATTTTTATCGATAATCGATTAATTTTTATATGTTTAGTCTTACCCTATCATCGATTAACCAGTTATCCACCATATTTGTTCTTGTCAAGTCAATCCTGTCTCTATTATTTTTATGTCATATTGTATTTATAATGATTTTATTGGCTTTATTAATATTATAAAATTATTTAATAACACAAGTATGTAGATAAAAATAAAACATTCCTATTATCATGGATCCAAATTTACCATTTTACAGTGTTCTAGTAAGTAATTTTACGTTTAGAAAATCAATACAAATATAATTCTGAAGGGTATTATACTTTCTGTTTGTATTGTTTTCATTATAATAGATTGCGGATGGAGAATCTTCCGATTTACAACATGATTTACAGTCCAGTGGATCATTTTTGGGCCCAGATGTTGATGTTCTGGCCCAATTGCTACCTGGGGATGAGCCACTGGAAGAACCAGACTTAAACGGACCTACGACTTTACACTGTGAAATTTGCCAAAAACGCTTTGATAATGCAACCAAATATTATGGACATCTAAGAGCTCATTCAAAGGGCAATCTATGGGTTTGTGGTAAGTCATAATAAAATAAAATGTTAATGTTATCCTCAAGAAACTTACTTCTAACTCATGTATACATGAGTATACAAATGCTGTTGATTGTTTGTATTTGTCTGTACATTTTTTAAGTATATTATGGGTGTACAAAAGAAAAAAATGCATTGAAGTAATTCTATCATTTGTTCTCTTCTTGAATTATTGTTTAGCAAGGGGTGTATCAATAAAAATTCAAAATCAAATGAATGACCAGTTATCATAATTAATATTCTACACTAGATTGAATATACTGCCTCGTTGTTTGTAGTTGTTAAGATCATAACAAATAAGTGATAATAATAGTGTTAAAGTTATAAATTACGCTTAAAACTATTGGAAATAAATGTAGTAACTGTAAATTTATATAACAGTAAGTGCTACTTCAAAGCATGTCAAAAAGACCCTTAGGGTTGACATAGAACAGTAGTGTAGAATGTAGCAGGATTATGTCGAATACAACCTGACCATAACAAATGTTATGTAATGTACTAATATCAACATAAATTTATTAGAGCAGTCGTGGACATTCAACAACACATCATATAAAATGATGATACTAATAAAGGAAATGTTCAGTATTTTTTAATTACTTGTGTTCATATACTGAAATTAATGGTCAGTGAAATAAAAATAAAAGAAAGGCAACAGATCAATGTTAAAAAAATAAAAATATTTTTTTAACATTTATCTGTTGTTTAGTAATCATAATACAGGTGGTTAGTCTCTAATAAAGTATAATCACAATGTGGCTATACTTTATTAGAGACTAGATCACTTTTGTGAATTATACTTGGTTATTGTTATTATTATTGTATTCACAAGCATTCAAAAATATTTAAAGTTTATGCTGTTCCTTTTATCTACATAGTCAAATTTCTTGTGTATATAAAACTTGTATGGATTTATATTTTATTCAAATATAGTAGTAAATAAAAAGTCCTTAAATTAAGTGTACTTCAATGAAGATTACATTTCCTTTCTGTTGAATGTATTTATATACAGTACTTAAGTAGATTTGTGACAGATTACATTCATTATGCATCTATTTCAGATAAATGTCCTAATGAAAAGTTTGCAACTAAGCAACATCTCATGAAGCATAGTTTGACTCATAAACCTTTGGAAAGGGTGTGGAAGTGTCTACAATGTTCAATGGCTTTTGAAGCTCTGTGGAGGCTTCAGCAACATTGGTTTGCAAAACATGTTCATTATAGGTTGGTTTCAAATTACAACAGAATCATAATACAGTTATAATTTAGGAAGCTTTATTGGAACTCATAGCTAGTAGAAAATAACTCCATATTACTTCCTGAAATGTTATTTGTAATATGTTAATAAAAGTAACTGTTGAAAAGTAGGTTTACAATTTAAATGTATTTTATATTCTATGTTGTTGTATTTTTAAATTTGTTGTTTTCCAGACCACACAAGTGTGACCAATGTGACAAAGCTTTCCACAAATTATCTGATTTAAAAAAACATAAAGATGTACATGGCAGTAAGTATTACATAACATTTTATAGCAATATGGATATTAACTATTATATTATATGGGTAAATAAAGTTTTCATCTCTTTCACCTTTTTTATTTACCACACCTTCACTAATTTCTTATTTAATTTATTGATTATGTTTCAATTCAAAACTAATTGCTATGATTAGAAAAAACTGAGTTAAAATTAAGTAAATATTATGTATGATGCTGATGTTTCAAAAAATTCTGGTATTTTGTTGAATGTACAAAAAGGTAGTTTGCTAACTGAGCCATTTGGTGAATACTTTTATATGTTAAATTTAATATTTACCTTTACTTTATAATGTTAATGATATTAAAATTATTAAGCTTAAGTTTTAATTAAATCTCTTTTTCATTTTAGATATAAAAAGGTATGCTTGCAGTTATTGCGATCTACATTTTAAAGATAAATCTAACCGAAATCGCCATATACTTACTCACACTAATGAAAAGCCATACTGCTGTCCAGGCTGTGGCAGCAAATTTAAACAGGTACATACACACATTATTAGGAAACACTATATGAGATAAAAAGTATCATAATATGCCTTTCACAATTATGAACATTCATGTCACTTTTAATTAAAATCCCAGCGCAATGCAGCCCTTTAGTATTGAATATATAACAAACTGACACTTTCGCATTTATAATATGAATTTACTGCAGTTTCTCATAGTGTTCTTTATACTGACAATAAATACAGATACCTATATGACTTTAGATCAAAAAAATGTAATATTTGTGAAGTTTATCAAGCAGTTTGTTATAGGCCGTGTATTACTTAAAGGTTGAGATAAGGCAGAGACAGCAATTATAGTATAAGATGAATAATAGACTTCCGAAATAGCAACGCAGAAGTGGTATCACAGGCGTCACTTGATATGTGATGAGATGTTCATGTATATAGGTGACCTCTTATCAAGTTTTACCATTTGACATATAAATTATACATATTAAAATTTTAATAATATAAACAACCTTAAGAGAATTTTTTTTAAATTTAGTTAGCATCACAGAAACGTCATCTGCAAAAATGTCCTTTGGCTAAATATATCAAGATCGATCAGAAGGATAAAACCACCAGGAAGAATTATTGTCGTGAGTGTGGTATGACGTTTAAGTATAAAAGCAGTCTCCTGGAACATTGTGTTCGGTGAGTTTGTTTTGTTTTTGTATATTAATGTTCTCAATAATAAAGAAATAGTTTTCTTCAACAATAATAGTATTTGTTTTAGTCTAAAACCGTTTTCATAACTGTTGGCTTAGCAACAGTATTTATGTAATATATTGCTTTTCAGAAAACAGTGTAATACCGATAATACAGTAAGTGAACCAGTTAAAAAAGAAAAAACAGAACCATTAAACAGAGATGGAACAGTTGATAATATTGTAAACGAGTTATTGTCAGCAGAGGATGACTATATGACAATGTCTACTCAAAATAATCAAACTGAAGCTGACAGCAATGCCGATAATCTCATGCAGATAGAGTTCCTCAAAGAAATGAATCAGTTGCGCATATTAGACGATGATTTATTTTACAATGATATAGACATTGATAGTTTACAAAGTAATCAAATATTTAATATGAATTCAAATAATGTGGATTTCGGTGTTAATGATAGGACTGAAGAAGTGCTCTTTGATTACACTGAAAGCGGTAAAAGTATGGACCAAGATTTAATGAGTGCACTGTACCAAGTTAAAGAAAATTTCCCAGATGACTTTCTAAATACAACAGATACAAAACCTTTTATTGACAAAGAGAATGATTTACTACTAAACTCCACTGTCGCTGTCAATGAATGTGCAACTATATTTGAAACTGATGTGGACTTGGATGCGAGCACTAATCTAACTGAAAATTTAAATCAATTAATAGGCGAAAATAATGTACAGTACATATCAACAGAGGATGATGACACTTTTATAATAAGTGTGAATAGTGAAGTGGATGCAGAGCAGTTGACTGATATGTTAAATATTGGTGTGGAGGTTGATAGTGATAATAATAACAGTGAAGCTAATACAGTCTCAGACTGCAATCAAGTCATTGATGATGTACCAATAGTAGTTAGAATAGAAGAACCTCAATCAAACACTAATACAGTGTTAGCGGCAGAAGAAACTGATAAGACAGAAACTAAAAAAGTCAAAGGCAAAGGGAAAAAATGGGTTATGTTTGTATGTGGCGAATGTAATAAACTGTTTAACAAAAAAGACAACTATAATTCACACATAGGTGAGTTTTTGTTCATTCAGCATAGCAAAATTAGCGAATTTACCAGGATTTGGCCGCAATAGTATCTAGGGTCGATTGTACGGAGGTTCAACTTCAATTCTCACATGCTATTCATCTTATTGCTAGTAATATTTTTCCGACAATAATAGTTCATAGTATTACATATTATAGTATCCAATTTTTATTTTTGACACTGAACTACAATAATATAAAATATATTTATTATTGGAAATAACATGATATTATCTATGTATTTATATACGTTGTTTAGTACCCATAATACAAGCTCTGCTTAGCTTAGATGGCACTGTGTGAATTGTCCTGAGATTTTTATATTATTAAATTATTCTTATTCATTGTTTGTATTGGGCTGACTGTATTCTATATATTTTTTTATGTATTTAAAAAAAGAATGTATTTTAGTATTTCATCATATCATCATCATCATCATCATCGCAGCCCGGAAGACATCCACTGCTGGACATAGGCCTCCCCCAAAGATCTCCCTCAAAGTATTTATACAATTGTTTAATACCCATAATACAGGCTCTGCTTAGCTTAAGATTAGATGATGCTGTGTACATTGTCCTGGGTTATGTATTATTTAAACCTAGAGTGAAATCTATATCGGTCAATGGGTTGCAGCGACCCACGGCGGCGTGCGTCGCCACGCGTGCAATGTGTGCGAGGAGAGGTTCGCTTACCGGTCCACACTCACTAAGCACGAGGCGGCCGCCCACACGCCGCGGGTGCTGCCCGCACACACCTGTAGCTACTGCAACAAGCACTTCAGCGCCAAGTGGATGGTCTGTCTCATACTTATTTATATAAAGTCACAATAGAAGTCCGGAGATTGTTGGTAATGTGGACTAATAACCCCATTTCTAGCAATGTACCATATCTGGTTCACCTTGCGGTCCCCCCTGTGAAACCATCGTGGTAAATTGTCATTTAAAAAAATCTTATCCAGGATTATCTCCAGAACTATTTAAAGTAAGTCATTTAATCATGTAGGAAGATTTCGCCCACTTGTGCAGGTTATAGTTCGTTCATTTAACTTGTGTTTTTGAAACTTGGATAACTGCTTGAACTAATGAGCAACAGCAATGTATGGCATTAGCTAGTATAGTTATTGATAGTCGGTTCAGGAGTGTTCCAAGGATCCTTCCAACATGTCCGTCATTGGGGGATCCGGAACCCGATCATAATGATATACAGCTTATACGAATTATTGATATTTACATTATTAATACATGTATGTGCCAACTTTGTACCATATTCATGCTTTGCTCCTTTGAACGACATCCTTGAGATGAAAAGAAGTGGAATGAATAGTATTTTGATTACGATCATTACACAGACTTGAACAGTTTTTATGAATTACAAACATTATCACTAGGTACATTTACTAATTCATTAAATAAACAGTAGAAAAATAATAAATTTAATATGTTACAGCTGAAAGTGCATGTGGAACGTGACCATGAGAGGGTGGCTAAACACGTTTGCGATATAAATAATTGTGGCAAGAAATTTTACAAGAAATCAGATCTCGTTGTCCATAAAAGGTAATAGTAGTTTGGAATTAAAACATAAAAACACACTGTCACGACTGTTAACTAGATGGGGTAGTTAGAGGTATTGCAGATTATCGACGTCATAGTGAATGCAACACTTGACATTTCCATCTTTAGTTGGGTATATAAGAATCCAACATATCAAGGGTCTACGCCGCCTCAAGGATAAATTGCTGATTTGATGTCGATGTTTCCTTCACCGGAAAGTGAGTCAGAAATAATATACTGACACCCAAAGTTATATTTTCAGTGTGTTGGCCAGATTTCACTCACGACGTTCGTCCTCAATAGGAAATAACACAACAAAAAGATCCATCAGCAGAGTTTGTTCTGTATATTGTGTACAAAACGTACAAACAGTTTCTTTTTTATGGCGAATGTTTTTTTTTGTTGTTCGGAGAATATTAGGTCAGAAAGGCTATATATAATATGAGTATGATTCATAGTCAAACTACATCATTACAATAAAAACTAAGCGTTAGCAAAATCATACTACTCCTTTATGGGTTGAAGAAATATAATATTTTTTTGTCAAAAATAGTTTATTTGGAACACTAAAATAAACATTCAAATCGTCTAGGTACCACACCGGGGAGCGACCGTACTCTTGCGATATTTGCACCGCCACGTTCCCGCACGTGTCGCACCTCCGGCGGCACCAGCGGTTCGTTGATTGCACTAAGAAGTAAGTATCGAGAGGAAGTAGAAATAGAAATAATAATCTGTATTCATATAAACTTAGTATTAGCAATCTTGGATAGGCATATTTCCTTTATTCTGCTACTCATACGGAAAGCAGACTTAGCACAAATTGAACATCCGAAATGAATTACTTGCTCTTTTACATATATGTATTTTAGTATTACTATTTAAACAACTGATATTTGTATTGGTATTATTGGTACACTTTGTAAAAAGGCTTCGGCGTGGGTCAATTACAAGTTTTCCTATTTCAGTCGTCAAGCGTTTGCTTTGTAATGTTTTAATTGTAGGATCTTTTAAAATGTATTGGCCCCAAAATTGTTTTATCGCGGTGGTAAACGTGTTTTTTATAGAATAAAATGTAGTTTTTCTAAGTATAAGCTTTATCACAGCTTTACATGCTACAATCATTATTATTCTGAGATATATTTCACTGGCGTTAGCTAATCTAATTTATGTGAAAGACAATTACAATTTACACCCTTATTTATTTTCAGGATCCGCAAAGGTTGAGGACTCATACAGTATTAAAAAGTACGTTTTATCTTCTAATAGACGCTTCTGTGATAATAAAGCTTTTAGTGTATTGTTAATTAATTATGCATAGGATAAAATTATTCTTGAACTTGAATTATAAATGTTGTATGATTATGAAATAAAAAAATGTTTAAGAAAAGATATATATTTGATAAATAAAACCTTAAATTATATTTACAGTCACATAATTCAAAATAATAGATACATTATGACGATAGCAATAATTGTTAAACTGTTACCTCTTGCAGAAGTTTATTCTATTAAATAATATAAATTCATATAAACATAAGATCAAACTGCGTTGTTTCACATAATATACCATATTATATGTATAATTTTACATGTAATTGTTTATTATGTGATACAACTAAGTAAATGTTTTTTAATTCGAGCCGACAGATCATATGTCAAAATTGGAGTCCTAGATATAACTTAAAAAATAAAGTGAACTCTACATTATTTCTAAACTATTTAATATCTGATAAAAATGTAGCTCTATCTTAATAACTTAACTGACAAGATATTCCTGCTATGCTTATAGTCAAGTATAAAATCATATCAATACCAATTTGTTAATTAAATTGTGACGATTAAATAAATAAAAGGAAAGAGAAAGAGGGGAAGGCAGATGATGAAATGGGAAGATGAGTTGAGGTCAACTGTGGGCACAAAATGGAGAAGAGTTGCACAGGATAGGAATCAATGGAAGTCGCTGGAGGAGGCCTATGCCAAAAGGCATACTGAAATGAGAGACATATTATAAAAATTAAATAAAAACAATTCAGTTAAAAATATTTGTAAATTTCAGAATAAAGGGCTATATTATTATTATTATAAATAAATAAATAAAACATTATTTAAAATTAATAACATAATGTATAAACTTCCGTACCGTTTAGGTCTGTTTCAAAATATTCGTCCTGATAATAATCCATTATTGTGCCATGCGGTAGTAAAGCGCCATGGTATATTTAGATTTATTTCGAGTTATCCTTATCTATTCTTTATGATTCTGATGATGATGAAGATCTTGATTTAGTGTGCGCATAATAAAATAAAAGTACAAATTATTTTCATAAATTAAGGTTTCTATCTGTAGATGAGTAAAATCATTATTTATCTATTCGATCAGTAAAACAGTGTGAAATATTATGGCTAACACTATAGAAATATATGCATTATGTATTCGCAATAGCACATTCATAGGCACACCATGCTTTTAGACTATTATTATGCTAGTAAAGCGACATGGTATATCTAGATTTATTTCGAATTATCCTTCTCTATTCTTGATGTATACATGTGTTCTTTTCTTAGAGTTTTTATTACCTCCGTGGGACAAATTTGAGGTGAAGATATATTGTATTATTCTGACTGCGTCACCACACAAACAATTTTATAAATAATTGTATAGTTAATGCATTTGTCTATGAACTAAAAATGTAGTTAAAATAATTTATATTACTGCTCATTATCAATTACAACTGTGAATATTCCGGGTGATAATATTGCCGTACGGAGAAAATTAGGGCATTTATGTTATATAAAGGTATTATAAGTATGTAGTCAAACTGTGACTACAATTAATATTAAGCGGTTTAGATTTACTCATAAAATACAGGAAAAAGTTCCGCAGACCACGTTGTGTGCGAATTGACCGCCTCTTCATAACTTTGTGAATTGTCAAAAAATATTACGGTCTAACATGATAATTTTTTTAAACAAAAGCTAATAATTGTTTAATTATCGAAATGGTCTTCCTAAAATAAAAAAATAACAAGTAACAGTTAATATGTATTAAATTGTACCTATTATGCCATCTCTTTGCCACACGCACTATTATATTTATCATCCGGTATAATAATTATGTTATAAAAATATGTTTTTGGAAAATAATGTCAGAAATATGTCCTATTGGAAAATGGAACCTTATATTTTCCCGACTGAGCCATACGGTTTTATTTTTTAAACTAGATAATCATTGTTAAATCGATAAGTTAGTAGTAGTAATACGAATATGTTTTATACATAATAAAAAAACAGTACAAATTATTTTCATACATTCAGGATTTTATCTGTAGATCAGTAACAATGGTTGCTATTATTTATATTACTATTTGATGACTAAAACAATGTGAAACTTATGGCTATGAAAAATATGTAAATGTACATACTAAAGTGAGAAACTGTATCATATCTTTTCATTTTCTGAGATTTTCATATATTGCATGAAGGACTCCAAACTGTTAGGACTGTTGACTAGACTGTTGAACGTATGGTGATTGTTACCCAACTGTAAGAATAAAAAGAATTATATTTTTAATATTCGTCATAATCTAGTAGATTCTGAGTCTGTATCTGGAATTACATTAGTGAGAATATTTATACAAGTTTTTTATTTCCAACCAACTATTATTTTAAAAATATTATTATTATTATAATAAGTTATTTTTTCTTGATTTTCACATATAATAGGATTATGAGTATTCTGTTTGTAATTTATATAGTTTACTATGCCCACTTTATTGCAATATAAGTACTAGTAAGAAAAAGTAAAAGTGAATAATATTTTTATTTAAAATTACTTAAATTGATTTAAAAGGCATCGACACAGGAATAATATCAGAGTATCACACAATAGTACTGTTAACATAGTACATTGGCCACAAATATTTGTGTATAGTAGGACGGACCCTGTCACCAACGCCGTTCAATTAACGTATAGTTCCTACGCCTCGCCTTCTTTTGAAATGCGTCATTAAATGACGTTATCGGCACCGTTGCGTCTCGAATGAACGAAATAATGTCTACCTATGACGAAATATGTCTCTGATTCAATTATTAGATTAGGCATAGAAGTAATATCTGTCGCCTTCTTTGTAGCGATACCTTTTGCCCTATATTTTATTCCAGTATGTGTAGTTCGTTTGCTTATAATCCCCTGGAATGGCAACGCATGAGGTATCGTGGGTGTTGCATGATAACGCGATGTCCGTAGTGCTGTTCATGTATATAGAAGACGGTTACCGCTTAGCTTCTCATTTTAGTTACCTAAAATAACTATGGTTGTGCGAATACTTACAAGGTTTCGCACCCAGCCGGAGAGGTGCTTCGTGAAGTATGGCTGCTGGAACCGAGCGTCCACTAATAGCACAGCGCCCCAGTCAGCACTGTGACGCACGCACCGACCCACTGCTTGGTTCAGGGCCCTGTTCTCATTCAAAAGTTTATACATGAACATAAAATTGTATCCTTAAATATTGAAACAATCGACAATTTCATTTGAATCGGAATGCCGTTAAAGAATTATCGAATACGCGCTTTTGCGCATTCTGATAACAATACTTTTAATTAATAGAGTTGTCGATTTCTACGTTTTATAGACAAGTATGGGCTTTAAACTGGGTTGCAGTTCGCATTTTCAGTATCACTGGTATCAGATAATTTTCAATTATGTCTATATGTATCGGTTTACACTTTTTTTTTTAATTTATCATTAGGAAAAACAAATGCTTCCACAAATATCAGCGTCTCGTCATCCATAACAAAAAGCAGAGACTAGACACTTAAATATTATGCATAAAATTTAAATTAAACGGAGAGAATTTTTCAATACTAATCTACCTGTACGCTTGAACCTGAAGCCAGTCACTTTTCGGCAGCAGACCTCTTGACTGGCTGTACTTGTCGTTATATGTTACTTTGGCTTGCACGGCCATATCGAACATATTTGGATACGGGATTCCGATCTGAGTACAAATACAGTAATTTATAAACTACACTTATAATAATAAGAAAATACTATTTTTCTGTTTTATTGAGTTAGGGCGTTATTTTGTGTAAGTACATTTTGATTATGTACAGTTTGGTATAATTGCATGTGCAACTCTCAAAAAAATAATAGAAAATCATTTCACATAGAAACTGTATTGATTTAATTCTGTTATAACTGAGAATTGTTACTAACACTACGTAATTAATTCTTTCTTTAAGTAATCAGCAGTATAGATTTTGAGAGGAGAAATCGAAATTGCGATTCTCGGAAATAAGGTAGTGTGCTAAACCGCTAGACCACCGGGGCCATCATATGTATTTCGTACCGTGACTACAGCCCTGGCCTGGTGGTCCTTGAAGTCCATACCCTCGGAGACCTTGCCGCGGAAAACTGCGAATAATACAGCACCTTTCGCCGATTCTGAATATTTGTAGTAATCCTGAAATTGCATATTATGACAATACGTATTAATATTTAAATTAATTATAATTAATGAATTAATGAGACTTGTAATATTTCTGTCAACAGCCGGCACCCTTCCTTCTGTTTACGTCCAATGTTGAACTCCAATTTAAAGTCAGTCTTCGTTATGACTGCACGTTGAGTGTACACATTACTAATAAGTTAGCTAATTTACTACAGTAGTTCAATTATTAAACTTATATACTAACTACCTAGTATACTAGTAGTAGTCGACTTAGGCCGAAAGGTTGCCAGTTCGGATCTGGCAGACGAACTAAATTTAATTTATAAAACATTTATCCGGAGGATAGCAATAGCTTCGCTCAATGTGGGTACATGAATATGAGATTGTCAAGTGTTGCGTTCATAAGGACGTCGACTTTTGAAAATTCCTCTGATTACGAGTGTAAACTTTCTGAATATGTGTTATGTTATTTCAAACTCACGTCCATGATATCATTGTGGTCCCGAACATTCCTGTTCTCAGTGAATACATGTTTTAACTGGTCGAGTTTATTCCACATGCCAGTCTCTATCCACCTAGAATATAATATATAATTCATTACTTTCGTAAGTGTACATCACATACATAAATCATAGACTTTTAGTTGTATCTTATTATTAGCTCAATTATATCTATGTCTTAAATCTTAAATAATTATGTATTCATGAAGAGGCCTATAAAAATATGATATGCATAAAAGGAGAGTAATCTCAGATACGGCTGATTGCGACTGGTGAAAGATGACATGCGCGAACCCCAAATAATAGGCAAGCTGTCGTTAATGACAAGAGTGACTAATTTAACTTAACTCAACTCGTATTCTTTTCAAATAAGGTTGCACAGGTTTACAAGGTGTATAATACAGATTCATTTTTCGATTCAAATTTGGGAGACAAGACTGACCACCAAAAGTAAATAGTCTAATCAATGTTCGTAACCCGAACAGACCAGTCCACACAAGCATTTATTTTCCTTATTGACCACTAAAATGGTACAAAGGTGGACTTAAAGTCAGCATTCTCCCCCAGTCAACCTTTCGGGTGTGCAGAGATACTTGATTGCGACTAAAATAATATAATTCTGTAGTAAATGCATATTTACCTGTTTTTGAGATTCTCCATGAGTTTGTATGACGGTAGAAAACAGAGCACTCCGTTGGGTGTAACGCGGCAGACATGTAACAACGTGTCCGCCAGTGCGTCTTGTACTTCCGGCTGCGACGTGTCTTTGCTGCAACACTGGAGTGGTCGCCCACGTCTGCATGAGCCCAGTGAGCCCACCCACACCTGTGTGAAATGAAATGTTTTTTGCAAGGAATGTGTACACAATGATAATGGAATAGGTACATATAGGTTCATTCGACGTGATGCGTCATAGGCGACGGTTTCACTTACCATCAAATGGGACGACAGTTTGTGTGTCATTCGTATTAATTAAAAATACTCACTCTGTCTTTTGGTATGACGTGTCCTGGGCTGACTTTGAGAGGGAATTCTGTCGCCAGTTCGGAGTACAAGCTAATAAGAGGCGTGAGAGTGCCTGATGCCAGCACCACGCATCTGGCCGCCTTCAGATCTTCGAATATAACCGCCGGGTTCATACACATTAGTCGTAATTCTATGTGCTCTTTATCTACGTTCTGTAACAAAAATATTTGAAGATGAAGTTTAGATACCAGGTTTTAGAAGATAATGTTTGTAAAAATTATAGGGAATAAGTATGTATATAGTAGAAGGGAAACTTCAACGGCCTGCCGTTGTCCTCTATTCGCCACCACCTTTCTCTTGTTCTCACAATGCGATATATCGTCTACCTCTTCTACGCGACGGTAACGCTTTTTCGTGACTGAAAAATCCTAATATATAGACTATATATAATATGTACAAATTAAATAGACCCACAACAAATAATTAATATATTTAAAGAAACATAATTAACAAAAAATTTTTTTAAAGAAAATTAAATCCATGATGTACATGCTGTTTGAATGTTGCTTAAGTATAATGAAAGAATTACAAAAATCGTCAATAGAGTACAAGCTTTCTCTATTTATATCATTAACTGGGTGTAAGCTTAAGCTTTCTCTAATAGCAGTGACCTTATTTTTTTGTAAAATAATTTTATTTATTTTTAAACACCGTCTATATAGAAGTTTCACTTCAATAAAGAGATCCCGGCTCCACTTACTTAATTATGCATAGAGGTTAAAAGTAAAACAAATATCGAAATGTTTTTTTAAAAATAATATTATATGCTTAATCAAGCATAATATATTTTTTAAAACTTGCCTCTTCACTTTTACTCTATGCCTATTTTGACAATTATCTAAACAGTTAAATATTGTTTACAAAATGAGAATTCGAAACTAAGATAGTAAATAAATCATTCGATTTATAGTCACTGTGTTTATTTTTTACCACAACTTCTTTCTTATTATATCAAGTACTTATAGTGTTCATTAATAATGCACACATACTCACCGTCATTTCTTTTTTTTTATGAAATATGGTATAAATAAATAAATAAAAAATAAAATAAAATTATCCACAATTTCGCCATTGTTTTGGCATGCAAAATTTTAGTAATGTACAAATTATACAATAAAATTAATGAATTTACGTTTAAAAATGATATTATATGTCAAATATAGATAGTAGTATACGTAACACTTGTTTTCGTTAGGTGTCAATCAATATTATTAAAATATATCAAACAATACTATTAATTTTATTATCTAATAATTCTAAATATAACTCCTAATTCTAATATTTCTTCAACGCTAGATGTATTAAGTTATAAACCTATATTCTTCTATACCTTTTTCGTTTATTATTATGTATCCCTTCCTTTCGCACTAACTTTTCGTCTCATTAACTCTATATTCCTACTCGTTCATTTTTTTAAATTTATATATAGGTACTCATAACAATATTCTCTCTATAAACAATATGTACCTGTGCATACTGCGAGCGTCGCCATTGCATAGCCCCGTAAGATGCGTTCATGACCACAGTCTTCACTAGAGCTGGTGTGAAGTCATCCAAGTACATTCCCGACGACCGAAATAGGAATCCTATTGAAACATTTATACAATTGTAAATAACTCCTTATTACATGAGCTACCTGCCAAAAAAGTCCCGTCAAAATCGGTCCAGCCATTTCAGAGATTAGCCGGAACAAACAGACCGACCGACAAAAATTGTAAAAAATGTTAGTTTGGTGCATGTACCGTATTTATATTCATATGCATGTAGAAAAGAAAGGTTATTTCAATATTACAAACAGACACTCAAATTTTATTTGTATGTATAGATTAAGGATAAAGAATTGCAAGCGAGTTTATAATTTAAGCCCGCTTGCATTGCTAGATACGTCCTCCTCCGATCGATCTCGTGGCTTAGTCTAAATGGGATTGAAGTAACCTGTGACGAGGTTCGAATTCATAGCGGTAACATACGAAGACGTGTTTACGTCTTCATGTTGCTACTATTGAATCTTTACAGTAGACGAATACGTTTGCCCATAAAAGATTTTATTTACCAATTACCCGCTACTATTCAATTTAACCGTGATCATGGCGGTTGAAACACTAGCGAAAAATTTCTCAATAATATCTCTCGTAATTCAATAACAATTAATAAAACGTGATAAGATCCCGTGATTTTTCTTACTAGTATTAAAAAAGTAAAAACAAAATATTCCATGCAATTGATAAAATCACTGACCGAGAGCCATTAATATGGATTCCACAAGAGTGCCTGTAGCTTGAGTGATGCCAACCATCGTGCGAGGGTCATCCCGTAGACGTTGGCAGAACGTACTTGCGCTATTTTGGTATTCTGAAAATTTTAAAATAAATCTTAATTATATTTGTGTTTACAACTGATGTTGATATATGGAGTGTTTGTGTGTGTGTATCAGTGACCTGAATTTCATTATATATAATACACAATTAATTATTAATATTCTTTAGAAATTTCAAATATAAGAAAGCAGATTATGCAATGGATCCCGCATCGCAACATCCATAAAAGAATCCCCTGATGTTTCAAACTATAACAGATTAGTGAGTAAAGTAGATTTCAGTAGATATCATACTAGTCTGCAATAGAGCCAAACAAATAAAGATATTTTAATTAAATTTGTTTTTAAAAAACTATCAAGTTAAATAAAATATAATACGAGTACATGAAATGATGAGTCTTTATTGTTTCCCTCGCAAAAAAAATATTTACATTAATAAAAGAAGTTGGTTCAAGAGCAGTACTGTATATTTTTGATAATTTATAGAGAGTACAGGTAAAACTTCAGTAACGAATGTCATTAAAAAACATTTCATACCTGTGAATTGCTTTTGTCCAATATTATGATTGTCGAGTGTTTGCACGAAGTGTTCGACTTGCCACGTGTGTACCACTTCATTGTTCTTCGCAGGTTTGTCTGCTAGCAATTGTAAATGATTTGCGAACCTGCATTTTGTAAATTAACATAATAAAAATTGTTTACTTATCATAATAATTTCTAGATAGTAGTCGTAAAGCTTCGGTAATTAATGTTATTAAAAATAATTGTGTATTTACACAACACTATTTAATTAAAAAATGTAAGCATCTATCTTATAGTAGTACAATTACTGACCAATAGTCCCAACTTTTGAAGGTCTTTAATATCTGATCGATGTAAGAAAGCGCTTCACTATTACTGTACCGCTTCTCTGACACTTTTTCCAATTCCTGCAAATATTACCTCAATTTAAATTAACCTAAAATATATTGACTTGTAACGTATGTAACAGCTGAGGGGATTGTTAGTAATGTGGATTAATAAGCCCATTGCTAGTAATGTACAATGTCAGGTTGACCTCCACGCGGATATGTTAAATTCCTGGTGAATTTGCCACGATGGGTTAACTGACCTGACCTCATGCTCATCCTATAATCCTCCACTGGTGCCCCGCCAGCGTAAACCGTTAGTGCAGGGAAGTGCACCATTCCATTATCATTTTAAAAAAAAAATAGAATTTCCATATTTTAGGTTGGTTAAAAAGTAAACAATGCATAGACTCTCACCGATATAGCTGCCAGTATGTTGTCTCGCGAAAATGTAATGGATGCTGCGTCACGACAGATGTCCTCAATGTTGTGGGCTTCATCAATGATAACAATGTTGTTCTCCAATTCTATTTTCATCTAGAATAAAGATGTGAATCTGATATTGTGATATATTAGGATATGTAGGTAGAATAATATTAAATTAATTGAGGAAGACTGTTTGCTGTTCTATTCCTTCATATGTGTTATTGTATTTCTTCATATGTATGTGTGGCTGTTAAGTAAACACATCTATTTTATTCCTCTCCGCAATAGAAAATTACGATATTTCTCAGATATGATATAAAATTCATTAAAAATGATGATAGATTTATATATTTTAATCTGCTTAATATAATTTAAATGGTAATGGAATCAAGCCTGCCTGATAGTAAGGGGTAACTGTTGTAATAGTAGTAAGAAATCACGTTATTAAATACCTGTAACTGTAATAAATATGAAATACAATAAAACATTGAGTATAAACTAACTTACGCTGCTTCGAATACTGGGTTCGATCAAGTAGTTGTACGGACAGAACACGATGTGGGCGATATTGGCCATCTGCCTTGCGGCGTAATATGGGCATGCGATCTTCTCATGTCCTGCATCCACTAAGTCTTCCAAGTCGAACGCTGGCGGCAGAGTGCGATGGTTAAGCGCAGTTCGGTTGTTGTAAAACGTGCAATTCGTTTCACCCTTCGATTTGTCGCCAGAGTCCTTTACCTGGAAATGCAATGTTTAGAAAACTAACAATTGACAGCGACTTCGTCTAATTTTTATCAGGCGAAAGAAGCTAGTCTGTACTAACTTATGTCAAATTTCTTTAACATCATTCAGCCGTTTAGTCGTGAAAATATAATTAAACAGACACATTTTTTATTTTATAATATTAGTATGGATGAGTGTAGTAAAATATTAGATGCGTTAGTAAAACATATGTCATATTGTAAGGTAGGGTACCGGTTATTAGAAGATGATTCCTGAATTATCTTCTAGTACCGGCTAATAGGCCTGCTTCGACTAGCCGGCTATATTTATACGGAGATAACTGGTAAGGACATACCAAGTGGAAAGGCAGTAACAGTATTCAAGTAAGGCAAATATTACTAATATCAACAATTCTATAGTTATAAATTTATATTGAGATAACCACTTCTTTCCTAAACAAAAGTGTTCACTGTGTGTTCTAACTGGCTTTACACATTACGATTAACCCTGTATAACATCTGTCACAGGGCCGTTTAAGTGCACAATATTTCCGAAGTGGTCAATTTACAATATATTTTAATTACCTTCAAATTGGGCGATCACGAGAATGAAATACGAAAATTTCAAAATTCCAATCTAATTTCCACTTTATTCATTGAGGAAAGAAATTCAGTTTTGTGTGTATTCACACAAAACTGAATTTCTTATCTGCCTTTCACATTAGATTAACGACTAAATATAACATTTCTCATAGAACCATACACATCATTCTGAAAAAGCATCGATGACTAACCTTGATGCACCCCCTACACATGTCGTTCTTTGTACCCCACTGGCTCTTATCAAATTCCCTGATGCAGCTGTAATCCCTGCTGGAGAGCACCGACATGGTCGCCTCGCCACAGTACGAAGTCCTTTTGAACTCCTTGATCACCTGCTGGATCTGCTTGTGAGTCCTTGCGCCGTAGTATATGGTGGGCACGCTGGAATTAACAATCATGGATGTCCTCAGTTGGAGGTTGTCGACCAGGCTGTATAGAGATCTGGAATCAACCACCGTACACATCCGCCACCATCTTTATTAAATAACAACAAAAACTAATAAATACTACATACCAAACAAATAATATATTTGTGTGTAATAATATATATATTTCATAAAATAATCTATTTAATCTATAATACTTATCTTTATTTTAAAAATGCTAAAGAAATTCTGAAATTCATTTTTGAAGCTAGAACAATGTCATGCATGTCTTATTTGTAAAACAATTAGCCTAAATAATTAAAACTACGATCCAAAGTCACTATTTCATGAAGACGAAGTCGCAGGCATAGCTAATATCTACTACATATAAGTATATGTTTATATATTTAGCTCTCAATATGTACTAACTACAATACATACTTAAATAATTACTACAAACTACATGCACTACAAATAATAATACACTAAAGAAATATATGTTGTTATCTTATTATATTTATCGATACAGAATTACTGTTTGTGAAGAAACACTTAAAAAAAACTATAAAAATACCATGCATCAGGGTTTCTTCTTATAGAATATATACTTTAGATTTTCCATTACATTGTCTAATATAATATTAATGACAATACTGTACAATGACCAAGTTTACCTGTTTACACACTTGAAAATTGCTGATTAAGTCCATTTCAGGCAGATAAGTGCATTAAATGACTAAATCAACTTTTAAACTTATAGCAAAACAAAATTACTTTGTTAATATATAGATTAAAGTAACATAACAACACTTGTTTTTATTAATTTTAATTTAGGACTGTTAATATGTATTTATTTCATGATGAAATGACGCCGTTTGCATTGAATGACGGTGGTAGGTAACTATGACGATTTTAAGGGAGAACGATTAGGAAAAACAGAGACGTAATCCGTCTGTTCAGGTAACTTTAGCACTAGATACAAATATAAACTTGTAGTTCCCAAATTTCGTTTAAATAATTTTAATAGTATGTCTTTTATAGGAATAGGCATTATATTTTACAATAGGATACCAAAAGACATTCTCTGAGGATCAGAGGATACAGAGGATCTGCCGTTTAACGAATAAATAATATATATTATTACTATTGTATGTAAATACTCTGGAAACGATTTTTTGGAAGACAACATATATGGCATTAGTTGTTCAGACAAAGGATTTTATATTTATAATATGTTAGACATATATATATCACTTAAAGTCTACGTCATATTTAAAAATTGAAATCATGTTTAAAATAATAATACTATAAATGTACCAGTTGATTTTCTCTCCTCAACTAAAGTAGTTAGCCTAACTGGATGGTAGAGATAGTGATAAAAACTATAACATGCAAAAGAGACCGAAAGGTTCTATGTCAGTAAGTGATTTTGAATTTAGACAATGGTTTTGTCAAGTCGACGCGGAGACAATTATCCTCCTTAAGTCACTTTACACATGAGGTAATGACCTCATTACTGTCAATTGCCTTCCTAAAAAAATACAGTTATATTGCATACGCATACTAGAAAACGTATATCTCTTACCTCACGTTCTGTGGTGTGTTAGGTAGCACGGCATCGGTTGGTTTTTCAGGCGTGGTCATGAAGGGCGTGGTAGATGGCGATGTCTTGGAGCATTCGCCCTGTTCACTCGAGTTCAACCGTTGTCGTTTCGCGTATATCGTAACTTGAGAGACACCCGGAGAATCTGCAGATAATCCCTCTCAACATTATACATGCGAAACTGTCTGTCTGTTTCGTGTTATATATAGATATACATACATATTTATGTGTGTAATACACAAACAAGCTGATAGATAAGTGGTAACCGTCGCCCATATATTAAACAGCGGGTTTAGAGTGTTGATTTCCACGGTTTCGTAGCACATTAAAGATATTTGTGGAAACTCGAATTGATAATGTTTAAGCCGTAATATGTAAAATCGGAAGACAAATAGACTCCTATGAACACAGCTGGAATTCCGGGTTATTTTATGTAAACGCACTGGACATCCTTAAACAGTTACAGGCTCACTCACTGATGGGCACTCAGTCACTCTGGAGGTGATATATGTAGGTATATGGAATAAAAGTACTTTGTGTTCGGAATTTATTAACTTGCAAGGCATCATAAATATCCGAAATAAATAAATTTATGTGTTTGGAGAAATGAGATGGGTATGATTCTATACCCTGTATTTTTACAGTCTCGCCTGTCTGTTTTTGCCGGTTGGTTAGTGGCTGACTACTATACCGACTTTGTATAAATGTCTACCTCGGTAACACTTCTTAATCCTGCTAAAAATTAGAGTAGGCACATAATGATGTATAATGATGGTATTTAATATGTGACATTTCCAAGATACGTAGATAACAATTAGCCGCAGGCATGTCAGGAACGCGGACAACTATGTATGTAGAATACGTTTTTAGTTTGAGTTTACGGTGTAGTGAATTCGAATAGAGTTGGTGACATTGCAAGGGGAACATTTCAATACTTTCATTAGGGAGCGACCGCGGCTTCTGTCAGCGTAATCCCGGTAATGGCGTCATTGTTACACCGTGCCGCCATCTTGTACCACGACGTACAGGAGGAAAATGTTTTATACGCGAATTGTCTAGTTTTCCTTGTACATATATTAATTAGAAACATTTGCTTTGTATTTTGTTTTTGTACAAAAATATAATACTGTTTACATAAATATTGTCCTTTTATTTGATTGAGCGCCATGATTTCTCTATTACCTACAACTCTCCATAAACTGTATAACAGTGGTGTAATTTTTAACTACTTTTAATACAGAATAAGGAATTTAAGAATACAATTTTTAACTTGTGGAATCAGTGATATGGAAAAAAACGCGTACTTTGATCGGCCAATATGTTTTGTTTGTGAGTTTTGTTTTTTATTTTCTTAATGAATAACGACTTGCCGCTTCTATTTTGCTGTTTTATTGTTGAGTTACTACATAATTATAATATGACATTATGTTGGTTAATCAGTCACAAACATAGATTTGCGACTTACTTACCAATATTGAAATAAAATAATGGTTTCAAAACACTTAAATCATAATCAATATCATTTTAACCCCCCCCTATTTACATATATTTACGCTGGATGAATTCGGCTTGAACTTGATGAAACAAATGAGACTGACACATACTTGCATATAAACTAAACTAAGTTTCCGCCTTTTTTTTTATTAATAATGATTGCGCTTGATCTTGCCTCATCTGATGGTAAATGATGGCAAGACCTAGGATGTAGTGTATTTCTCCGGGAACACAAAAGCTGGAAGTGTGTTCCACTTTTTGGCAGTGCGTATTAGGAACGACGATGCGTACCGCTGCGGAATTTCCACGACGTACGGAACTTACTTTTTAAACTCAATAAATTAAATTTCATCCGTACCTTGAGAATCTCCCCGCGATGGCTCCTCACGCTTGTTGCTACACAAAGTACTGTTTGTGTCGTTGACATCCGGTTTGTCATATATACTTTTTTCACCTGGTAAAGAAAATACATAACGTTTAAAACAATACACTCATGACTGTAATACCCGATGGAGTCAGTCAGAGTAATTTTACTCACCGTAACTCTAGATAAAAGTAATACATGACTGACTAACAAATATTTGGCTAAGTCAGGGAATACCTACTGAAAAGCTGGCTATTTTTCGCCCAAAAAATTTATATAAATGAAATAATAGAAAGTTTGATATCTTTTGGTGATTTAAGAGTCTAATGATTCGTCATATCTACGGTTTGTTACAGACGTTGTTTTTGGGATGGAGAAGGAGGGTAATTAAGTGGTAGATTTAACCAGGTTAATTAAAATATTCTGCTCACGCCGTGCTACGTTCCAGATTTAAGGGTGAGATTTGTCAGCGAAATTACTAGTTACGAAGGTATAAGACCAAAATTCTCAGGAATGGCAACGGATCAGAAGTACTTAGACCAAATAATTCTATACTGAAAAGGGACTTCTACGTGTCTAGAATTTAATTCCTTTTAAATACTAAAAATATAATTAACGCGGTAAAGGAAAATAGTAAGTCACAAATAAATTTAAGATCCGTATCGTTATCACAGATAACAAATCCCTAGTAGAGATAAAGCGTGTGAATGGGTATGTTAGTTATGCGTATACTACTGGCATCAGTATGTAAACATACTTTCAGTGAATCCCGTAGATATGGATGAATTCCTGGGTAAAAAATATCAACAAACTAACCAAGACAACTTTGAGGATTATCTTGCATTTACTGGTACGTACGTACTTCCTTAATTTATGTTTCTATACATTACGACAGCTAGCTGTCACGGCATATGCTGAGTGTCGGCCATGTGGTCATAAATATTTATAACACATTACACATAACAATTACGTTACAAAAACATATATAAAAAATATGTTTTTTATATGTGTACCTTAATGTTTAATTGTTGTTATATGAACAAATGAATCAATGTTTTTTATTATAATAAATGATTTTCTTTGTAGTGTCAATTTATTAATACTCGTAACATGATTGCACGCGTCCGAATGCAACACTACGCGTATCATTGCGTAGTGTTGCATACTGGCCTAAGAATATATACTTGCATTGTTTTTCTCATATAGCAGATTTGATAAAGTTTACATGTTTACATATCAGATAATATGTAGATTTACAAATCACACATGAGTTGACCTAAGGATTATTAGGAACTAAGTAAAGTAGTAAGTAAGTAAAAGATATAAAGCCTTCTACTTACTTCTCTGTTCCTGATTTAACAGGACATAGATATCAGTTTTTTTTTAATATACGTTGTCCAATTAACACAGCGCCATCTAGTCCTATAGTAAGCAGAGCTTGTGTTATGGTTACTAGACGACTGATAAAAATCCATAGATGTTTTAGGAAATACATATATAATATACATAGAAAACACCCAGCCAGATACAAACAATCATATTCATGAATACAAATGTTTGCACCGTGCGAGGAATTGAACCCGCGACCATCGGAAGTAAATCGGTGTGGTAAACCGCTAGACGACCGAGGCCGTCATTTTACAAATATTCATATTATCTAACATATGTACAATTCATATAATGTTGTCGTTATCCCATAAGAGATGCAAGTATATATTTTGTATGTCGTATCACCTACTATAGGTACCTTTATTTTTCCTAGCAGACAGATGAACGATTAACTACAATTTCTAGGTGTAAAGTACTTGAGAAGAAAAATAGCATTATCTCTAAAACCAGTTCAGAGCTTGCAAAGAAATGGTGATGGAACATACACATTCACCATCACTTCTTCGAGGTTCAATTGGGTAATTGTGTTCACACCCGGCGTCGAGTTTGAAGAAACAAAACCTGATGGGTCTAAAGTACTTATTTTTATTAAGAATAGAATAATTTATAAATTTTAAATGTATTATAATTCAATTGTAATTTTATCATACAACAATGGAGAATGTGATGAAAGAAAACAAGTATCTCTGGAACAGATGTGTATTCATTAGATATAATATATTATAGAATAGAACTTTATAATAATTTTGAATTGTCATTCGGAAGATTGAGCCGAAATTTTGCATGCATTTATAAATCGAATGACAATTCAAAATTATTATAAAGTTCTATTTTATAATATATTATGTCTAATGAATACAAATAGATAATAACTAAAAAATACTGGGAAGTGGATCAAATTTAACTTGCAAGATTTGATTACAGATAGGCAGACAACGGTATAAGTGAAACTAAATAAAAACTTGTAAAATAGAATATATTTCAAATTGTTAAAAAATCTATAAATAACATATATAATCTATAATCTTAATAGTAGAGGCATTATATATTATAATTTTGTTTTATATTTTAAAAGAGATTATCACTCATGTTAAAATCCTTTTTCAGGTTAGAGCTACATTTTTTATAGACGACAATATAATGACACATATACAAGTGGATAAAAATGGGATACAATCAAAGCATGTTATTGAATTTTATCCAGATAAAAATATAGTGGTTGGTATAAAGAATATTTTAATAATTCGTATTTTTGGTAATTCATATTTTCATAGGTCTATTGGGCTACCTATTGTTTACATTGAACAAATTGTATTAAGATTTCAGTGATAAGTGATTTTAGTACATTTTATCTAATATATAAAATTCTCGTGACACAGTATTGCCATACTTCTCCGAAACGGCTAAACCGATATCAAGATCAACTAAACTGTGACATAGAAATATATACAATGAAATAAAATATTTTCTAAAGCATATAATTTAATCACTCCAGAATGTTAATCTGAAAGTATATATGCTTATGTATTTTCGCAGACAACAACAGCTACCGGTTTGAAAGAAGTAGTGAAAAGATATTACACCTTGGTGCCTTGAAGATAAAGACCATTTTATATAATGAACAATTGATGTACATAAAAAAATTATATATTAAATTATATATATATATAAATATATATATATTAAGTGATTTTTGTTTACGAGCTAATTTCGCTGTATTATAAGTATTTGTTTTGTTTGAAGTGCTTCTACGGTATATTTATTATATATATGTATATACTTAAGGATATGTTATTTCTACTTTACTAACAAATAAAGATTTTAACATACTACTAGTTTTTAAGAAAAACTATAAATTGCAAATAAATCTCAGACTGACATAAGACTTTAGTTGGCGTTTTCGGTGACCTACCGGTTTAGCATAACTTCTAACTGTCCTTATAAACGTCATACTTTTCTAAGTATATTACCTATGTATATAAAAAATGTATTTTTGTCACTAATGTTAAAGTCAATCTATTTCACAAGCTCTGGTTACCTTGAAAGTAGATGGCGCTATATGAATTGTCTTTAAGTAAGTGTAAGTACAATTATACATTACTAGGGTGAGGTCCATGATTTCACTATGTTGATTGATACACAGATTATACATCGATGTGGTAGTAACTATAAATTGATCTAGCACATGCAGACTTTCACAATAATGTATAATACAATTTTTCTTTTCTTTCTCTTTACAAATTCTCTTTCAACAATCTTAATGCATTATTCGAATATTTTTGTTTGATAAATATATTAACAAGCTCGTTGATTGTATTAGGTATCAGATATATGCATTATGATTAGTATGATTAGTGATAAACATCTTATCTCAAAGCTCTATGTGATTTGCATTTATATGTGTTATAAATGACAGAAGTTGAAATACATCTAAGGAAGATGGAGGCCTTTTTCGGTAAAAAGTATATTATGACTTATGAGGAGAATTTGGCGGAATACTTATCGTTTACTGGTAAGGTGCTTATTCCATTTTGTTATTTAATTAGTTATTTCCTATAGATTTACCAGTGTACCCGTCATCACGTGTTTTCTTTAATTTATTTCTTGGATTTTTTATCTTTTACCTCTATTTTAATAAAAAAAAAAGGTTATGTTGAATATCAAAATAATGAATCTTATAACAACATAACACAGATTAACCTATAGCATAAAGTAACGAACATTCGTTATAAATATAACTAGCTATTTTCTATTTATAAAATAAAGGCGCTGTTTCTTCTGTGTGCATATTTCTTCTAAATAACGAAAAATATTTTAATACGGTGTTATTATTTTGAGAAATAAAGGTGAATAGATAAACAGAGCACAACTGACAAAAACAGTATTGAATAAATATTCCATTAAGAGCGTCTCAAAAGTAACGAATAATTTACGTTTTCCGAAGGATTAGCTACATTACGAAGCTCTAAGTATCTACAAAATGCATTCTGCAGTTGTAATAACTTTTATTGATCAAATAAAACGTTTGTTAGCTGAAACAGTCAAAGAGCAAATTGTAGCTATCAAAAATAGACAACTACACAAGTCGGCATCTGCCGAAAGCTGGAAGCTGAAACAAATCACTAGATAGAGTTCCATGAGTCTAAAGTCCTCTCTACTGATGCCATTATTATTCATGAAAGCTGTTCGAGGCGATAGAAATTAAAAACTAATGTGTATTAAACACGAATGTTTAGAATCAGTTATTTATAATGTCAGTTATACCAAAAGGAACTTCTTAATTCTTTTTAGAAAAATTGCACTAAAAAATACATTGTATTAATAAAAAACATTACACACCACCACGTATTTGACACATATATATTATTTTCTTTATTGTTAAAGTCTATGGTCAAATTGACAATAAATTAATATTGTTAGTCTTTAATATTATGTGTTTATAGTCATACTGAATGTTAAATTAATTATGGTCGAAATTTGACCACTGGGCGATCACTAGTTCATATTATTATAATCTTGAATATGACCACCAGAATCTAGAATAAAGTCAGCCTCCAACCCAAACACTTTGGGTTTGGGGTGAAAAAGCAAATGGCAGAGGTACTCAGACGCCTTTTTACAAAGTATACTCCGGTAAACTCTTGGAAAATGAGTTACTATAGTTTTAGTATAAACGCTGATGATGCTAGGCGCAACGCGAATGTATGAAGGAAAAAATTCGAGACTTTGGATATAATTTTATACATTGTGTGGTATATATAACCTGCTCATAGAAAATAAGAACTGGTTCTTATTTATTCTTATGGTCACATCATCTGGTTTGTTTAATATGAAACTCCGGCAAATGGCGAGCGAGATTTCGTGTTCACTTATCGCTTCGTTTTACGCCTCGTCACTTATATAAATGTGTAAATACGGTATTAAGTGATTTTTGTTTACGAGCTAATTTCGCTGTATCATAAGTATTTGTTTTGTTTGAAGTGCTTCTACGGTATTTTTATTATTAATTGGTTTCTAACCCCGATTTCGACCGCGAGACCACATTTGTTATTCAGTTTTTTCTTATCTTATTGACAGTATATATAATAACGCATGTCGTTCTCCATATTTAATAGCTACGTATAATAGCTATAGACGTCAAAGCGTCATGGATAAACTTTTTCGCTTATATAAATTAGTTTAGTTAGGAACTAATATTCCTAAATATTAAAAATAAAAACATTTAATTTTCAGGCATCAAGAAAATATCACAGGGCCTTATGTTTAGAATGAAGGCTGTGTTTTGTCTCACTCGCACCTCCGACGGCGTCTATACTCTTAGTCTAAGCACGGAGTTTAAGCATTTAGAGTATGTATTTTTACCAGGTGAAGAGTTCGACGACATTGACCTTGACAATAGAAAGGTAAATTGTTTTTTAATTCCTCACAGCTTAGTGAGAAATGAGAGAAAAGTACATTTACAATTTTATCATGTTAATTCAATGTTTTTTTTCTGTGACTATACTACTTCTAGTATATACTGGAAATTGATCGATGATATTAAAAATGAAAAAACATATTTTATCTATATCATCACGGTACATCAGGTGGTACATTAAAACAACATTAAATAATTCAATAAAAAAATATAAGATAAACGGCTTGATACCTTAGTCCTCTGGAATGGCAAACTATGAGTAGTATCACAGTTGTCACATGATAACGTGATATTCGTAGTTGTTTAAGTATATAGACGGCGGTTACCGCTCACCACCAGGTCGCTTGTTAGCTTGTTTGACAGTCCAATTACAAAAAGATTTATTTTTATAGTTAAGCCAGATACTACAAATTCAAAATTACAACACTATTAATTCGGGGGAAAGAGATCTTTAGTAATGTGGACTGAAAAATCTATTGCTCAATGTACCTCCATGATGATTTCCAGAGAGAACCATCGTGCTAAGTTTCTTATAATTTGTCATGATGGGCTAACTGATCTGACTTCATGCTCATATTATCATCCTCCACTGGTACCTCGCCATCGTAAACCGTTAGCAGGCGGGTACAACATTCCATTATCATCCATTAAAAAAAACTTTGCTAATTTTAATATAGAGTACATGTAAAGGTTCTCATTTCTTTATTAGATGATTAATATTTAAACATTCATTCTATAATACTTCTAGGGAAAGAGCGTTATTACAATAGATGGCAATGTGATGACCATAATACAAAGATCAGCGAATGGGAAGATATCAAAGACCATTTCACATTATTACCACGACAAAATAATTATGGTAAGTGAAATCTATTTTGTTCATTGAGTATAAGTATTTACCATTTGATCATTTTTGTGACAAAATGAGAAATGAGAAATATATAATGTCTATATAACAAATTCCAAAAAGTAAAAGATTTACCATTCGATTGTCTTTTTTATGAATATTATACTATTTCATCTCTAACTCTTCTCTTATATTGTTGATTCTAATAGTAATCTATTTATGATTAACGTCTATGGTTACTATGGGTTAGTTTTATAATAGGTTCCTATTGGATTTGTTTTTGCGTATCTTTTTATATTTTTTATTTAGATAGTTTTTGCTTTTTCTCCTTTATAAGCTAATATTGCTATGACATATTATATACTAAAAATTAATAATAACAATGAAATATTGGCATCAATTAATCTACAATTGTATAAACTTTCTCTATTTACAGATAACAACGGCGTTGGGATTTAAAAAAACTGTCAAAAGGCACCTCGAGTTAGTGCAATAAAATAAATTGTACCTGGTACACAACGTTGACATATTGATTATGTACTTTTGGTATAAATATCTGTAGTATTTATAGAAATCAAATTTATAAGGACTTACGTTTATTTAATAAATGTTTATGGCTAATTAAAACTATTTGATATTTGTTATAGATTAAAAATTTTGTAATGAAATTCTATACGTAGTATAATTTAAAAAATGTTTTACTTTTTTTATTAAAAGTTTTTGGATATAGACCCATTAAAATCTTAGAATTAGATATAATAACTTATGTCAATTAATTAAAAAATAAGGTCCTTCCCTTTTGTTTTAAACCATAGTCATTCATACTCAGGATAACAAAACGCTATGTATTACTGTTACTTTCGGTAGCTACCTCCAAAAGGTCTTTGTTATCAGGAGTATACCCATATATATGGATATATATTTTATATACCTACAACATTCTAGTCAACATGTTATTTATACATATGTAACATATATATATAGTAAGCAAATGGTTTTGTTAATTAAAACAATCTAATTAGAAACCTTCAATGAGAGTCACTGGCAGTTTTTATATTAGTTTATCCATATTTAAAATATGAGAGTTCTTTTTATACAATTGTTTTATTATTACTTCTGTCACTGCGCTCTGCTATAATAAACGTCTATACAAATACAAGCATCTCTCTACTTTTATTAATTTTTTACTGTATTACATTCGAGAATACATGTCACAAAGCTCATAATTTATTGGTCAGTAGATGATAATAAAGGATTATTGTAAAGGGATGTTTTATTCCCAAACAGCATAAACTAACACCTGTCGAGATGCGAAATTGCATTATATTTTGTACTACCTGCCCAGCTCCGTACGGGTAAGCCCGCAATTAACAATACGTAATTTAAAAAATGTAATTTTTAACATACATATTGTGTCCTCTATAAAATTCTAATAGATCGCTTTGCTCTATTATGAATAATTTCTGCAGCGTACGCGATATAAGGATTTTTTTGTTATTTCATTTCTCATGATAGGTTACATCATCAAATTTTTCATACGGATTCCTAACGTTTTTGAAATTTTTCAATCTATGTTTCTCAGAGATTATACGATTCTAATAGTGAAAAAGATTTTAAAGGAACACAAATCAAATTTTATCTCTCTATAAAATGTTATAGATATAATGGATGAAATGGATGTATTTTGTTTGTGTTTATGTTTTTTTCAGTATTCAAGAACGGTTTTATAAGTGTCGCGTTCTTTTTGGAAGGGAGAATAAATATTTAGATATAAACTAATGACATGTGCGTAGATGCTTGCAATGATGATTTTTTGCAATTTTGGAGAGCATAAGGGCAGTGAGTTGATGCTTAATTGGCATACAAATTGGCGAGTGACCTGGCTTGCAAGCGTGTTGCAAGTTAATCGAGTTGATGTGAAGCTAGTGATCAAGAGGGTGCTATGAGATAAAATCCATATTAAATATTATTAATGCGAAATTGTGTCTGCTCGACTATCTGTATTATTTTTTCATGACTAAAGGACAAAATAGATCGTAATTAAATTTTATGTCACGAAAACCGACATTGGCTATTTTTTAACATTTTTTTGTAATTTAGGGACCTTTGTACATACTAAAAGTGCTGTTTATAGCACATGGCATGCCAGTACTATTGCATTCTAAAACTTATAACTATATCACTTCACCAGTGAGCAAATTACCTTTGCAGCACTACCTGAAGGATCGTCTAAGACAGTTTGCATGGCACTTACATCGAATATACATTTTTTATAGTCTGACGATATTTTATGTCATACACACACACACACACATTCCATCAGCAAATGATCTTTTATCTTAAAAACTATTCTGGAAGGATGAATATTTGTAAAAACCAAGCTGCGGGTGAAAGGTAATTGTATATTGTATTGTATACAATATGATTATAGATTGGAATAAAACATAATTAAGGTAGTCTAAACCACCACTACTAACTAATCACGCTCTGCTACCATTTGATATACTTGATCACGAAAAAAAGGACTTGCTTTGATATTTTTTTATTTAGGATATATAATTTTAATGTACGATACAAAGCTCGACTATGATATTCTTCATATATAACTTCTCAGGTATTAAAAGGTGATCGAAGTGTATGTAAAGCATTGTGACAGCATTACCAACAATTACACATCAATATTCTGTCAGTTTAAACCAGTTTAGTCGTGAAAATGTTAACAGACACACATTTGCATTTATAATATTAAGTATCGATAAATAAAATAAAACCTTATGCAATATCTATATATTACATAATTAATTCAAAAAATATGATATATACATATATACATATAGTTTTTCTAATCAGCGTTAGAAAGAACAGATTGACAATAATAAACACATTAGCATTATCAGTGATAAACATATCACACAAGAGCTTTTTACGATTTGTTGGGGGTTTAGGTATACGCTATTAAATGTTCATTACTTATGGAACGGGAACACTGTCTCGTGAAAATGCAGGCGTGTTTTGGTAAAAAGTATGTAATGTATCGAGAGGAAAATTTTGCTGAATACATGACATATATCGGTGAGTTGAATATATTTAATTGACTACAAATTGAATTTTAACATTGTATTTTCATAATTACATACTACGTAATAGCCTAGCTGCAAACCACTATATAAAATAAGGGTATAATTGGATACATATATTTAGGTATGTCTATATTTCGCCTAGTAGTCATAGAATAGCAAGCTCTACGTAGTTTGGAACTAGATGGCGTTATATAATATTTTTTTATAGTATTCGTGTTTAATACACATTATTAATATTATTAACCAGGTCTTAATATGTATAATTTTATAGCAAATAAAGGTATTTACCTCTCTCGACGTTTCGACTAGTTTGCACTATCCGTCGAGAGAGTAAACACCTTTTGCCATATAAAATTATTCGTGTTAAGACCCGGTTAATAATATAAATAATGTATAACAATTTTATATATTTAAAATTACATAGGTTGTATATGCGGTTGAACTTTGAAAGGACTTTTTTTTGATTAATAAAACGATTTATGTGTTATAATAACATTATTAAAAAATGTAAAGTTAAAATTATATCATATATTTTTACATGTACATATAATATATGATTTATTTTAAATTGAATAATCTTGTTTTCAGGATTGAAAAAAGTATCACAAAACTTTTTGTTTGGATTAGAGGTAGTGTTTTCATTAAATCAGGCCTCTGATGGGTCGTACATTATAAATACATGGTCTCAATTTGGGGACTTCGTTTACACATTCGTACCAGGGGAGGAATTCGATGACATGGACATTGATCTGAGACAGGTATTTTTTTTTAATTGAAATGGAAATAATTATATCGTAAAATATGTGGGTTATAAATATGGTAGCTTATATTTTACGATATTTGTAATAAAAATGTATTTAAGAATAATATCAGTTACCTAATACCACAACACGAGCTCTGCTTAGCTTGGGACTAGGTATGAATTATCCTAGTTAATTACTATAACTGTTATATATATTTAATATTTCATTTTAAAGGGACGAAGTGTTATTACCGTTGATGCTAATATATTTACAATGATACAACGATCTGGGAATGGTAAGGTATCAAAAACCGTTATGGAATATTATCCTGATAAAATGATCACTGTAAGTACAATAGATATGACTCTAAATGTAATAATATTTTGTGTAATTGAAATGACAAACAAGTTGGTCAACCTGATAGTAATTGTTAAACTTCATTTATCTTTACTAGCTATGCCCGCGGTTTCACTCGCATGAAATGTATAGCCTATATATTGTCCTGATATACAAGCTTCATCAAGTAGTTTTTGCGTCTAACAGAATATCCATATATACACATAAACTTTCTAGTTCATAATTTTAATAAGATTACATGACTGCACCACAGATATGATGTTATCATATGAAGCACATGGCACCACCATGCCATACGAGAGGACAAATTTGTATTCTTCAATCACAATCAAGCACAATAGCCTTCAATTTATGTCTTATCTCAGATGTCAATCGAAACACACCTTACAAAAAAAATATTCTTCAATGAGTTGTACTGATTACTGTAGACTCCGATTTATTAATAGAATTTACAGTTTAACATATAAAAGTGTAACAATAATAGTAAAAATAATAATAGAATATGTGATTAGGACATTGACTCAGTCAGCGGAATGAATTGCTATTTGTAAGAATTGCCATCCTTACAAATTTTATATTCGATCTACAAGAGAGTGAACTATATCCTTAGAAAACGAACTAAGTATATACCCGTCTCAGTATCCGCGGATATCATTATTCTAGTGATATCTTTGTTTCGAAAATAAAATCAGATGCATGTTACTCGTTAGTATTGTTAAAATTTTAAAAGCGGTTGAGTATTTTTACAGCTTATTCATTTATTGTCTCTTTATTATTCCATACTCATACTATTTTCTATTGCAGACAACGACAGCATTGGGATTCAAAAAGACTGTTAAAAGATACTACAAGGTAGTGCAGGACTAGTCTTGTCAGAAATAATATTCATAATTAAATCTTATATGTAAAATATATAACGTAAATGTTCCTATGGTATATGTATAATTGAATGTTAAATAAATCAGAAAAAAATTAATAATGTATTTTATTTATAAAATACCTAAAACTAGATATAATATTAATCAATGTGTAGGAAACGAAAAATTGTACACAATAGACAGCTAGAAAACTAAGAATAAACATAAAAAATATAGACATTGATTTTATATTAATCAGTAGGTACAACGGGTACTATTTTAAAATAATAATTGTGTATTAATTATTATTTAAAAAAAGTTTCATTCACGTATTATGCGACAACGATTTTTAAGACTAAAAAAAAAGCTTGTTATAATAATGTATACACAATATCATCGTGTTATAATAATAGTATCGGTAATCGGTCGGATAACAGCTAGTATTTAATAGAATAAAAGCGACATGTTTTTTTTTTATTTTTGACTTGTCCAGTAGGTATATCAGTTTTCCCCTAAAAATGATTGAAATAATTACAATGACAAGCGACGACAGTTTCCTCAAAACTGTTGT